TGGCTCTTAGTTTTTTAACTTGATCTAAGTATTGAAACCAGTCGTGCAAAACAGAGCTTGCAGAACTGGCAACTTCATCGCCTTCTTTCGCCTTGCACGGAAAGCAAGCTATCTTCAAGCATGTCTAATGCATGCTCATTTTTCGAAAGTAAGGGCTTATTTGTGATGTGGGTTCAAAAGCTATTATTCTTACCATATTGATGTGTGATTATTTCACTGAGATCTAAACTTTATTCTTTCATCAGCTAAGAACTCAGGCACTTGCCTCTCTGCACTCGGGTCTCCAAATTAATCAGGGTCTCCCAGTTTCAGATACGTCAAAGTGGATAGGGATGGAGGTATTTCTTCCATCACTCTGTTACTTGGTTTTTATACCTTTCTTGGTTTGTCACAGAGAAGTTCTTAGAGATCTTACATTTTTCTTCTGGTAATGAAATTAGGAAGAGGACATAGAAGCTTTGTTGGAGTACCATGGGTTTTCGATAAAGGTGTTTGAAGAGCCATACATGGTAAAAAATGACCTATTTCTCCATGCTGATAAGGACTTTAAAACAAAATGCTCAAAACTTGTTCACATGAAAAAGTCAAGAACCATAGTGGAAGATGTTTCTGCTCCCTTAGTAGAGGAAGATCTTTCTACTCCCTCTCCATTGCCTTCCTTGATCACAGAAACAACTAACGGAAATCAACAGTGTATTACCGCCCATAAACAGGAAATGCCGCCTGCCAGAAGTCTTAAGAAACAAACATCAATGCGTCTATTTGATAAAGAAATGGCTGACTCCAAGACTTCCCTCTTACCAGAGGAGGACAAGCCAGTGAGGCCATTTGTTATAAATCCAGCAGGGCCATCCTTTATAAATCCAGTTGTGCATCAACAGAAACAAAATGACCTTACATCAGCTGGTGGATTTCATTCTCCCGTGAAGCTATATTCTCCTATTGTTTCCCCTAGATTTCCTCAAACTAAATCCTCGAATTTGGAGAAACAACCTAATGACGGTCGCATTGGTATGTCTCCTGGGGAAATTAAATTTCCATTTGCAGGGGATGTACATACGAATCATGTGCCTGGACCAGCTTTGCAACAAAGTCTGAAGTCTATGCCAATGGAGATTATGCCTGTAACTACCATTGCAGAGTCTCCGACTGTAGAAAAAAAATATGCTTTGGAAGAATCCGTACCTGAAGCTGCAATGATTTGTACCTTGGAAAAGGACTTCCATGACATTGACCAGGAAGATGAGGATGAGAATGGGGTCATCTTAAATCAGTATGATGAGGAAGTGGCGAAGGCAAAACTCAAGTTGATCATTAGGTTTGCCAGCTCCTCATGCAAATTGACAATTGATTTAGGTCATTTTTAACTTTTCTCTAATAATATTTGCAGATTATGGAAGCGGTGGTCTTCACGTCAAAGTGAATTGCGGGAGCGTCGACAGTTAGCAGCAGCTGCTGCACTGAATTCACTATCCCTGGGTACTCCTATCCGATTTAGCAAAACTGATGTAAGTTTCAGTTTTCTTCCTCATAACGTGCTGATCATCAGTCTTTTTGTCAAGGAAGCAATAAAAGTCTTAAAAGGCATGTAATATTGAGGTTGGTAGTCTAATATCAGTTCGCTCTTCATACACAGCAATCAAGGGCGTGTGGTGAGTTTAACATTGATCAAGCCATGAAGAGGAGATTCGAAGAACGCGAGAAATCATGGTCAAGGCTGAATATTTCAGATGTGATAGCTGATATACTAGTTGGAAGGAATCCAGAATCAAAATGCATATGCTGGAAGGTCATCTTATGTACTCAGACTAAATCAGTAAACACAGCATCTTCTGCAACTCAGGTTACGCATTCAGCAGCCAGTCGATGGTTATCATCAAAGCTTATGCCTCATGCAGAACATAGTCTCAATGATGATAATCTGCTGTTTTCAGCTCCCGGTGTGTCGGTATGGAACAAATGGGTTGCAAATGGGTCTGACATAGATTTCACATGCTGTCTCTCAGTAGCTAGGAATGTGGAGGCTGAGAATGATATGTGTGAAACAACATGTGGTGCAAGTGCAGTCCTTTTCCTTGCATCTGGAGGCCTCTCTTTGAATCTTCAGAGAGAACAGCTTAACCGCATTCTTGAATCAGTACCCAACGGTTCAGTTCTTCCCCTTCTCGTAGTAATCAGCTCATGCAATGGGGAACATATGGAGCCTGATACCGATCTCGTCTCGGGACTAGGCCTCCATGATATTGACAAGTCAAAGATTGCAAGCTTTTCCATCGTTTCTATTGCTAATAAGTCGCAAAAGGGGCAGGAAGTTCGTTTTTTCAACGATTCACGGCTAAGAGATGGGATTAAATGGCTGGCGAGCAATTCACCTCTGCAACCAAATCTTCATCATGTTAAACCCCGGGAACTGGTTCTGACCCATTTCAGTTTTTCCCTGGAGTTGCTTAAGCAGATGCCAGATCAGGAGGTTGGTCCTAACATCTGCATATCAGCCTTCAATGACGCATTGGAAACATCACGAAGAAACATCACTTCTGCTGCTGAAGCAAATCCCATCGGTTGGCCTTGCCACGAGACGAAGTTGCTCGAGGATAATAGGAAAGAACGTTTAATGGTGAAGCGGTATCTCCCCAACCTGGACTGGAGCAGTGCAGAGAACGTCGAACCACTCAGTTCCGTGCTAGAGAATTGTAAGCTCCCATATTTTGAAGATGATTTGACATGGTTAACCGTAGGATGTGCTTCTGGTGCTGAGATAGAGAACCACACGCAACGGCTTGAGGGATGCTTAGTTGAGTACTTAACACAGAGAAGCAATCTTATGGGAGCCTCATTAGCTACCAAAGAAACAGGAGTGATGCTAGAAAGAAACACTAGACTCGAACTCCATAACTCAAGCCGCTACCATATCATCCCAAGATGGATTGGTATCTTCCAGAGGATCTTCAACTGGCGGATAATGGGTTTGTTTGATGCATCGTCTTCCTTAGCTTACGTACTGAAGTCTGATCTCACCATGTCAACTTCAAGCTATGCAGATAAATTCTTGGCTGAAGATGCATCATACCCATCTTCTCGTCCAAATCTTCCATTGCTTCATGAAATGATACAAATCAGCTGCAGCCCCTTCAAGTCGTCTCCTCCATATGATCACAAAGCCCAGAGAGTTGTCGAATCGGTTGAGACAGAAATGGTCATCGATGATCATAGAGATATAGACGAGTCTACTTTGGAGAAGAGCAGCGAAGCTTATAGAGGGACTGATCTGATGATAACTGAGGATGATGAGTTAGCCGATGGAACCGATAGATCATGGAGAAGTAAAGGTAAAGAAGCGGCAGAGAAGAAGACGATAGAGAAGAGAGAGAGTGAGAGATTAGATGAATTGTTGGAGAAATGTAACTTGGTACAGAATAGCATAGCCAAGAAGCTCTGTATTTACTTCTGATTTTCTTCAACCCTTGTTGTTAATACTTAATGTTGTTGTTGCATGTCAGTTTTTGTCGAAAAAGGTATTGTGCTTCCCCTACACGTGTCATCAGTTTGCTAGAAGTTTTGTACTTGCTGACCATTAGTACATTCCCACTGGTCTTAGATGTTCCAATAATCGCATTCTCGGCGCGTGAACTAAACGCATACACTTATGAATAGAAGAAATAAAGCACGCCTCCAACGAGCGCGTGAGACCCTCTTAATAATCTAACAGAGGAAGAAGGAGAAAAAATAGGGTTTGATGATGGAGAAACAAGAAGAAGAAGAGGTGAAGAGAAGAAGGGTGTGTTGATCATCGTCGCTTCCTCTGGATCCAACCTTGGAGATACTCTTAAGACTGCCTGCGAAATCTCTTGTGAGGTCTCGCTGCGTGTCCAAGCTCTGGTCGTCCTTCACCGCCCTGCCATGTTTCATCAACTCTTTTGCAGCTAGGTCCTCGCAAAGTCCTTGTCTTCTCATCTTCACAGTTCAAGGCGACAACCTAGTGGTTTTTTCCTTGCCACAACAGGGGTATTCGGACAAGTCTTCTTCTTCTTCTTCTCCTGTGGACAGTTATCTTATCAAAGAAGACACCAAAACCTGTCTCTTTTCCCTCGCTAATTCAGTCCAGGGCTTGGTTCTCAACTTTAACTAAAGCCGAAAGCTCCTGGGGATATGCGACAGGATTTATAGGATACGACCCGATCGATGGTACATACAAAGCTTTGTGCATGCCTTTTGTTCCTGATACAAAGCCAAGGACAAAAACAGCAACCATCCTCGGGTTCTTATATTGGGAATTGGGATCAGCTTAAGAATCATGGAGATCCATCAAAGGTAGCTTTAAACATTACTCTTACACTCATGGACAATGCATCAACGGGGTTCTGTATTATTAATCTTTTCTAAATATGATAGTGCTCATCGCTTTATAGTAAGCTTCCATGTCAGATCTGAAAAGTTCAACAAGATACAAGTTCCATGGAAACTTTGCAGAGGTTACCTCTTAACTTACGAGGGAAAGTTAGCTTCTCTTTCTTCCTCAACCAATATAGATGCCTTAATTTCACTATGGGTTTTGGAAGATGCAGAGAGCCATGAGTGGTCGTTTAGAAAATTTTCTTTACCTTTTCCTCTCGATGATCCAATTTCGCACACCCTTTTAAAACTAACGGGTGTGACTGAAGCCGGTGAGTTTGTTTACGCACCAACAACTTTGGAGAATCCGTTTCATGCTCTGTATTTCGATCCACAGCGAAACAGCTTTAGAAGAGTCATATATGAAGGAGTTGCGGACAACGAATTTAGGCGACGCAATGGACTTGGAAACAAACCTCTCCGTAGGCTACATATTTTCCCCAATCACGTAGGGAGTCTCATGTCTTTCTAAATATTATTTTTGTTTTCTGTTGTTTTCCTTAGAATAAGGCACTTAGTTGATGATTTCTTGTAAACGTTGGCAGGATTTTTCATAAAGTTTTCATTCTTTAATTTGAGAAGAAAAAAAACATAAAAAAAAACTTGTTTGTGTCATCAAGAGCTTATTCTCTGCAACAAGCAACGTTTAAGAGCAAATAGCGTAGTAAACACGTCATTGAATCTTTGGTAAAAGAAGCTCATACACAAAAGAGAGAGCATTACTTTTAACTTTGCTATATAGTTGGATGGAATCTGTGACATTACAGTACAGAAGAATCAAACAAAGGGGCAAATAGGAATGTGATTCATTCATTAGACAGCTTTTTAATCTGTACTATGATAATTGTGATATCATCTGTCCTATTCTCATGCTCCAACCACAGTTTGTATGATTCCGCTGCAGCTGCAGCGCATCCATCGCGCGGATCAGCGTATCTCCCCACCTGCAAACAACATTTGTCAATCACATTGAGACCCCAAAACAACAAAAACATGATTCTACATAAAACATACTGAGATCTTCAAAAGGTATTTTACCATATCAACAACAGCTTGGCTTGGAAGAAACTCGAAAATCCCATCGCTTGCAACAACAAAGAACAAATGGTTAGGCGAAAGGTGAACCATTGACACTTCCGGTTCTGCAGTAACTCCAATGCTCTCAGCTGTAAAATCTCCAACACTCCTTGTAAATGCGGTTCCCGGATACATCCCGTTTTGTACCCAAAGTCTCGGCGGATCACCTCCTTCGCTCTCTTCGTTTGCCCATGTTTGTATATTCGGATCTTTCAGTCCTTCCACTTGATCCACACTCAGCACTCTAGCACCACAAGCTTTAACCCTCTCGCATTCATCTTTCCTAAAAGGCGTTTGATCATAAGACAAATCCTCTGCTAGAATCCGATTCCTGTCTTTAACAGCAAGAACCGCCCTCGAATCCCCTACATTGGCAACATAAATCTTATCCCCAACAACAAGAACCGTAATGGCAGTAGTACCACTCATCGAATCATCGATTTCACTATCGTGTAACTCCTCATTAACCCTCAAAAAAGCAGACTTGTAAGCTTTCTCCGGATCCTCAAGCAGAGTTGGGTCTTCAGACAACATTTCCACAACCCTCTCCTTAACAAAATTCGAGCACTGCGTACCAAACACACCGTGACCATCAAAGACACCGAAGAAATGAACATTCGGGTTACCTTGAAGCTCGGTTTTGATGCAGTAAGTGTCTTGATTCTCTTTATCAGGTGAATCAGGATAATAGCCTCGTTGAGATAAGACAGAGTAAACCATATCGAAATTAGGAGAAGGAACGTGAATAGATCCAAGAGGTTTCTGATCTTTCCCTTTGACAATACCATTGGCTTCTAAAGGTCCACGAGAATCTCCATCTGATGATGACGACGGATATCGGCTACAACATTTGCATTGAACACAACCCATAACGCAGAAAACAGATTCGATTCCGCAAAAAAAAAAAAAACGAAACTTTCCTTCAAAAATCTTGAGCTCCTAGCTCGGGCTAGAACAAGCAATCTCTAGGAAAACGAAATTCGTGGGAATCAATAATGGCGTCCACAAAAGGGTAGGGTTTTGCAGATGTCATGTTAAACGCGGCAAAATTGAAAAAGGAAAGACGAAATTGAAACTCAAAGGCAGAATCTTTATGGAAGAGGAAGAAGAGAAACAAAGGTTAGAAGAAAGAGGGAAAATTCGTAACTTTATCTTGTTGTTGTTGTTCGAATTCTTCTTTCTTTTTCCTTGGTGGTCTTCCTCAACCTTTGTTTTTTCTCTTAAAGGGTTATGTCGTCAACCCTTTTAAGAGAAAGCGTCAAAATTTGAGAAACCCTAAAATGCCAAAGCAGAGGAATTTGTTCGAGAAGAAAGAATAAAAGAGAAGAAGAAGAAGAGAGAGAGAGATGAGAATTTGGTTTGGTGGATCCGACGGATGGAGTACACGGGTGGGTTTGGCCTCTGCCACAGCCGCGCACGAATTCCCAAATCAAACCAAAAACTTTTTGAGATTATCGATGCTTTTCTTTTTCTCGAGAAATTTCCTTACTTTTCTCGTTTATTTTCTCCCCGTAACGGGTCGGGTATCATAACATTTTCTCGACCCGATAACAATATTGTTTCGGTTAAAAAGAAAAGACCTAATGGGCTTGGCCTGTTGAGACCATGTATTATATATCCACTGTTTATTAAAGTGAAACCGTCTTTTTTCGTGTGTATATGAATTAACTATTGAACTAGAGAAATAAATCTTCTAGCAGAAAGATTCGATTCGATTTCTATTTGTCTTATCTGCAAATGGCTATTCTTGGTGAAATAATAGCCATTTGAATTCAAATTATTTGAGGCACTTTTGTAATCGAAAGAGATCTTCTCTGGACGTAAGATTTATGTCCTTTAGTCTATTAAATTCAACACTCTGGACGTAATTAACAGCCTAACTAGTATTTTTTTTATATAAAACATCTTAAAAAGACAATTTGTGTCAAAGTTTCTTCAAATGCCAAAATAAAGTTGGTATCCAAACAAAGATGTGAAACATTTAGCTAGTATATAAAGATAGACTCACATAAGAATATTTGTTTTTTTTTACTACATGAAAAAGCATGCATTATTAATTCATTTTAGGAGAGTTTGTTACAGTATTCTAATTTTGGTACTTCAAAAAAAAAAAAAAAAAATCGCCGACGCAATCAAGTAAAAAGAAAAGACAGCAAAGCAAATTGATGAGACCAATTTTGTCCTAAAAATAAGCAATAATTTTGTTTCCAAAAAAAAACATAAACCAGTTTCTAAGAATCTAAAGAAGAAGAAACAAAATCTAAAAATTCACTCCGGTTTCATTGGACAACAGACTTGTCTTGTTCCTATTTCAGAGGAAAAGGATTTTTTTTGGAGACAAAGATTTGTGTGAGAAACAGTCCGAAGTTCAATCTCTTCCCCACATTTCGACTGCTAATAAAACAAGCCTCTCCCCAAATCCTTTATTCTAGCCTTTCCCTAACAATGGCTCTATTAACTATTCAATCTTTTTAATTTGTAATGATAAACCTTTTTTTAAAAAAAAAATAAAAAAAAAAGTGAAAAAAATAATAAAAGAGTTTACCTGAGAATTAGGTTCAGGATGGCCTCAAGGAGCCTCTCCTATACACAACTCCTAGGCCTCCTGTCCTTTATCCTCCTCTTGGTCACAACCACCACTATGGCGGTTCGTGTTGGAGTCATTCTTCATAAGCCTTCTGCTCCAACTCTTCCTGTTTTCAGAGAAGCCCCTGCTTTTAGAAACGGTGATCAATGCGGAACACGTGAGGCTGATCAGATTCATATCGCCATGACCCTCGACACAAACTACCTCCGTGGCACAATGGCTGCCGTTTTGTCTCTCCTTCAACATTCCACTTGCCCTGAAAACCTCTCTTTTCATTTCCTCTCCCTTCCTCATTTCGAGAACGACCTCTTCTCCAGCATCAAATCAACCTTTCCTTACCTAAACTTCAAGATTTATCAGTTTGATCCAAACCTCGTCCGCAGCAAAATATCGAAATCCATCAGGCAAGCCCTCGATCAGCCTCTTAACTACGCGAGAATCTACCTCGCGGATATCATTCCTAGTAGCGTTGACAGGATCATCTACTTAGATTCGGACCTCGTTGTGGTAGATGACATAGAGAAGCTGTGGCATGTCGAGATGGAAGGTAAAGTGGTGGCTGCTCCCGAGTACTGCCACGCAAACTTCACCCATTATTTTACAAAAACTTTCTGGTCAGACCCGGTATTGGTAAAAGTTCTTGAAGGAAAACGACCGTGTTATTTCAACACAGGGGTGATGGTTGTGGATGTAAACAAATGGAGGAAAGGAATGTATACACAGAAGGTAGAAGAATGGATGACAATTCAGAAGCAGAAGAGGATATACCATTTGGGATCATTGCCTCCGTTTCTGCTGATATTCGCCGGTGATATAAAAGCGGTTAATCATAGGTGGAACCAGCACGGTCTAGGAGGGGATAATTTCGAAGGAAGATGTAGAACGTTGCATCCGGGACCGATAAGTCTACTTCATTGGAGCGGAAAAGGGAAGCCATGGTTGAGACTAGATTCAAGGAAGCCTTGTATCGTTGATCATCTATGGGCTCCGTATGATCTGTACCGTTCATCAAGACATTCATTAGAAGAGTAGAGGCAAAAAAAACAAACATTAAACACATTACTCGTTACTAGGAGAGGAGAAGATACAAACAAAGCAGGGGTTATTTAGAGATCAAAGAGAGCCAAAAATGTTCATTACAAAGTGAAAAAGTGTAATGTTAACACATTGTTGTGCATTTGAGCTCAGAGTGTGTTTCATCACAAGAGATAGATGGTATTATCATCATCATTTTTTTTTCTCCTTTCTTCGTTTTTTTTTCCCTCTCTTTGATTCAAACCTTTAGAAAATTCCGCGTGTAATATACATAGGTACAAAAAAAAATGGAGGATTAAATTCATTCTTTTTCTTAATTCAAATCTCTAGTATCTTCTGATACGCTACAATAAACACAGAATCGAATCTAGATTCTTTAGAAATCATCAAAATCGCAAAACTTTATCACAAACAAAAACGTTCCGACACAGAAACTAGCGACACTGTTTCGATTTCCGGTTACAGAGAGTGGCTGTCTGAAGTTAGTCTACATCAATCCAGAAAATCAAGAAGACAAGAACATTTACCAGAATTAAGGCGAGAGAGACATGACAATTCTGCAGGATTCTCCGACGAGCACGAGGAACCATTGGGAAAGATTCGAGCTCGCTCTGCAACAACAACAATGATGGCTCTTCTCTCTCTGCTCTGGCCGGTTTAGTTGGTCCACTGCGGTATAATGAACAAAAAAAATTCAGTTAGGTTTAGTGGAATTCCCGACGACAAGCTTCCACCGCCGATCAATTTCCTCTCGTTCGAACCTTAGACTTCGACGGTTAGATTCCGGCGTCTACTAATGGCGAATCACTAAAGTACGAGCAACGAACCTAAGAAGATTGATTGACATATAGAGGAACCCTAGATTCTGATCTCCTCCGATTCGATTTGTATCTTCCGGGGAAGAATAAATGTGTTTCCGGGGAAGAATAAAAATCTGTAAAATTTATAAGGAAATAATGTGACTTTTTTTTTTTATACTCTATTAAATTGAGTTGTTGAGACTTGAGACCATGTATGTCCTTTGGAAAGTTAATTAAAAAAAAAAACAGTCTTTTGTAAGGTAATGAAATTAGTTTATTACATCAAAATCTTAAATTTGGTCAATTGACGGATTAATAAGAAAAAGGAGCCTTTTTGCTTTGCTTTGCTTCTTCTCATTGTCTCTCTCTCCTCTCTACCTCATTCTCCCTCTCTCTGTGTATCTCTGTCTATCTTCTTCTTCGTTTGAAGCCCTAAATTGTGTATTTTCTTTGCTGTAATCACGTCTACAAGGAGAATGGTGACGAGTCAAGAATTGAGAATCATAAGTGAAGTCTAATCGGCACACAAACTTGAAGCCTTCCGAGCTGTCTCTCAATCTCCGTCGGGTTTTGCGTTTGCTTTCCTGATTCGGTCGCTTCTATGGACATTGAGAGGTAATCTTCGGAGGACAATCCATTCCTGATTTGTGTCTCGATTAGTTTTTTTTTTCTTTGTTTCTCCTCAAATTTCATTTCTTCTTCTGTTTTTTTAATAGCTTCAATTGAATTTAGATGTGGGTTTTGATTAATCTGCACACTTCACTAGTTTTCAGATTCTCTCTTCTCATTGTTTCTTCTTTAGGAGTTTTCCATTTTTGCATTTTATGGTTACATAAAAGAAGAAAGAATGTGAGGCTAATTAGAGATCTAAGCTTAGGTGTGAGATACATAATCTTTCAGTAGCAATATGTATTGGTTTTGCATTTACTGTTTCTGTGTCCAACATTTTATTTCTTCTCATTTCAGAATTTCCAATAGTACTCTCTGTTGTTACACACACATGTCATCATTGTTCCCTAGAAGAATGTTTAGCATCATTGACATTGGTTGTATAGTAGATAACTGTCCTGTACTTTTGGTTTTGATGCAGTGCAGATACTGAGCCGACCAGTTTAAATTGTGGGAACAACATGGTTGTCAAAGCTTATCCATTAGGAATGGTTGCGATTATCAATAACAATGGCATTGCTGAAGACGAAGGAGATTCTGGAGTTGAACCTTATGTTGGACTAGAGTTTGATACTCCAGAGGAAGCAAGGGACTTCTACAACTCTTATGCTACGCGGACGGGTTTTAAGGTTAGGACGGGTCAGTTGTATAGATCCAGGACCGATGGTACAGTTTCATCTAGGAGGTTTGTTTGCTCAAAGGAAGGTTTTCAGCTTAATTCAAGAACCGGGTGTCCTGCGTTTATCCGAGTTCAGAGACGAGATACTGGGAAATGGGTTCTTGACCAGATTCAGAAAGAGCACAACCATGAGCTTGGAGGTCATATAGAGGAGACTACTCCTCGTCCTTCAGTACAACAGAGAGCACCGGCTCCCACGAAGCTAGGCATAGCGGTTCCACATAGACCCAAGATGAAAGTTGTTGACGAGGCTGATAAAGGACGGTCATGCCCTTCTGGTGTGATCTCTTTTAAGCGCTTCAAAGGAGCTGAAGAGAGTGATGGGCAGACACAGCCCAAGGCTACTGAACCGTATGCAGGGTTGGAGTTCAGCTCAGCTAATGAAGCGTGCCAGTTTTATCAAGCGTATGCAGAAGTTGTAGGTTTTAGAGTTCGGATAGGTCAGTTGTTTCGATCAAAGGTTGACGGATCGATCACCTCCAGAAGATTTGTTTGTTCGAAAGAGGGGTTTCAGCATCCTTCTAGAATGGGCTGTGGAGCTTACATGAGGATCAAAAGACAAGATTCTGGAGGTTGGATAGTCGATCGTCTCAATAAAGATCATAATCATGACCTTGAACCGGGAAAGAAGAATGCTGGTATGAAAAAGATAACAGAGGATGTGACAGGAGGGTTGGACTCTGTGGATCTTATTGAACTAAACGACTTCAGCAATCACATCAGTAAAACCAGAGAAAACACCATAGGTAAGGAATGGTATCCAGTGCTTCTCGACTATTTTCAGTCAAAACAGGCAGAAGACATGGGATTCTTTTACGCCATCGAGCTTGATAGTAATGGAAGCTGCATGAGCATTTTCTGGGCAGATAGTCGGTCAAGATTCGCCTGCAGTCAGTTTGGTGATGCTGTTGTCTTTGATACATCATATAGAAAAGGAGAATACTCTGTTCCGTTTGCAACATTTATCGGTTTTAATCATCATAGGCAACCCGTGCTTCTCGGGGGTGCCTTAGTTGCTGATGAATCTAAAGAGGCTTTCTCATGGTTGTTTCAGACATGGCTTCGTGCCATGTCAGGCCGTCGTCCGAGATCTATTGTAGCTGATCAAGACTTGCCTATCCAACAAGCTGTGGCTCAAGTCTTTCCTGGTACTCATCACCGGTTCTCAGCGTGGCAAATAAGGTCCAAAGAACGAGAAAATCTCAGGTCGTTCCCGAATGAATTCAAGTATGAGTACGAGAAATGTTTATACCAGTCGCAGACAACGGTCGAGTTTGACACCATGTGGAGTGCTCTTGTAAACAAATACGGCCTTAGGGACAACATGTGGCTTAGAGAAATATATGAAAAGCGCGAGAATTGGGTACCGGCATATCTAAGAGCCAGTTTCTTTGGTGGAATACCTGTAAACGGAGCCTTTGATCCGTTTTACGGCACTTCCCTTAATTCTCTAACGTCTCTTAGGGAGTTCATTTCACGATATGAGCAAGGGCTCGAGCAGCGCCGTGAAGAGGAAAGAAAAGAAGATTTCAATTCTTATAACTTGCAGCCGTTTCTGCAGACGAAAGAACCCGTTGAAGAACAATGCAGAAGGTTGTACACGCTCACCATCTTCAGAATTTTCCAGAGCGAGCTTGCTCAGTCTTATAATTACCTCGGTTTAAAGACATATGAGGAGGGAGCCATCAGCAGATTTCTGGTGAGGAAATGTGGGAATGAGAACGAGAAGCACGCCGTGACTTTCAGTGCATCGAATCTCAATGCAAGCTGCAGTTGTCAAATGTTTGAGTACGAAGGACTTCTCTGCAGACATATCTTGAAAGTGTTCAATCTCTTAGACATTCGAGAACTCCCATCTCGGTATATACTGCATCGCTGGACCAAGAACGCAGAGTTTGGGTTTGTACGCGATGTAGAGTCAGGCGTGACTTCTCAGGACCTTAAGGCCTTGATGATCTGGAGCCTGAGGGAAGCAGCTTCAAAGTATATAGAGTTTGGGACATCGTCTCTGGAGAAGTATAAGCTTGCATATGAGATCATGCGAGAGGGTGGGAAGAAACTGTGTTGGCAGAGATGAGAAAACCAAAGTAAGGTCATGTGTCCTGATTCTTTGTTTCTCGAGTTTAATCTAAAATATCTAAATCTTCAAAAGCGTGCGTGGTAGCGAGGTTGTTTTCTGTTCTTGTCCATCATAGTTTCTCATTTGGGTTGTGTTGTTGCCTCATCGGCTGCAAACTCTCCCTCTTTTCTGCTTCTTTATGAATAACATTGTTTCATTTATGTCTGAGCTCTTGGATCATTTTGCCATTAGATTCAGTTTATAGTTTAGCTGTTAATGACGCTCGTGCTTCATATCATATAAATGATTGATCCAGTTTCTTGTAACAGATACGGTATATTGAATTTAGTGGAACAACTTCATTTGGTAGAGACTAGAGACTATATCTCCTTTGTCTAGGGAAAGGTAGAATATTTTCTAGCAAATAAATCTACAGAGTTTGCTGTGAATCAGAGAAGCATCAATTGATTTCTTTATTTTCTTCAAGAGTTCCTTTTCCTCTGTTACAGATTGAAAAACAAGAAGAAGATGAAGCCTTACTTTATCAGTGAAGATGGAATTCCTGGCCGCCGATGTAAATCCTAACCCTTTTGTTAACTTAAGTCATCAGAAAAGGCGGTGGTGGTGGTTGTCGATCTGGTGTGGCCAGTTGTATTCATTGATAAATCAATCAGTTGGGTTTAATGACCGACATGTATGTTCTCTTGTTTTGTTCATGTTTGTTTCCTAAACATCCTAAGAAAGGGAAGAACCTACCAACTTAGAATTTTTGGAAGATTCAGGACATTTTGGAAGTTCATATGAATCTAGTAGAAACTTAGGATGTCATGTAAAATCATTATCACAAAGAAAAAAAATCCATGAAAATTTGGGATCCGACAGTTCTCTTTTTTCTTCACTCTCGTATTTAACTTTTGAAATATTTACTCAGATGTTAACCAAAAGTTCGAATATTACTAGAATATCATACATTTTCTAAAAATTACTCATATGTTTTGAGCATTTGTGTAATTACAATTAACACCCTTCATTAGTTTTTTTTAATTAATAATTTTTAATTCGTTTTTAATTAAAAATAATAAATAAAAATTTGATTATCCATGTCATTAATCCACATCACCAATCTCACACTCCTCAAACTCACGTTATTTCTCCTCTTCTCTTTTTTGTCTCCAAATCCAAGAAAAGCTTTTAGATCATTTTTCCTCTTCTCTTTTTTTTTTCTCCAAATCCAAGAAAAGCTTTTAGATCTAATAATCTGCAACTAACTTGGGTACAACATTGACAGAGATCTTCAAATTGCAGGATTGGGCTGGATCTTCCTAGACCTCACAGCCACAACGCTTGCCATAGGGTCCCAAATCAAAAGCTTCGTCAGATCTACTCGCAACCACGCTCACGAAAAAAGTTATCAAAAATCAAAACCCAAAACAAAGAGATCTATGGAATCCTACATGATTCGTTACAGGTTTGAGTTGAAATCAAGAATAGCTACTCTTTTACTTTGATTTTACATGTCTCTCGTTTAATCTTCCTCTCAATCGATCTATTTGGAGACATTTCTACTTCTATCTATGTTTTGATTCATACGGTTTAGTCTTCCTCCTATGTATCCCTCAAACATATTTTTACGAATCTTAATTTGATTGTTGTTATTTGACCAATAAATTTCATATTGTCTTCTCCAAAAAAATGTTGCTTTCCGATCTGTATTATAAATCAGCCGTAAAGTGATGTAACTCAGCCGTAACGTGATGTAACTCAGCCGTAACATATAATTTACACAACCTTTCGTCTTCCCTGAATGATAACTCAGCCGTGACATGTAATTTACCGAACCTTTCGTCTTCCCTGAAGCATATAACTCACCCGTAACATATAATTTACACCCATCTATCGTCTTCCCTGGAGAATATAACTCAGCCGTGACATGTAAATTTACCGAACCTTTCGTCTTCCCTTAAACATATAACTCAGTCGTAATGTAATTTTACCGAACCTTTTGTCTTCCCTGGAACATATAACTCAGCTGTGACATGTAAATTGACCGAACTTTTTGTCTTTCCTTAAGCATATAACTCAGCCGTAATGTAATTTTACCGAACCTTTCGTCTTCCCTGGAACATATAACTCAGCCGTGACATGTAAATTGACCGAACCTTTCGTCTTCCCTTAAGCATATAACTCAGCCGTGACATGTAAATTTGCAGCGAAACAATAAGAGACGCAACATTTCCTCTAACTTTATCATCGAGCACCAACTTCACAAGTTTTTCGTGCGTTGTTTTCGCATCTATCTGCACAACTCTACACCCTCTTTCATCGGTGTTAAATACGTATTTGTGTTTTTATACCCAATTACCGGAACCGGATCAACCATATCGGGAGAAGGATGAAAGAAATTGAAGAAGAATGAGGAAGACGATGAGGAATTGGAAGTTCCGGTGATGTGATAAACTCAGGTGAAGAAGACGAGTTGAAAAAATTTGGCCCTATTTTTTTGTCCTTTGATGATGATAACATGGAATGATGACATGGAATGATGACATGGAATGTTGCATCCACGTCATTTTTTAATTGATGAAGTGGCAAGTAAGCCACCAAACGAAAATGTAAATCAGCTTAATTAAACCAGCCATCAAACAAAACTTTAACTCAGCCGCAACATGAATACTATTACAGTAATTAAAAAACGAAAAAACGGCAGCCAAATTCAGCCGTTTACTGTCGTAACTCAACCAAAAATATTTAACTCAGTCGTGTCGTTTAATAAGTCGGCCGTCATTGCATGCTATTCTAGTAATTAATCTTTCGCTACTAAGTCAGCCATAATAAGGCCGAGTTTTCCGTTAATCCAGCTCATTACGGCTGATTTATGATACTCGAACATAAATCAGCCGTAACGTCATCCCGTAACTAAGCCGTCTTTGATAACTCAGCCAGCCGGAGAAAGTTAAGTCAGCCGTGTCGAAGCAATAACTCAGCCAAAAATTTGACAAATCAACCATCGGGTGAAAACTCAGCCGTAACTTAGGCTGGGTTATGCTCGAAAGTCAGCCATTTTATCATAACTCAGACAGATTTCAGTAAGTCAGCCGTAACTCCAGGCTGGGTTAAACTCGTAAGTCAGCCGTTTGCTCATAACTCAGCCATTTTTCTTAAATCAGCCGCAACATACCGTAACTCAGCCGTCACTGCCGCTATATCGCTCGACGGCTGAGTTCATTAATACACGTCAGCGATTTCTGACGTGGCGACGCGGCTTTGCTGACGTGGCAGTGGCATTCTTTGTAATTACGTTTTTTCCTGTAACGTTTAACAGGGGCACGCTGGGTATAAAAAATATACCCGAAATATGATAGTAATAAAAAAAAGATCTGTATGTTTCTGGTAATTTCATATAAAATGTATAACATCTGAGTAAATCTCCCTTAACTTTTTGCAGCATGATTGTTTCCACAACATTACACAGGAAATCAAACTTCAATTTTCATTGACCATTCGTTAATTAAACAATAAACCTAACAAGGCTTTAGATTAAACACGATTTAGTCATCTACGCCCAGTTGATCCCATCCATCACTCAGTAGCTCGATCATATCAGACAGAATACTAGATTGTCTCTCTGAAGTTAACAAGCAGACGTAATAGAGCAAGCAGACGTGCTCGGCTCTCTTTGCCATAAGAGCTGGGTGCTATGAGGCTCTCAACGTATGTATCGGCCTCGAATCCAACACCGACCTTATACCCGCGAATACTCATTCTCCTGGATGCATCAGTCTTGAAGTTGTACAACACCATGTCTCCATCAACGTCCAGAAGAACCTCATCATCGTTCTTAGTCGAACACTGTGGTCTCATCACCCAGTACGACAAGCTGATCCGCATTCTGCTCCACGATTTAGCTTCACCGTACTCATTCATTACCCATATATCATCGTGCTGCCCGTTGCAATGATTGACCACACACAGACGTCCACTGAGACATCCGACCATAAACTCTCCACGCTTATGGGAACAATCCTCAGCTTCATCAGGAAATGGCATCTCTCGAAACTCCTCGGTTGTAAGATCAAAGACTAGGATTACTCTATGGTCCTCATGACGAGTGAGCACCCAGTGAATCGCACCGTTGAAATGCACACCGCAAGTGTGGAAGGCATTGCTGCCTTTATAATTCAAAATGCAGATCCGTCTCCATGAGTTTGCCTTCAAGGAGTAGACACTAGCATCGAGAATATGTTGATTAGACTCACTAGTAGCAACAAGCTTCACCACTTTGTAATCATGAGTATGATCATCGAAGCCAAATCCATAACTTCGGAAATTAAATGATTCTACAGGAGTAGTATCAACAGGAGCTTCAGGTAATCTCTTGGAATCTCCGGTGGTTGGGTTAAACAAGAAAAGAGGACCTTTTTTATAACTAGCACCAAGAGATAGACACACTAAACCGTTGGAAGATCCAACGATCACGACCCAGCTTCTTCTATATGAATGTCTTCCTATCTGATCCATCATGCTCGGGTCGTCTTTAAGCGGATAATTGAGTTCCACTGCCGCTACTAATTCCCTACTTCCTTCACATCCGTCACCGATCGAATCCACATCCACCGAGTATAGATTATACGTAGACACGATCATCTTCCTGTGGTTTGATCGTTCGAGGTGACTCTTCACGAACCACGGACTCGACGATAAAGAGCAAAACAACTTCGATACGCACCGGCATTGCCCGATCGATTTGGTCGGTAATCGAAGGAGAATCTCCGTGATGATCTCAGGAGGAAGGAAGAGAAATCCGTGTGAAGCTTCGTCGTTGGTCCCTTCTCTCTGCCTTTCTCTCTTCGCCGCCTCCATTCTCGCTTTTATGAAACGTTCGCGTCTGATGACAACTCTTTACTGTGATCTGAACCCTAAATGTTTCCCGGTTTATTTCGGTTGTTCAAAAAAAAAGCTTTTAATCCCAATTTCCCGGTTAAATAGTCAGACCGGAGTTACTTTTTTTTTTAGTTTTAAGTTAGGGTCCCTTTAAGTTATTTGCTCCTCTATAAACCAGATAGAAAAGCCACTGATTTTTCGAACAACATTACATATGTATAGACAAGTACTGATATAAATACAATTACACTCGATTTGCCATTCCGCAGCATTACAATGTGAATACTAGATTATGTTCTGAACTAAAACATTGCTAATCCGAATGTTGGTTTATTATATCTTAGAGAAAGCAGACTTCCTCAGCTCTCTCTACCACAAGGGTTGGGTGATATGAGGCTCTCTACGTACGTATTGGCCTCGAATCCGTCACTAAGCTTAATCCCGCGAATTCCCAGATTACTCGATGTGTCGGTCTCAAAGTTGTACAACACCATGTCTCCATCAAGCTCTAGAAGAACCTCTTCTTTGTTCTTAGTCGAACACAGCGGTTTCATCGACCTATACAACAAGTTGATCCGGATTCGGCTCCATGATTTAGCTTCACCGTACTCACTCATCAGCCATATATCATCGTGCTGCTCGTAGCAACTATTGACCACACAGAGACGTCCACTGAGACTTCCGACCACAAAATTTCTAAACCTATGGGAACAATCTTCAGCTTCATCAGGTAATGGCATCTCTCGAAACTCCTCGGTTTCAATATCAAATGCTACAACCACTCTTTGGTTGTGGCTACTCTCTGTGAACACCCAGTGAATCGCACCGTTGAAACGCACACCGGACGTGTAGAAACCATCGTTGTGCTCATAATTCAAATTGCAGATCCGTCTCCATGAGTCAGCCTTCAAGGAATAGACACTAGCATCAAGAATATCGTCACTGGTAGCAACAAGCTTCACCACTTTGTAATCATCCGTGAGATCATCGAAACCAAATCCATAAGTTTGGAAATTATCTCTTCCGTATTCTACAGATTTGGGACGCAAAGTTTCAGGTAATCTCTTGGAATCTCCGGTGGTTGGATTATACAAGAAAACAGCTCCTTCACCAGGAGAGATACACACTAAACCATTTGAAGATCCGACGATCTCAACCCAGTTTCTTCGATACGATTTCGCATTCAGCTTAAGCATCACACGACGATCATCGTCGTCAACCTCAGATCCACCATCGTACAGATGCTCTCTCACGTAATTCCTAATCATCTCAGAGAAAATGCTTGGATCGTCTTTAAGAGGATAATTGAGTTCCACAGCCGCTAAATCCCTAATTCCGTCACGGATTGAATCGAAATCTAAAGAGTATAGATTATGTGAAGAGACGATGAGCTTACGGTGGAGCGATTTTACGGCGTCGTTTCGAAGGATCAGATGGAGGTGATTCTTCGCGAATCCTGGATCCGATGACAGAGAGTAAAATAGCTTTGATACGCACCTGAATCGCCCGATCGATTTAGCCGGTAATCGGAGAAGAATTTCTGTAATGATCTCTGGAGGAAGGACGAGTGATTCCGGTGAAGCTTTTTCGTTGGTCTCTTCTTCGCCGTCGTCATCGTCTCTCCGTCTTTCTTTCTTCGTCGCTTTCATTATCGCTTCCCACAGCAACTGGATCGCATTCATCGTTAGCGTCTGGCAGCTTCTCTGCTATGACCCGACACCTTAATTTAGCCCGGTAACACTGGATCCGGGTCTAATTTCGGTTGTCTTAATTCAATCCCAATTTCCCGGTTAAACGGTTATATAGTCAAACCGGGTGATGACGACCATAACAGAGTTTGAGTTATTTGCTCCCTATTCAAAACAAATTCAAGCTAATAAACTTTTGTAAATTTTCTCATTAAATTAATTATTAGATATAACTTGCTGATGTACATTGATTTGGATTTTTCCATAAGATATACAGAATCAATTTATTCTGATTTGATTTGAAAATCCAATCCAAATTTTTGTTCCAACATTTGAATCTTGATCCTAATGGTTCCCAAAGGTGATCACAAACATCAATTATCATCATGTGTTAATGTGGAAGGAACATAACCTGAACGGGTATGAGTTAAATAGAACATCTAGGAAATTCGTGACTATATATAGTTGATTATTTTCTATTATTACATTCTTGTGTCCATAGTTGATTAGTAGACAGACTCGTTAATACAAATCCTATTAATTGAACCTAAGCCAGCGACCTCATAACCAAAGATTAAAACAAAACTCAACAATTGGTTAAGTTACTAACTTGATAGGTTTGGTTTGTTTCATCCGAATTGAACCTTCCTATGCAGATATTTCTCGAATAGACTGTAACTTCATATTCTAATTAATTTTCAGGCCTTAAACTAGTTTGGGATGTTATGATTAAACTTTCTTTGAATCCAAGAAACGCAGTAGCCGATATATTCGCTCTTTGTAAACTCTCATTTTTACTCTCACCCGGCCCTCTTCATGTCACGATCTTTCGTTTGTAACATATATGATCACGATCAAGCTTACGGAAACATAAAAGACACAAAGAATTTAACGAGTTCAGATCTCCAATGTGGAGACCCTACATCTCGCCGGGAGTTTTTACTCCCGGAAATCCACTAATATCATCATCTTCATCTCTTTTACAAGTGGTACACCAAAACCTACTTTGGTGTATCTTTTGATCTCTTTGGATCATTCAGATTCTAATGTTTTCATTATCCAAATACAATATCTTCGGAGATAGCGCCCTAACCCTATTCTTGGTGGAGAAGAAAAGGGTGGTTGAGAAGCTGTGAAGCTGTCCATCTCTCCCTCGCTTTCTTCCGTAAACAGCAGTCTATGAAACTCTTCAACTCGGTAGAGCATTCTTCAGGGGCTTTCGGTGGTTCTCCAAAGCACACGGCGCATATTATCGCGGCCTGGTCTGGTTTCTGTCCTTGAGGAAGCATAGGGTAGTAACCCACCAAGATCTCGAGCATCGTAAGGCCAAAACTCCATATATCTCCGGCGTAAACGTTTGATTTGTCTTCTTCTGTAACACCATCAGCTTCACTATCGAGTCTCTCAGGACTCATGTAGGCGTACGTGCCGACGAACGAGTTGCACTTGTTGAAAGACTTGACCACGATCTTGCTCACTCCAAAGTCAGCGATTTTGACTTCTTCTTTCGAGCTACGTAGCAGGTTCGCTGGCTTAATATCTCTATGTACGATCTTGTGCTCGTGCAAGTAGTTTAACCCTTCCAAAACCTGACGAGCCATCAAAGCTAGTTGGTTCTCTGAAACACCGCTTAGAGACTCGAGCGTACCAAGATTCATGTATTCCATTAGAATAGATACTTCTCCGGAAGGATTCTGGAAGATGTCGTGACATTTTACGACGTAAGGAGAGTTGACCATGCGAAGGATTTCGATCTCGCGGCCGGGGGAAGTAGAATCGATGTTTTCTTTGACTTTCTTCAACGCATAGATCTCTGAGGTTGTCTTGTCTTTAACTTTGAATACGGTTCCTCCGTTTCCACTGCCTAGAACATTGATTCTGTCCAAATTAGCTATAGAAAAAGTGTTGCTTGCGCAGGAAGAAACTGTTGCAGAGGCTTTTGTAGCGGCTACGATGGGGAGGCGGTAAGGGGGGATAATAGTAGGAGCTTGTATAGGAGACAGCTTGAGATTAAGGAATCGATGATCTCTAACTCTAACCATAACCATCGTGTTGTTGTTGAATGATCGATCTTCAAGAGCTTAGGTTTTTTTTTTTTTTTTTTTTTGAGAGTATAGGCTTTGTATCGAACAAGCAGTATTGATTAATGTAGGAGGAATCCACAATTTTTTCTGAAATTCTATATTTTCATGATTTAGTTTACATGTCAAATTGGTTTTGGATCGATCTGATACGCATAATATTATCATTTCATTTCCCAAAATCTCAAATCACGTAAAAGATTTTAAAGTTTGTTGTGATTTGTTTGTTTATTTTTTTATATATAGAAAATAATTGAAGATATTATAAAATTTGTAAACAAATTTTGGATTTTTGGATCCTGCACCATGATCTCGTTATACCGAATGTATATATAAAAATAAAATAAAAAGTAAATAAGCTCTTTACGTGGAGAATGTTTAACTCTGATTATTAATTAAATGGCTTATAGATAAGCCTTTTAAAAACCAGAAATCCTACAAAAACTTTAAACTACATAAAAATGATACTTCCATGAATAAGACTTTCATTAACTACAAAGTTGAATATTCCCTCAAGCTTATAAGCTGGCTTTCTCTCCTTTATGTAACTGTTTTTATTTATGGAACCCTTTAACAAAAAAAAACAAAAGTTGAATATTCCACCCCCCCCCCCCCCCCCCCCCCCCCAAAAAAAAAAGTTAAAGAAAAGATTGGACAAAAGAGTGCAGAGAGATTGTAGTACAGAAGAGGAGATGGTTTTTCCACTTTGGTGTCATTGATTGACTCATCCTTTCATTTACTGCTATCATTGACTGTAATATAGTAAAACTTATGGGGTTTTTTTGAAAATTAATTGGGGTCAAATGGTAAATAAAGTAAAGATGAATTAACCCAACAGTCCAACACCATCTCACCTCTCTATACTCTCTCTGTCTCTCTCACTCTCTCCGGTGATCGGTGATCCAAATCCTGATTCAGTCTCTGGACTTGTTCTTTCTTCTTAGTGACACTTTTCCACCAGATTAGCTCAACTTCTTGGTAATAATTTCTTCTCTTTTTTCTCAGTTTCTCTTAAATTTTATACCTTGCATTATACTTTACATAATTCGTCTGCTCTATCTCTTTCCTCACACTCACACACAGAGTTCCTGCAACTTCCATGGCTTCCGGTGATGTACTTCCTCGTTTCTACACTGTCTTTCTTTCCAACATCAGTTCCAACTCTTTGGTATGATTTTTCTCTTGATTTTTAGTTTGTCTCTGAAAATAATTAGGTTATGTGTCTGAGTTGGTTTCTAGGAAAAATCTATTTGCTTTATATATATGTTAAGTCTTGGTGTGAGTAATTTACCTCTGAAACAACAACACTCGTATGTTTTACCTCTCTTTTAATTGTTCAAAGATTTTAACTTTTTCACCAACTTAGGTCAAGACTATATAGAGTTGAATTTCTAAAGTTTTTCTCCAATGTGTAAGATTCAAAAACAGAGTTTTTGCTTTAAACAAGAATCATATGTTAAGTGTTTACAAATCCCTAGATAGAAAAATTTGCCCATAGCTGCAGAAAAAGTCTCTCGTTTATGTTGTTTAGCTTCTCATTCATTTCTACAGTTTTAACTTGTGTTACATTTTCTTGTGTTGATGAGAAGCTGATACCAAGGGTTTACTACGAACATTTACCGCGTCGGTTGCCCAAAACAGCGATTCTCACGGGAACTGGTGGAAGATTTTGGAAAGTAGCTATGCTGAGCAAGCGAGAGCAAGTGTATTTTGAACAAGGCTGGGGAAATTTTGTGGCGGATAACGATCTAAAAGATGGAGAGTTCTTGACGTTTGTGTTTGATGGGCACAAAAGTTATGAAGTAAGTATATATGGTCGCGGAGAATGCAAAGAGACACGAGCAGTCATTCAAGTTGAAGAGATCTCTGATGAGACAGAAAGTGACAACGATTCTCTTGGTAGCCTTGTTGACGTAACACCCATGCCAGTGGAAGAGAACTCTGATGATGATACAGAAGGTGACGATGATTCTGGTGATAGCGTTGTTGACGTAACACCCATGCCAGTGGAAGAGATAAGTGATGCGAGTGAGAATGACTCTTCTTGAGGTTATAAAAAACATTGTCCTTAAATCATCTGATTGATGCTGAACTATTCGTATGTTTAAGTAACTTGTCTTCTGTGGACATGACTTCTCTTGTATCTAGAACTGTCAAATGGGCTGTCCAAAGCCCAATGGTCATGTCCATTTGGACCATTATTTTCATGGGCTCTAATGGTTTGGTCCTTAATGGACAATGGTCTAAAAACTTGTCCAAACCCATTAAGGACCATGTCCAATGGCCAGCCCATGGTCAGCCCATTTTTTTAAAACAATACAAAGACAAAAAGCTCATAAAACTCATAAAATCAAATTTCAAATTTCAAGTCACATTGTTGCATAACAGATTTTTTACATAGAAATACCAAAGTTTGTGGAGCACTCTCAAAATCCAGAAGCTAAAGAGCTTGAATAGCTTTAAGAGAAGGAGTATTAAGACCTAGACATAAGCAAATTCAGAGCATAAAGAACAGTAAACACATCATCTAACAGCCAAATAAACACATACATGAATCATACAGTGTAGAAAAGACTCTGACCTTATCTCTGATAAAGTGTCTGACTCTGATACTTGAATGGCTCCTATTTTTTCGGTTGTCTTTAAGCTTAGCTCCTGCTCTTCTGCAGCACAATGCAGAGCAGACACGTTAGTAACACAGGTTTAACATAATAGACAATTGATAGTACAAGGTGGTTAACAGCTATCAACTAGACTTGCAATTATACATAGACAAAACAAAACAAAAAAAGAAGTTGCATTATTACAAGGGAGTATTAATTAACCAATTTACTCTTTAGACAAAACCACGTTCATGGCCAACTCATGTCATGTTAGAGGAGAGACTAAGCATAAACGCCATCACATCACATCATCTATCCATATACACAGATGCTTTTAGTTGTGAGTGTCTTAAGTTTCAAACCAAAGCCATTCAAGAAACCAGAAACTAGACAAATCTCAAATTTTTCACCAACAATCCATTGCTAGATCGAATTGAGAATCAGAGAGATAGAAGAACGAATTTAAGGGGGAGCAATGAAGGAGAAAACAAAGCTAAAAAAGGGTCACAAACTCACAAAAGCATACACTAGTACAAGTTTTCAAGAATCCAGAATCTTTGATTCAAAATCATGATTATGAACTTACTCTAATGAACAAGCCTTAAAATCTAATAAAGAAGAGAGAAAGAGAATGATGACCCAAAAGAAAAACATACATCAGCCTATCATAGTTACAAAAGACTGACTGGTTCTTAAAAGTTTTGTAGTTTACATGATTAGACCAAGAGGCTAATAGAAGAGACTACCAATTATGTGAAGCTTTTATCAAAAACAAACCAATTCTGTGAGGCATTTCATCAAACACGTGGTTGGCATCAACAATTTCAAGCTCTAAACTCGTCAAAACCATTCAGTTGTTAATTCATAAACCTAGTAATCATTCAAATTGGAACCATAATTCTCAATTCATTACACTAAGAACAAAACGAGTGAAATATGGACAAACCCACAAGCTGAAATATGAACAAAACTCAATGCTAAGATTGTTTCAGAAATTCACCTCTAAATTGTGGCGGATTGTTGGTGAGACTCGAGACTGGTTCGTACCAAAAAGGATAAACACCAACACGATGATGATGATTGTTGCTCATACAACGGAGCTCCGGTTCGTGACAAGTCCCGATGATGAGTCCAACCTTCCGATTCTGAAGCCGTAACAGAGACTCAGAGAGGAGACAAAAAGAGATTTAATTTTCCCCCAAAATTGAATAACCCTAGTTTTTAATGAATCTGGGCCAACCAATTGTCCGCATGGGCTAGCCCATTATGTCCATGGACAAAATTGGTCTTTAGACCAGATGACCCATTTTATTTATGGGCTGACCACGGACCGTCCATAATATTTTGGACTGGGCTTAGTCCATGGTCAGATGACCATTTGACAGTTCTACTTGTATCACTTCATCCCTCAAGTAGTTTTCGGCATTGTTAGGATTATAAACTCTGTTTGAATCTGAGAAATTGCACTATTTTTTTTTTTCGTCAAATCAATTATATTGATATCAAAAAGTGTTTACAAAATACAGAAACATTCCAATACAACCGTTGTACGCAAATATAGGAAATTGAAACAATTTCGATGAAGGAGTGGAAGTGACCCGGCTAGCTTTTGGTAGACTTATAGGCAACAGATGTAATCTGTTAAGTCCCCCCTTCACACACTTTTTGTTGGCTATCAGCTTGCTGCTGAAACTCCAAAATGCCTTTGGCATTACTTTAATTAGGAAATGTTGATTTAATGTTGTTGGAGATGATTCTAAATCTTGTCGCCTTCTTGAAATCGATATACTTGATGATTCCGGCAATGACTTTCTATGTTCCTTAGCAAGGCCCCATTGTCTTCTCACGCATTGATGTTGCCATAATAAATCGTTCCAATGCCACCATAAAATATTTGAAAGTCTATAAGTCTCATTAGAGTAAATAATGTTAATGTATTTGATAATGAGACTATCTACGTTTGCTTGAACAAGGAGAATAAACCAATCGCATGAACCACCATGTGCATGTCTCGGTTTATACAATCGACCAAACGAATAAATAAGATTCTCTTGAGTTTGTGAAGAACATTGACCTCTTTCCGGCAAAGAAGAGATTGCCGACCAGGGGAAGTGATCACCGTCAACACCATCTGTAAGCGTCAATTTCTTAACTTTGCAGCTAAATAGCAAATCATCAAAACTCAAGATATGAACCGGCGAATCAGAGATTTCAAACCACGAGAAGGGCGAAGCATTATCATCACTGGAACGTATGGGCACCATAAAGAGAATGAGGATCAAGATCTTAACCGTCGAGAATAAGAGGCGGTTGTTAGTAATAAACATTGGCTGGGATTTAATCGCACCCTTTTCTGATCCGACATATGATGCTCCAGGATCCCAAATCTGAGATTGCATTTTGTCTCTCGATTTGGTAAAATTGATGTCAAATTTAACTATCCCAGGGTGGTGGTGAAGAACGGTTTTAATCGTGAACCAAAGGAAGCCGCTTGGACAGATCCTCAGCGGAAAGGCGCCGCCACTGCTCCGATATCTTTGCCGGATCATGGTCGGAAAGTAACTCTCACAAAAGGAGAGAAAAGCGATGAGAGGTTGGATGACGAACACAATCCCGATTGTCTTGGGAATCATTGCCGAGTGTATTTAATACTAAAACTATGAGGAAATTAGAAGTCGAAGCAAAAGCGATAAGGGCCGACGCCGGAGAAGCCGACGCCGGCCGGGAAAAAACGGTTCAGAAACGAAGGGTTGTCTTGGATGAATAATCGGAGTCTCTCTAGAGAGAAAAAACGGTTTCTAAAAACGGTTTAAATAAAACATGGTTTGAGAAATTGCACTATTACGAGAACATTAAACAATGGTTTTTAACGAAGAGCACTATTACGAGAGAAGTGTATCTTTCTTTACAAGGTATGTGTATATACGGATGGAATTTGAGATTTATCTCTAATTTGAACTTTGAGCGACTTTTTAAATGATTGTAAAAATAAACGATATATTTCATAATTAGCACACTTTTCTTCTTTTTTCTTACAAAATAATTATGTATTAGTTTAAAACTTTGATGCAGAGAGCTCTAAGTTTCTCAAGAGGAAGATGAAAACTTATGATTGTTCATCCTCAAGCATTTTTAAAGCCAGTTCAGCTAACCAATGAACCGTTCTGCTCTGTCGGCTCACTCCAACCGTGCCAGAGAAAACATCAAAGTTCTCAAGCTCAGCCGTAGTTTCCAGAACCTTCACGAGCTCTTTCTCCATACCCAAATCTCTGAACATCCCAACGTTCTCCACATCATCTTCCATCATCCATATCGCAAGCTCTATCACAAATCTCCTGATTCTTGGAACCTTGATTGCTGGCTTGTCATGCTTTTTCAGAATCGATACCAGTGTGTTCGCAAGTTCTAGCTTTTTGATCCCTGAATCCGTCAGAACAATATTTGCTTCTTCTGAAGTCATGAATTTGAACACTTGTGCTGCTAATCCTAGCATCACTTCCAGTAATTTGTTGTCACCTGATGTTATTGACTTCAACACCTGCACGAAAACAGAACAAGTTTTAACCTTTTGGGGGTTCAACGCAGTATTTGTAACGACAGACTGACATACTCACTGTAGGCGCTGCTGTTTTAATGAATCTCAGGTCGAGAAAGCATTCATGTCCAGAATATATGCACAAGTTTCTCAACACTCTCGCTGCATTGACACGGATCAAAGGAACTTCAAGTGCATCCACAAGTCTTCCAAAGACTCCTAGCTTCAGAATTTGGATGCAGTTGCTTCTGCTCTCCAAAGCAAGCATCCCTATAGCTTCACCTGCAGCGATTCTGACCCGGTTTTCATTCTCATCCCCATGTGTTTTTCTTTTCAAGAAGATGGTGAACAGCTCTTTCAAGACACCTCCAGTAATGCCAATTCTCTCCCGCGCATCAGTCTCAAGCGCGAGGAAGCTCAGAATCTCGATCCCGAGTTTCTGCAATTTTGGGTATCTCACTCCATGGCGCAGTACGTCTCTCAAGTTACTGATTGTGAAGACGATTTCTGAGATCTCCCTCCTGAGACATTTCCCGGTGTCGCCGCTTGTGCTTACTAACATTTTCACTAGCTGCAGTGACCGTTTCACTGTCAGGACTCGTGACAGAACCATGTCTGCGTTCTCATCCTTCAAGAGTGTTGAGTCGGTGTGCGTGAAGTCAATGATCTTAGGGAGAAGCCCTCTCGTGTTACCGATTTTCCCACAGTTGTCATGATCTCTGGATAATTTCTTTAGAATCAAGAGGCCCAAATTGTTGAACCTCCAGAAATCGTAGTGTAGATGATGGTCGTGGAAGATTTTCTTCTCTCCAATCTCGTCAGGAGCTTCCCCTAAAGATCTTGTGTTCTGTAACAGTGATGAAATCGACTCCATCGCACCAGAGATTCCGGCAACTCTGAGAGAGTTCTGCTTTTTGCCAGCGAGTTTTGAGAGTATCTCAGCCGCTGATCTCCTAATCTCTTCTTCTTGCAGATCTTTCCAGTTCAACATCTCCACCAACCTGGACAAGAACAAAAAACAAATCGATATTTTACGAAAATGATTAGATATATGTACCACAGCACATTTATAGAAAGAATAAGATCAGCTTTGTTTCTGTTTCCACAAACTGCAATCTCAATATGATTAAGCTCTCTACAAATTTACCATCTTAACTTTGTAAAGAACAAACCTTTCAATGACAGGTAAGTTGATTCCGATCTTCTCAAGTGTATCCTCTGCGAACCGCTCATTTACAGCAAACTGCCTAAGAATCTTCGCTCCGATGAGCTGTTCATCAGAGCAGTTCGAGCCCAAGAGATCCATAGCAAAGCTCACCATATCCATCTTCACACCATCAAAGATACTCCCATTGACAGACTTCGAGTAAGCATCATAGAAGAATCTCTTGATAGAGACCATTCCACTAACCCCAAACCCACACTCTCTAGTCACGTTCTCAAGCAAGTTACACACACTGACCTCCCACTCCCAGTAAGCTTTCTCCACAAGGAACAACAACGCCTCGGCAAGCGCAAGCGAGTAGAAGATGCTGAGAGCGGCTTGTCTGTTCCTTTTGTCCAAGTCTCCGTCTTGAACATCTCCGTAGTTGTGCATTACGAGCTTGTAGGAAGACAGAGCCACACAAGCACTCGCTGACAAAAGCTGGAGCCAGTAGAGAAGCCGGCTCACATAGCTGGAGATGTATAGCCATCTCGCATATGGAAGAAGAGGAACTTCTGAGTTCTTCCATGTCAGAGTTGTTCGACGATCAAAGGTCTCTTGTCGTCCGATTCTCGTCGTCGCTTCTCTCAATCCATTATCGAGGATCGGCTTAAAGACCCTATCGCTGCAGAGGAACTCAAATGTTAACCCTAAATTGAATCGATTCCAATTCGATTAAGCAAGAGAGAAGAGAGTATCGAAACCTGATTCGTTTAAGATTTCTGAGAAGTGAAATTGAGCTTGATTGGATCACGCGGAAGCTACTGATTCCGACGCCGGCTACAGTCCACGTGGCATGGTGTTGCCACTCGAGCTCGTGGCTTCTGCTGAAGATTCGAGTGCCTTCGATGAGGAGAATGATGGTGATAAACCAGAAGTCGGATTTTTCGAGTGTGATCGCGAATCCGCCGAGAAGAACCACCGTGGCCCAAATGAAACCTAAGGTTCCGAGATTCGTGGCGATTTTCTCTATGATTGCGAGACGGAGAGCGAAGAGTGTGAGCTTCTGCTCCGGCGCGGGTGATGTTGATCTGTGAAACGCGATCGCGGAAGATACAGACGCAGCGTCTGCGGTTTCGCCGCTGTCTCCTTTCTCGACGCTGTTTCTATAATCCAAAACGGTGTCGCTTGAGCCTCGTGCTTCTTCCAATTTTTGGAGCTCCAACACCTACATTTGAAATGAAAATTAATTATTTTTTCCCCAAATAATTTTTCAAAGTTTTTAAATTCGACGTTTCCTTTTTACATATGTTAAACACATGTCTAAATTCGAGGTCTTTTAACCACCCTTTAATTTTGGCTATTGTATGACTTAGAAATTAGAATAAGATTTATTATGAAACACTATTAATATTTGCAGAAAAGTTTCGAATTTTTATTGTTTTCTTAGTTCTCATTTATAAGAAATTTATTGAAGATAGAGAGGGTTCACTATCGACATTTCAAATTAAGGTAAAAATTTACTTTCAATTACATATGGAAACACCATGCAAGTAGTACGACTATTATTAGAATCAAACCGAGGTATGTTATCTCGTATACATACAATGATCAAATGTACGTGATCAACGATGTTGAAAAAATGTGTTGAAGACTAGTCGAATTAAATCCTAAAGTGAAAGTAAAAAGAGTGAAGCACAAAACTTTTATATGTGTAGTTTCAAGAAAAGAAAAACCTGCAAATGGATGCTCCGATCATCCTCTCCAAAATTCTCGGAATACATTAAACCTTGAGAGAATTTTCCTTTTTAGTTACTATTATTTTTAATTAGGATTTCGTTGATGATGGATACAAATGAGAAAAAGGCATGATTATATATATGTTGCATCTATTTGTGTGTATAAGAGACAAGACAGAAGAAAAGCAAAGAGTGGAGAAGAAGACAACAATGAGGCGAAAATTGGAAAAGGAAGTGTGCAAGAAAGTGTAACTTCAAATTGCTGTTTTATTTTCTGTCACACAATAATCATAAAGTGTTTTCTTCTTCATCCAATCATTATATCAAGAAGACGATCTTCCTTCTAAAGAAAGAAATGTCATTGACTTGATGAGAGGCATGTTGTCTTGTGCCACGTACAAATTGTAACATAAATTGATTGTCCTTTAGCAAGCAAAACAAAAGCTATTCTGCATATTATTATTAATCCGCAATTCGGTTTGCAAATTATTAACATCATAAGAAATGTCAAACTCAAGTCAATATTTTCTGTTCACATATGTCATGAGTTATTGGAAATTAAGAGTTGACGTACGGCACTAGAATAATGTATGAAATAATCTTTTGTGTGTCAAGCTCAAAGGCTTATATTTGAGTCATCACCTTATTAATTTATGAAATTTATCTCTATTTTTGTTTTATTTTTAATTGGAGGCAGATATCTTGAACCTTCTTTTTCATTTAGAATAAACATGTTCCGAAAGCCTTGGAACTCAGCCGCCACCCACCATCTTGTAAAGATTGATCAAGTGAATGCTAAATTAAATTGTTATCAACAACGCTCCATAACATTAAGTAACACGATTAATCAAACTGTGAGTGTGATAATAACAGAATCCATATAGCTAACTTTGATTCAAAAGGATTCCTTGTAACAGGGAGGAATCACCTGAATTTTCATTTCCCTTATACAGATACCAAAATTGTCTTGGTTCGCGATGAAACCGTGACTGGAGACAGCAAGCAATCTGCAAGAAACAATCGTGAAAACGTTAACAGTGCAAATACATTTGCATTCGGTATACCCGCAATTCCCAAAACATAGTTCCTAAATGACATCGCCAAACCTAAGAACTTTTGCAAGAAGCTCCCTAAACAAATCAGCTGCACAAGATTTTCCTGTTTATAACCAGATAATTCCAGTGATTTCAAGGATTCAAATCATATTTGAGCATGCTGGATCAACTAATTTAGCCAGGTGGTTAGCTAGATTTTCCAACTAATGATGGCATTGCAACAAAAGCAGATCATGTAAACAACTAAATCAATCAAAGCTTAATCATCTTCCTATCTCTCAACGCATCTAGCTGTATCTATTCTTCTTCAAGTAGCAAACAAAACTTCACATTTTAGTCCCATCAAAACATGGTACTGAATTGAACTTTCCAAAGCTTATTCCTCAATTGAATCTTAGCAAGTCAAGGTTTTTACATCAATCATACATTGAGAAACCTGAGTGCTTTAAAGAGAAGTAGAGTACCTGCACATCAAATCCTGACAATCCTTTGATGAACTTTAGATTTCTCCGCATCGATAATAGATTCCACTCGATTAACCGCATCATCAAGCCTCCCTTTGGCATTCACCACAACGTAATCAAAGTTCTTTAGATGCCTAACCTCTTCCCTCGCCGTAGCAACTCTAACAAGCAGCTCCTCTTGACTCTCCGTCTTCCGATCAATCAACCTCTCCACCATCGCAAGCTCACTCTCCGCCACAAGGAATATAAACACAGCAGAGTTACCAAGTATCCTCCTTAACGTCTGAGCTCCTTGAATATCAACTCTAAGAACAATGTCTTCCCCTTTAGCCATAAACTCCTGAATCTGCTTCTTTGGAATCCCTTTGTATTCACCATAAACAAGTGCGTATTCAAGAAGCTCTTCGTTCTCCACCATTGATAAAAATTGATCTCTCGAGACAAAGAAATAGTCTTTACCATCAACTTCACCAGGTCGCATCGGACGGCTAGTGGCGGTAACAACGAAATGTAGACCTTCACGAACCTCACGAAGCTTGTTGATCACTGCGTCTTTGCCAACTCCGCTAGGACCACTGATAACGATGACGATCTGATTCGGCGGTGGGATAATTGGATCCGCGGTGAAAGAAGAACCCAATTGAAATTCGAGGGAACGAAGCGATTCGGGTTTGGTGGGAGATTGATTTGAGGACGAACTAGAGTTATCAGGGATCTGGGTATCGGTCATTTTCAAGGAGGAATAAGAGAGAGCAGAAGAGTGACGGAGTAGTGGTTGAGGAAAAGAGCGGGAGATGAAGATGGGTTTGTTGGGGAAGATGATGGAGCGAGTGAAAGAAGAAGAACAGAGCTTGCGAATCATTTGGGGGGATTAAAGTATCAACCTTTGGGATTCCCAAAGAGCTTTTGCCGCGATTTTACCTGTATCTTCTTCTTCTTCGCTTAACACGATATCTAGGGTTTACTTGTTCAAAAATGTCTCTTTTAAAATTAAAAATAAAATCTTTTTTGGGTTTTATTTTAATTTCCGACGTTATTATTCGCAACCTACCAAATTGTTTGTGTTTAAAAGTTAAACCGATCAGTCAAGTGGTTGGTTCCTCTCTCTATCGCATCTCTCTCTCTTCCTCTCGTTTTTGGCCAACGTCGTCGTCGTCGTCTTCACGATCCACGACGATTCAGTTCTTGAGGTCCGGCGATTATCGGTTTCACTTTCTGATTCCGCTAAATCCCCCATTTCTCTTCTCGCCCGTGCTCTCAAATTCCGAAATTTCCCCTGTGATTCGAAACCCTAATTTCGTCGCCTATCAATCTGGAAAATCTCCCGTCTTCTTCTGAAATTTGAAGACTTTAGCAGCGGAAAGATACTTATTCCGGGTAAGAAGATCGAAGAAACCATCAATTTCTTACCAAAGTCGTGATTCTTGGATCTCGTCTTTGTTTGATGGACACAATTAGGGTTTCCACGGAGGTTCCTGGATCTTCGAAATCGACCTCACAGTCACTCACGGAGTCGACTTCTCGCACGGAAACCATCAATGGCTCACACGAATTCAAGATCAGCGGCTACTCTTTGGTCAAAGGGATGGGGATTGGCAAATACGTTGCCTCGGATACGTTCATGGTCGGTGGCTACTCTTGGGCGATCTACTTCTACCCAGATGGAAAAAGTCCAGAGGATAATTCTGTGTACGTGTCTCTCTTCATAGCCCTCGCGAGCGAAGGAGCCGATGTTAGGGCTTTGTTTGAGCTCACCCTCGTGGATCAGAGCGGTAACGAAAGGCACAAGGTTCATAGCCATTTTGGTAGAACTCTAGAAAGCGGACCCTATACTCTTAAATATCGAGGAAGTATGTGGTAAGTAATGCTATGGACTAGTCTCTGCCTTGTACTGATGAGTTTAGATATTGTGATATGTATGGGTTTCTAAAATGTTTAATTTGCTGATGATTACTTAATTTTTAGGGGATACAAACGTTTTTTCAAGAGGTCTCTTTTGGAGTCATCGGACTATCTGAAGGACAATAGTCTCTTGGTCCGGTGTTGTGTTGGAGTGGTGAAGTCACGCACAGAAGGACCGAGGAGTTACAATATCCAGGTGCCGGTTTCTGACTTGGGTCAGCGGTTTGGAAAGCTTTTGGAAAGTGGGAAAGGAGCTGATGTTAATTTCGAAGTTGATGGAGAAACATTTCCTGCTCACAAATTGGTTCTTGCAGCACGTTCTGCAGTTTTGAGGGCACAGCTTTTTGGCCCGTTGAGAAGTGAAAATACCAAATGTATAATCATAGAAGACATACAAGCCCCTATTTTCAAGGTCCTCCCTTTAACTCTTTTTCTGGACTAAATATGTTTTTCCTTGGCATGTCTTGGTAGAATTTTATATTTGTAATTGTAGCTTTAAGTTGAGGCTGTTAGTTTCAGTCCTAGGTGTATAAGGCCTTATAAGAAGAGATAGCTTTCTTGGTTCCTTGCCTTTTCTCGGGTGAGTGATTGTGGTGTGATACAGGATTTTCTATTTACGAGTGTACAATCCGGGACCTTCTCCTGGGGTGGTGCTCCTGTTCTCAAATATTACTCACCCGGGATAAGGTTTAATCTTTCTACTTCTCTTTTGGATTGCATGAATGTTTGTTTGCTTATTCATAGCTGCAATGTCTCCACTTCTCGTATGCAGTAAATACATGGAGAAATTCTGTTATAGGTGATCATGTCAAATTTGAACTTTTTTCTGCTTCACAGCTCGAGTTTTGTTTGTTTAGAGTGGTCTTTAGTCGATGTGAAAATTTAAGGTTGAAGCGTAGGTTGATACAAATTCCCTTTTCCTTTTGTTTTATTGTGCTTTTTTTGTTGTTGTTGTTGCAGATGTTGCTCCATTTTATCTACTGGGACGAATTGCCTGATATGCAAGACTTAATGGGCACAGACTTGAAATGGGCATCAACTCTTGTGGCTCAGCATCTGCTTGCAGCTGCAGACCGATATGCTCTTGAGCGGCTTAGAACAATATGTGAGTCAAAACTCTGTGAAGGAATCAGCATAAATACGGTTGCAACCACCTTGGCTCTTGCTGAGCAGCATCATTGTTTCCAGCTGAAAGCCGCCTGCCTCAAATTTATAGCTTTGCCAGAAAATCTAAAAGGTACAAAAGAACACTCCTTTCTTGAGTCACTTTGATCATGTCTGAAATCTGAAGGCCGTCTTTGTAATAAAAAGTTGTCTCTAATTTTTTGTAATTTCGTTAGCTGTGATGGAAACGGATGGGTTTGATTATCTGAAGGAAAGCTGCCCGTCCCTACTAAGTGAGCTATTGGAGTATGTGGCTAGGCTGAGTGAGCACTCTTTAACATCATCAGGGCATCGAAAGGAGTTATTTGCTGATGGTTGTGACTTAAATGGGAGACGTGTGAAGCAACGGTTACACTAAGCAATTAACTGAGAGAGAGAGAGAGGTCACTTTGAGAGCCTGAGATGATGATGGTGAAGTAAACAGAATTTTAGAAGAGTAAAGATTTGTGCATTTGTCATTGTAAAAGGATGAGTGGTTGATCTGTGTTGTTCAGCTAGCTAGTAGAGTGTAATGTTGTTGTTTTTTTCTTTTCTTCTCTTTTTTTTTTTTTTTTTTTTTTAGTTTGTTTCCACAGGATTTTATGACCAAAACCGCTTCTCTCAAGGAAAAAGTTTCATGTGACTTAAGTGATAAATTTGGACTTGCCAACAATAATGGCAGAAACTGGTTATAAAATGTTTGATACAAGAAAGGTCATTAAGCTTTCTTATTTGTGAGGTCCCAGACAATAAGCTTTTGATATGTCCATAGGACTGAACTATTTAAGCCTCAACCACACAACAAAGCTTTAAAGGCCACTTGAGGGACACATACCGAATTCAAGGAAACGGCTATTTTACAGCCAAACTTAAAAACAGTTGATTAGGTTGCATCTTCAGAAACAGATCATCTAAAAACACTTGAGTAGCTAAAAGAATCTCTAGTTACATGAGCCAGTGAACTTGAAATCCAGTGAAGAAATCAAAGATAAACGTGTACTAGTTGTAAAAACGTTTTCCAACTTTAAGCAAACGAAGCAACCTAATCAGAGCACTTTTTTGCAATCCCTAGTTCCAGAATCCAAGGAACTGAACAAAATTGAGATCTAAACAAATTAGAGCAGTTCCAACGCCGAAGACACCAACATTCTTAATGAAACAGCTATCCCTCATCGAGATTTTGTAGACTTGCAATGAAATCAGCAGATCAGAATCAAGAGACAAGCAAACACGACATAGAGAAATCCATCGCCTAAAGAAATTCGTAGGAGGAAGTGCAGCAGCGATGTAATGTAGTGTAGTTCATATGATAAAGTGAAAAAATATGTTTCTTCCTTTTTTTACGTGGTATGTGAGGTAGTTCAATAAAAAGTTAAAGTGTTCAAGTTGTAATATTGGGACATTTCTAAGGTAAAAGAAATTAAAAAATCCGCAAACAAAGCTGTCTGGATTTCTCTAGTTTCCAAGATGAACTATGCAAACATTGAATGTGATACATCTATAATGATAGATTGAAGAGTTCCTATCGACCTGATCAGCGATGGTCTACCCCTCCCTTTAGAGCCAAGTTCGCTTGCGATCTGCAGAAGATAACCGCGTAAACTGAATCAGGATGCTAAGAGAAGAAATAAAATGACTTAAGAACAAAATGTTTAACCAAAAATACTTCAATTTGATTATGGATTAAATGAGAGATGTGAGTCAAACAAACAAAGAGAACAAGTCTGATAAGAGCACATACGACAAAAAAAAATCATAAAATCTACTGATGAGCAACCAACCAACAACCTTAGTCATAGTAGATGTGTAGATAATTATTACACATACAAAGCAATAAAAAAGAATAGGTTCATCTACTCAAGGTTGTTGCCAATTGGCTACCTAGCACCATGTATTTTTATCGAGCACATCTCCAATTTTTAGATGTTGTTGGTGCTAGGCTGTATAATACAAGGGGTTGAAGTCAAGGGAGCCAGAAATGACCATATGAAATTCAGATTCTCAACAAAAGAGTTTGGAAAGCAAAGGACCAACAATTGCAGTAAAGAAAGAGTTTCCCATTGAGAAGGGAAATCAACTAGACAAGGCATTGCCTTCAATACAGTTTTGATCTTAAGAACAATCTAAGGCAGAAGAACCATACTCTATAACCAAATCCCCACATTTCTACACATCTGACTTGCTAGTACTTTTCCTTAAATTCAAATCTACTACTCTAAAAACTCCAGTAATACCGCTATATAAGATGCAGCGGATCTGATCAACATAACCATGAACAATATAAGAAAACAACTCTTTTACCAAGCGACTCACAATTCATTCATCATGATCAATGACTCATAGAGAAGAAATCACACTGTCATGAATCAAAAGAAAGAACCAAAGCTACCAAATCCATAAGTATTCACCTAAAAAGAATCACATAAGTCATTGGTATACACATTCATGGCTAATGTTATCAAAAAAGACAAGAGAATTGGCTAAAGCAAGTTCATTTCAGGCAAAATTGAACAACCAAATGCAAATGGAAATCGAAATGGGATTGAGGACGAAAGGGTTTGACATACTTTTTATGACGGCGGCTTCGTTTAGGTCCCCAACCTTGGAGCTTAGCGACAGGGCAACCACATCTAGATCGGAAAAGTAAAACAGCACGGCCATTAGGCGGAGCCATCCTTCTAAGCTCAGCCCTCAAACACTCGTAATCAGGATTGCTCTCACTTCCTCCTTTCCATGGCAATCGATCGATCTCCTTAGTAGCTCCAGATTTAACACATTCCTCCGTCTGCAATTGCAAATCAAACTCCATCGCTTTCTTCAAACCTTTACACTTGGGATTCTTACACTTCCTCGATCTGGGTCCACAACAAAGGTCGAGAAACGCAATCGAAGCGGCGAAGAAGACGGCGAAGGCGAAGAAGTATGAAGCCGGAGGGATCGGAGATAGATCTTCATCGTCGGAGAAGATCAAGGAGGAGAAGGAAGGGAAGTGAGAGGACAGGAGGGAGAAGGAGTGGAATAGATAGGAGAAGTAAGAGGAGAGGAGGAAAGCGCCGGAGAAGAGGACGAGGATTAGGATTAGGAGGTCGAGAGTCGCGGAAGGAGAGTGCTTGCAGAGGTGGAGAGAGGAGGAGGAGGAGGAGGAAGAGAAGCTGTGATTGGCGGCGGATCTAGAGGCGGAGGAGGAAGGGGGCATGCTATTGGTGGTGGAATGTTCTTCGTCGGAGAGAAGGAGGAGATGGAGCATGTTAGGAGGACGACGACGGTGATGCCTCCTTTACATATAATTATCTTATATATGTATCTATACATTTATTTGGTAATTAACCATTTTTCAGGGAAAACTAAATACCATAAATAAAATAAAATAAAGAGAGAGAGATTTCTCATAACTGAAAATATATAAATATACTCAAATAAAATGATTAATTAGATTTAAAGTTAATTTACAATTTATACACATATTTATTTTTGATAAAAAAATCTTACATGTTAGGATAAGAGATTATTGAAATAGATGAGTTTTGTTTGAACTTTGAAACCATAAAAAAGAGTTTATAAGTGCATGAATAATATTAAAGTTTATGTATAATCTATGGTGTATATTTATATATCAGCATTTTATTGTTTAGGATATAAAAAAATTTAATCACATTTACGTAGGATAACTTCTTCTTTATAAGAAAATGACTTACTAACTTTCTCAAGTATTTTGAAATTAAAATCTAAAGTACATAATGAAAGAGTAAATGCATGATACTAAAAATGTGATTTGAATTCTTTCAAATTCTAATGACCAAAATAATTTGTTCTGCAGAAGCTGAACCAAAATAAAACGGTCGAACCATTTTTCAATTCTTAGAAAAAATGTCTAGAGTTAGTAGCTAAACCAAATTTAGCTCAAGTCTACCAAAGACCAAAGAAGATCGTTTCCATTAAGTTTTATTGAACACATACCAAAACGATATAGTTATGTCTAATACTATGTTTGAGACTTCGAGGTAAACGATGTTGTTTTTATCTGAAATATAGATGCTAATCAGTATTTCACATGGTCGGTCCATGGTTAATTTTACATAGAAGAATATGTCCATCTTCTCACTCGAAATTATGGAAAATACGATAACACGACCGAAATTAACTATAATGGATTCAATTAATTTTCAGATTTGCAATTTGCGGTATCTTAGATTTCAGCAAATCATACGTAACGTGTCATGTCATGTCATGTCAAGTCTTTGGTTTAACTAGCCGTTTAATAAGTCATGTCATGTCTTCATTGATTGGCTTGCTTTCTCATTTGTCATTCTTTAAAATTTGAAAGCAAGCCAATCAATGATGCAAAAAAAAAACCAAGAGGTATAACCGTATAAGCTTTATAAAGTTGGTCTCTTTCACATGATAATTGATATTCTCTTCATATGTGGTAATAGGAAAATGATCAAATATGTGTAATTGTTCTACGTTTTGTGCCCATATGGAAATAGTTGTTTGTAGAGTACTATTATCAGTTTTTTCTTAAACAATGTAAAATTTTGTCCGTGTCATACTAGGAACAACAAAATTTTACAACTAATCATTGTCATATGATTATGCAATTTGTTGATAGAAAAATGAACTTTTTGTGTGTAAAGCATTGGTCATAAGTAAAAGGATATGAATAATTGCTATAAGCCATTCAATTAAAGAAGAAGAAGAAACGTGGTTTGTCGGATTAACATAAAAGATTTTGTCCTTGAGGATTATTCCAAGGACAAAAGCACAAGGAAGAATCAACAATAGTATAACTAAGACTAATTCCAATAGCCATGATAACAAAAGGTAAAAGCTGCTTAATGTGTAGCGGATTTTAGTTATTTAAATGATTGATTAGATCAAATATAAACTACGAAACTATGATTGGATTCTTGCTCAACTTTTCCTGTCCACTCTAATGATTCATTGACTTCAAGTAGAACATTTCCATAGTCCAAATTTAGTGGCCTACTATTTATCATAAAAACAACACAACCATTCAAACAACATTCAGGTTTCTTCGATTACAAGTCTAGAAACGTGACACGAGCTATTTCCATTACTATTACCATTACAAGACCATACCCACTTTTAAGTGACTGACTACATAAACATATATATAACATTCAACGGACCGGACTATATACGTTTTACCATCTATTTAGTAGAACTCGCGATCACGAAGGATGAGCGGTGCAATGAGTGTCCATATGTAGAGTACGGCTGTGACCCAGCCGGTGCATATCTTGACCCAGACCGAGGTCCATCCCACATCGATCAGAGTCGCACTCTCTGATGAGTCAGTCCATCCCGAGAGAAGCATTGCAGCGTACATGCTCGCAAGCGCAAAGATGATATGGAAGAAGGAGTATGAGTAACTCACAGGTCGTGCCTCTGCTTCACCACTCTTCTTCTTCCCGTCCTCGGGGTCCTCTAACAATGAATCCTTCACACCTGCAAATAACGTTTCCAGCAAATAAGAAGACTAAAATTCGAGACTAGTTCAGAATTACTATTCACAAAACCGAAAACCCAGTGCCCAGAAGTATTGAAGAGGTTGGTGAAGTACTTGATCTGGGGGAAGATGGTGGGGAGAGGAATGTGGTGGAAGAGCCAGCTCGGAGGGCGGAGTATAGAACCGAGAGAACCGTAGTGAGCATTCCGAGGATGAGGGTACTTGCGTTCACTGCCTTGGATTTGTTAAGTCCATTGCACACATAGTCATGTGGTTCGCTAGAGAGACCCGTGTAACAGACATAAGCACAGTAAACCGATATAACTGATGCCGGTAAAAGACTGCCATTCACCGCAGGATGTAAAGCAATAATAGCAAAAACAAAAGCCAGGATCATTGGTACGACGATGAAGAAAACATTTAGTCCACAATCCTGACCAGATGGGTTGAACCAGATGAACAGGATTCCTGAGAAGGCATATGTAGCAATGTAACACACAATTGATATGACAAGCAGAGCGATGTACCTGCACAAAGAATCCCATTAGTCAGAATATGATCATTAATCAAACTTCAACAAAAAAAAAGCCCAAGACAGAATAATGGAACAAACACATGACAAATTCATAGAAGAGATGTCAAGTATACCACTTTTTTTCATCCTTTTCGACCCATGAATCATTCCAGTTATGTGTAGCATCTAACAATAAAACCACTTGAACCAACAGAAACGCTCCAGCACCAAACTTTGACAAAGTTCCTGAAAGAATGAGCAAGCACAACGATTAGCTCGCATATATGGCTTCACTTTTAACAAATATATAAAAATCCACAACTTATAAGTCTCAATCTTTTAGCAGATAGAAACAGGAAAGGAAGAATTCCATCAACTTATTTTTCAAACTTGCAGCTACACCAAAGCATAATATATAATCACACAAATTGCCAACCCACCCGATTCGAGCTCATCAACTAATACCTGATGAAGTAAGCAACAATGGATTTTGCAGACAAGCAATATTCCAATAACATAAACATAAGGTGACAAGATAGCACCATATGTGTGAAATCTTGAGGAGCAAAGAAAAACTTACCATAGATTGAGACGATAACATTTGGAACAAAAAACATGAGGACAACAAGCAAAAACCAGGCGATCATCTTCAAACCCCATCCACCATGGTGCCATGAGTCACGCCTGTCGTTCTGGTCCTTCACACCAATCATGATCAAAGCATATATAGCAAAGAAAAGGAAATTCCCAAAGCTCACACGAAGAACAGCTTGCTGCTGATACCATTCTTTGGTAAATGAATCGGATGTGTTTATCCCTGTTTGTCAATCAAAACCAAAACGGAGATTTGTGTCAACAGGCGATGACAGTTCCTTTTCCAACACTCAAAACTCTAACTTGATCAAGCAGGTCTAACACAAAGCATAAGCAGACGCAATTTCAAACACATCTAAATCAAACTGAGATTTCTAATGTTCTAGTGTAATTATCAATCTGTTGCAGCTACAAAGTAACCAAATTTCCACTGAACCAATACAAATTCCGCCATAACAAAGCTTGATTAAGTAAAATTCACACTTAAAGCTCATGTCTTAGTATTCAGATATCTAAATCAACATGCTTAAGCAGCAAAAGGAGAAAGTTCAAGCACAAGCCATCACCCAAATCTATCGTTAACCACCGGATTCGATTCAATTCACAATAACAAAAAAAAAACCAATTTCGAAATTTGATGGTTTCTTTCAGTTCCAATCATCAATCTCGGCAAAAAGGAACCTCCTTTTTAACAGACCCAGCTTAGAATGGATCAGAGAAACGTACAAGGGAGTTTCTCGAGAAGCGGAGCACCAGCCTCACGAAGAATCCAGGAGACGACAAGAGAAGCACCAAAGAGACCACAATAAGCGATCCTCGCAGATTTCCTCGTTATCCCCGATGCCACCGACGAGCATAATCCACAAGTCGCCGACGCACAACACGAAGCTAAGCAACACGCCATTGTTTGAGAGAATTTGATAATTTCAGATAATTTTGTGTTTTGACTTTCCCAACAATCGTTCTTCTGTTGCCTGCGTCTCTACTCTCTATTGAACAAGAGACATCAAATTTTCGAAAATTACTAAATCTGACCTAACAAATTAAAACAATCATTTTAACCCATTTTACATGATCATAATAGAAACAGAGTGATTAACGAGTAAGCTTAAGTGTTTGATTCAAATAGAATTCAAAGTCGAGAAGAGAATTAATCCTAACAAGCAGAAACCTACTTAAGTGCTGAAAATACAAGAGAATTCAAGAGTCTACAAAGACCACAGAGACATGTTTTGAAATTAGAGTAGTTCCTACAAAAGACTAGAACCAACCAATTGCAGAAGAGAATCAATTGCTAGCTGCTGCTGCATCACGGAAGATGTGAATCTTGATTGCATAAACCACTTTGTCTTCGTTGCGGAGAACTTCGCACAAGATGGAGTCATTCTCTGTCAAACTGTTTCTATCGCATATTTTCGACCATTTCTTTATGCAAATACGTTGATCTGCCCATTTCGTCATTGTCGCGGTTAGTTTTCCATATCCGTCGATATAGTCAACCTTGTCGCCGAATTTCAAGCTGTAGTCTTTCACAAACTGCGCATCAACTAACTGTATAGAACATTAGTTAGCTAAATATAATCAACTCATGAAAGAAATTTAAATGAGACGAAATAAGTAAGTCTTACCAGCTCAGACTTTCTAAGCTTAAGACACGTCTCAAAGCAAATATTGTTTGGATCATCCAAATATAGCTCTGGATTCTCAATGGTCTTCTTCTTGTCTGCAAGCAAAAATCCCATGAGATCAATTCAAAACAGCTTCAGTTATATGCATCAATTAAAAGACAATGTTACTTACAACTTTTCTGTCTGCTTGTCATGCTTGTTGTTGGATTCTCAATGGTCCTCTTCTTGTCTGCAAAATTCCCATGAGATCAATTCAAAACAGCTTCGGTTATAAGCATTAATTAAAGGACAGTGTTACTTACAACTTCTCTGCCTGCTTCTTGTTGGATTCACCACCTCAACAGATTCAACAGAGATAGAGGCTGTGTCTGGGTTCTCGGGAGAGTAGTCACTATCGCTCTCTATCTCAACATCAACCTCAAGAGACTCGCTCTCTATCTCAACATCAGCCTTAAGAGAATCGCTCTCTATCTCAACATCAGCCTGAAGAGAATCGTTGTCAAGGCTATGAAGCGAAACGTTGTTAAGGCTATGAAGCGAAACGTTGTTAAGGCTATGAAGAGAAACGCTGTAATCTTCTGTATCATCATCAGAGATCTCTTCAACTTGAATGACTGCTCGAGTCTCTTTGCAATCTCCACGACCATAGATACTAACTTCATAACTTTTGTGCCCATCAAACACAAAAGTTAAGAATTCGCCATCTTTTAGCTCATTATCAGCCACGAAATTTCCCCAGCCTTGTTCAAAATACACTTGCTCTCGCCTGCCCGTCATTGCTACTTTCCAAAATCTTCCACCAGTTCCCACGAGAATGGCAGTTTTGGGCAACGGACGTGGTAAATGTTGGTAGTAAGAACGTGGTATCACCTGCTCAACAGAAAGATGCAGCATAAACTAAACTGTTAAAGTGAGCAAAATATAAACTAAAGACTCTGTGCAAGCGGAGTTAACACTTCAATTTTTCAACAAAGGAGAAAAATCTAAGAAAATCCAGTGTATAGTTTGACATACTCTACCATATTCAAACATATCTAACAGAAACAGAGAAAATCTTAAGCTAACTAGTGAAGAAAGTTAAAACTTTTGTCATTGTCAAGAGAGTTACGATAATGTTTCAGATCTCATTTCACATCACCACTGAAAACATCTCAAACCAAGCAGCTTTTTCCATGAAACCAATTTAAGTCACACAAAAATTCGAGAGAAAAATCTCACCATGGATTCGGAGCTGTACTGGGAGAGGAAAACAGTGAAGAATCGAGGAAGAACATCACTGGAAGCCATGGAAGACGTATGAACTGTGAGAGATAGAGACAAAGAGAGCAGACGAGTAAGGGAGAAAGAAGAAAGCTACAAACTTTAAGAGAAATTGGTAACAAAGAGAAGATAGATCATTACCAAGAAGCAAGCTGATCTGGTTCAAAGAGAAGAGTTTTTCTGGTCCAAACGGTTCTATTTAGGAAGAAAAAGTCGAGAGATTGAATTCTGAAAAAAAGAGAAAAGTGAGAGAGAGAGCAAAAGAAGCAGAACACAGTTAATGTGTGTTTCTTACGTACGAACCTGTTTTCTCTGTCCTTTCTCTTTGCACAACCAATGAGAAAGTAGCATTGCTTTTTAACTTTCTTTTATTTCACCTTTTGTTTAACACTTTGACCAAATATCTGCAACAGATCAGGTGAGAAAGAATCAGTGACAAAAGAAGCAGAGCGCTTTTTCTCCTCACTGAAACAAAATCATAAAAGGCTTAGAAACAATACTATCAAGCCCACTAAATAGTCAATTCAGGCCAATCTTGGCCCAGTATTAAGATAGTTGGGACTCTCAATCTCTCATTATTGGCTGAAGAAAAGGCCGAAGACTTTTGGTAGCTTTGGAGTTAAAAGTCACATGTTAAAAGTTAAAACAGAGTCTCAACGGCCAACAACATATTCAAGATTAGAACCATAAACGTATAAGCTCGTTTAGTGAGGAGGTTCTCTAATTATTTAATCTTACTTAGTTCAATATTCTCTTGCTCTTTAAATTTTTTCAGTTTGGTTCAAATTTTTATTAGAGAATGTTAAAACTCAAACTAACACAAGTATCATCTTTATTTATAAGCTAAATTCTATCTTGGGTAATAAAAATAAAAAAGAATTCTTGAATCAAAGTAATAAGATTAATAAAATAGATGAACTATTTTTGTGAATAATGTGAATGGACACTTTGATTAAGCTAATGTGGTATTGAAAATAGACAACTAATAATCTAAGAATAAGAAAAATCTTATATTGTCTTATCTAAAATTGTTAGTTGTACTAAATCTCCAACGGTTTTTCATCTATTGATGATAATTATAACATCTGAGCTAGCTCTTTTATCTTTTTAGCCAAAAAAACATCTGAATCTGAATTGATATTTGGATAATTACTATTTTCTTGTAACTTGTAAGCAATTAATTTCCACCACATCGTCTCTTATTTAAAATCCTTTTTTTTTTTGACAAAACAATTTTTTTTTCTTTTTCTCCTGCAGAGAAATAAGAGCGGCGGTGGAGAGAGAGAGGACAATAACAAAACAAATGCATGTGACGCCAATCAACACCATACACGACGTATTAATTGTTTAATCGAAAAGACAATTATACCCCTACCGGCACACCGACGCGACTTCGTTGCCCACATGTCGTTGAGCAATTATTTAGCGCAGTCGTCGGTCTGGTGTCATGGTAAATCCAGTTAAACAACAGGGGTATAATCGTCTATGCGTAAAATTGTCTTTTTCTCTCCGTCCGCCTCCTCTAAATTGCTTTTTTGGCTGCACTCATCAGAATCCTAAATTTTCTTTGGAAGATCAATTTTAAGCTGTCAAATTTTTGAGTTCTTTTCCTTATTTTTGCACTTATTAGTATATTTGGTTTGTTTAATCAAAAAAAAATCAAAGACTTTTTAATCCTCCCTTTAGTTTCCTTTTTCTCTCTTCTGGAAATCTTTGGGAGGATTTTAAGGTTCTTCTTGTCCAAGAATTAAAAAAACTGCTAATTGTGGATTGTGTATCATTCATTGTCATCAATCATCATCATCTTCTACGAGTTTGGAGAAGTTATCCATCATTGAAGCATTTAGAGTAAGTTTAATGTTTTTATCTTATTATAAAGTTAGGATTTTTAACTGGGCAAAAAACTTTTGCTTTACTTAAATAAATAAAAAACTAATCTTGGTGATTGTCTTTGTTTGTCGTCAAATTTATTTTTCTTTTTGTGTGTTTTCTCACTTGAATCCTCCCTTTCTGGGTTTTTGTTTCTTGTTGTCGGATCTTCAGATGCCGGAGAAAGGAATGATTTTTCCTCCGGTACCGAGCCAATTGGTGCTTTTACGGCCAAGCCCTTTACTTCAATGGCGGCTTGGTGCTCTTACAGCACTCGTCTTCTTCCTCATGTTAGTCGTTTGGAGTATTGACGGTTGCTCGATTCAAAGCTTCGTTGAGCCATGGAGATTCAATGCATACTCTGTTCGAATCAGTCCTTCTCCGTCGCCTTTAATGTCACCGAAACCCATTCTAGTATCAGAGAAACCTCACCGCCAAAATCTCACTTTGAAGACGACGATGGTTCCACGAAATCTGGTTCCGAAGAAGACGAATCTCACTTCAAACTCGACCCGGGTCCAATTCGGGTGGATTACCGCCGAATTGCAGAAGAATTTCACGGCGAATTTGATGAGAAATTGGTTGGCTCCGGGAGGAGCGCCGTGCAGAGAAGCGAAAACCGTCGAGATTTCAGTTGCCGGCGTCGACGGGAGTGATTCTGTGGAGTTAACCGCCGGCGAGATTCATGAATTCAAATTTCAAGCCATAGACGAATCTGGAAAACATGTTTGCATTGGTGGGGACTATTTCGAGACTGATTTATCCGGCAAGAATTGGAAATCGAGACCGCCGGTGAAAGATTTTGGCAACGGAACTTACTCTTTCTCGTTACAGGTTCATCCTGAGTTCGCCGGAGATTATAATCTCACCGTCATTTTGCTCTTCCGTCATTACCAAGGTCTTAAGTTCAGTACCTCACGTTTAGGCTTTGACCGAAAGCTTCGCAATGTTAGATTACGTTTCGTCAAGAAGCCTGACGTTACTCTGCCGGAGCTCCGGTCATGTAAAAAATCTGATTTTAACAGAGATGCATGGTCTGGACGATGGACTAGGCTTGGCAAGAATGATGAGTGTCAGATTAGCAATGACGGGCGTTACCGCTGCCTCGCCGTGGATTTCCCTTGTCGGAAACCGTGGTGCGACGGAGCGGTTGGAGCGATAGAGAGCAATGGTTGGGTTTACTCGAGCCATTGCTCTTTCAAGCTCTTCTCTGGGGATAAGGCTTGGGATTGCTTGAAAAACAAATGGATTTTCTTCTGGGGAGATTCGAATCATGTCGATTCGATCAGAAACTTGCTGAATTTCGTCTTGGGTCATCCGGAAATCCCCGCTGTCCCGAGAAGATTCGATATGAAGTTTTCAAATCCGAAGAACCCATCGGAGACTGTTAGGATCACGAGTATTTTCAACGGTCATTGGAACGAGACGAAGAATTATCAGGGCCTTGATTCGCTTAAAGACCAGGACTTTAGAGAATTGCTCAAGAAGTACTTCAATGAAGAAACAAACCGTGTTCCCGACGTGATGATCGTGAACTCGGGTCTACACGATGGGATTCACTGGACCAGTCTTAGAGCCTTTGCGAAAGGTGCTGAAACCGCAGCTGCATTTTGGAGAGAAGTATTTGATGGGATCAAAAACAGGGGATTGCAACCGCCAGAAGTGATTTTCAGGAACACAATCGCGACAGGCGGCTACGCTAGAACGCTAGCGTTTAACCCAAGCAAAATGGAGGCGTTTAACGGAGTGTTTCTCGAGAAAATGAGGGACGCGGGATTGGTCACAAGCGTAGTTGATAACTTTGATATGACTTATCCGTGGCATTATGATAACCGGTGCAACGATGGAGTTCACTACGGAAGAGCTCCGGCAAAAATGCGGTGGAGGGACGGTGAGATCGGACATCAGTACTTTGTGGATTTGATGCTCGTTCACGTATTGCTGAATGCATTGTGTGTAAGATAGATATGGTAAAGTTTGGTTTAGGAAGAGTCACGGATTCTTTATTTATGTGTAGACTTAATTTTTTTGAAGTATAGATTATTATTATTATTTGGGAAAACTCAACTCAAGCTTGAATTTTATTGTATAATAGCAAGAGATTGGAGCAACACTTGTGTGCTATATGTATATCTGGTTGACATTTTTCTGATAATAATAATTTTGAACTCTTTAATGATAAATAGGAACAAGTTTAAAATTTGGCTCAACTATAAACTGACTTTTGAGGTTGGAAGTAGCTTGTCTCTTTTTGGTTAGAGATGATGGTAATCTATCTACATAGTCTCTATTCATTTATAGCTCTCTTTAACTTTAAAACACATGCTTAATCTGCTATTTACTCGCAAGCCTATAAAGCTTGCATCCGTGAATGTTTTGAACAAATGGTCCTCTCAAAGGCCTTATAGTGTTCATCTTGTAAACGATAGTGTCCTTAAAGTTACTTCATTGTATATGTAAAACCAAATTTGCAAAAGTGTGTTAACTATTAAGTGTTCGATGTATTGCTTTGTATAAAATTCAAAAACTGAGTGATCTATATATAAGCAATCATTTCTTACATATAATCATCTCCAAGGAGTCTAAAAGCAGTATTCTATAGGAGAAAGGGATAAAGAAATAGACCTAAAAAATAAGGCAGAGTCCAAGGAACATAATGCCGCAATTAATCATTTCAATTGGGTCAGATGAATAATCTTCTTCATTGTAAAGCCTAATATTAAGAAGAAAAAGGAGATAATTGGAAAGCAAAAGGGAGATTAAAGTTTACATACTTCACAATGGTGAAAGTTCAAGCAAAGTGTGTCTAGATAATAACTAATCACTATATTATTGTTTTGTTTAACAAAAAAAATTATTATTGTTATCTTTTGGAAGGAGGAAGCGAGGTATATCAACTTGATAAAATAGAAATAACGAAATATTTGTCGACGTCACACATACCAAATTCTCCTTCACCACATGAATATAATCGAAAATATTTGGGATAAGTATCTCTTAGATTTTCTGTTTTAATATGTGAAGCATATTTTTTGACAAATAGATCATATTATCAATTGAGACTTGAACATATTTAAATCTGTATAGCTCCATTTGGTTTTTGTTTTTATCGTAAATAAAATTTATGAGTCGAAAACTAGACTGGTTTTGAGAAGCACCCTATTGATAATTAAATTTGGTATTGATCAACATGATGAATCACTAAATCAAGGACGACATTCCACTACCCAGTTTAATCAGCTGGTTATGATATTTTGATTCCTTCTTTTTATATGGTGTAACTGTAAATAATCTACAACCAAATTTATTTCCAATCTTTGTGGTTCTTCATCATAATTTTTTTTCGTACCAATCGATTTATAAAACCAATTGTTGTGGTTTAAGAACTTCGGCTGAGGTTACCACGGTGTACAATCACTAGTAAACCGAAATTGTCTTTTTTTTTTAATTCATTTTTCTTTCAGAAAATTCATAGTATATAATAAAGTACAATGTTGATATTCCTCTTGCATTTACTATTTGGCACACATATATACAAAATCCAGTATCCCACTCTTCTGAGCCATCAAAAGAAGAAAGAGAGATAAAAAAAAATGAATATGAAAACATCAAAGATGAAGTTCACAAAAGAGATGATAGAGTCTATCAAAGACAAGCTCCCAAGGCTCAGCTTCCTCCTCCTCTTCCTCCGACAATGCTACGGTGGCTGCGGCGAACGGACCCACTTACTCCCATGCTCCATCGCCACCACTTCCACCCGCTTTTGGAACCTCTCCGACCGTCCCGTGGAGCTCCAAATTCGGGTCGGTTCAATCCTAAAACGGGTCCACACTCTCAAACCTGGCCGTTCCAAGAGGCTTAGACACACAAGCATCCACAGAGCTTACGTGGATGACCAGGAAGGACGTAGATGGCTGTATTACGACGACACGTGTCTACCGTACGTATGGGTTCACGAGACCGGTACGGACTTGTCGAAGATGGTGAAGCAACAGTACGTGAGTCTCGAGGATCTGAGGGATTACTCGGAGATCAGGGTTTATAAGGATTTACAGAGAGGTTGTGTCTCAGTTGAGAAAAGAGACAGAGCTTCTGCTTTGTGTTGAATAATTCTCTTTCTTTCTCATGCTTCGAATCTCTTAATTTTCTCATTATGAACTTTATCGTTATTGGTTAAAATTATGTGATACATGATGCATGTATAACTCCATCTCCGATATTTGACTCTTCTTGAATTTGGATTTATTGGGATTCTACAATGTGATCACAAGTTGATCTCTTGCCAAAGGGGTAACTAAATCTACTTCTCCGAATTACAAACTAATCACACACTTTTATTTATTGTCGTCGGTTGAAATTTGTGGTAGTTGAGGATTATATGTAGTGGAAAAGCAAATATCATATTTAAATTCGATCAGAAGATGACATTATTAAGTTAACACAAACTTGGTTAATAGTGTTACTTATAGTATAAGTGATCTTTGCTAAAATGGTATTTAAAAACTTACACGAATGATTATCCGCGAATGGTTCGTAATCGAGAAATTAGCGGTTAAATGTTTTTAATATTGTTTCCCAAGATAGCGATGAAATTAAACAAAGTTTATTATAATGAAGACTATTCCTGGAGTAATTTATTTTCCTCTTATTTGGTAGAGAGATCTTATCTTTACACATTTCTCGATGATCAATAATGTGATTGTGTTTTTTATTTTTCGTTGGAGAAAGGCATCAAAACCCAGTGAGGTGCTTTGATGGCAGGCAAAATAATGACATTTCCGCTGATCCTCTCCACTTTGATAGTCCATTAATCAATTCATTCAATTGTGTCATATAGCTAGTATCCAATATCCAAATATCCAATATCCAACGTTTGATGCAATTATAGACTTTTGGTAAAAACTCAACAAATTAGTGGTGTGGCTGACATGATGATATATAGCATTAGATACGAAGTTCTTAGAAATCGATTTTCCGCATGAGAGGTAAGGTATATAGTAATATAGACTTAGAGCATGATTATCAGTGGGATGTTAAGTGAATCTTAGATTTTTAAATGATTTAAATTAAATTGGTAATGCTGCTTTTTAACTAAGGAACGTACCTTACGTTCCTTAGCTAAGGAACGTTTTTAGTGTTAAGAAGTGCGAGGTGTCGCGTTTTCTCTCTCTCTTCGCGATTTCCCCAAACAGAGAAAAAGAGGAGGTGATTTCCCGAAATCACCTCAAATCGGAGGATAAAACCTACGCCGACGTTGTCAAGGCGATGATGTCGGAGAAGAAATTGTCAACGGAGGAACGAAGAATGGTTATCGTAAACCTAACTCTGTAGAGAAGGATGAGGATTTGAAGAGTCTCTATTCCTTGATTTGTCTCAGGTTCGATTTTGTTCCCAAATTCGAAAACTGGTGATGCGTCGTCTTCGTTTCTTGAACGTGTAAGAAACTCCGTCGCCGAAAATGGGCCTAAGCTTCGAGAAGCTTCTGAAAGAATAGGACGCGAGATTCTTCTATGGACTCGTAGAAGCAGCTCGATTCGTGCTCTTCTTGTCATCACTGTAAGTGGACTTTGATCAATGATTGAACCTAATTAGAGACTAATTTCAATTTCAATTTAGCCCTCCTTTATCTTCAATTCGATTTCCTGAAGTAAATTAACATTTTGTATCCTAAATCGTCTTGGTTCTGTGTCTCTTTACCATTGATGAAAAGTTTGATGCTTTATTGAAAAGTTTAGTGTTTTATTGAACCCATTTGAGTCAAATTTCGTGGGTATCTCATATTATATTGATTTGTTATTATCTTGTTATTCTTGTTGCAGATGGGAACAATGGTTCTTCTTACAACAATGGCTTTGGTTGTCTTCACACTCTTCTTTGTAGCTGCAACAGCTAATGCTATCATAATCTCTCTTCTGATTTCACTTGCTGTTGCTGGAGGCTTCTTGGCATTCTTCTTTCTTTGCTTGACTGGTATTTACATCGGAGCCTTATCGGTTGCTGCATTCGTCATGAAATGAATTTGGTATTGCTAGTTTTTTTAGGCAATGTCTTGTGGATCTTAAGGAAGGTATTGCTAGTTTGATTGTTGCTGCACCTAGATGCTCTGAGATTCCTGAGCTTGGAGATCTTCGAGACATCTTTGAGAAGAAGTATGGGAAAGAGAACTCATTGTACAATGACTTGCTTTCATGGAATTATGAGTGAGGCAAAGCTTCCTGTGACCGAATCTTACTACCTTATGGGCACAGTGGATCCCACCGGAGAGCTAAAGGAAGATGAAGTCTGTGTCATCCTGTATGCTACTCAACTCTTCTCTTACTTTTTCATTTTGAGTTTTACATGGAAACATATAACAGTGACTTGCTTTCATGGAATTATGAGTGAGTTTTTCATTTAGTCACTGCTTCTTTTCATGGTTTTGTAGTTGTAGTATTAGTTATGATCTAATATTGACACATAATGAACTGAGCTACAATGTTGTAATCTGAAATCATTTTACACTTTTCTACAAACAGAGCATCAAACCATGAACTTCTAAATCAAATTACACGATTTCGGTCTTTTGTACAAACACACACCTAGCTTTAACCGATGACTCCTCAATTGCAAAGTGTGGAATTGATGAATATCAACTTGTAATATCACCTTCAATTATCTTGTATTCTGTCTCTTTTTTTCTTACAAATTTCTTCCTTATTTTTTTTTCTAAGAAACCACATGTTAAGAGCCTACCATTAATCACACAAAAATCTTAACTCAAAAATACTATCTCTTAACAATCACTTTTACAAATAAATTACTTAAATATTGCTAAGATATATTTCTAAGAGACTACCTATAATCATGTTCTTATAGAAAAACATGTCTCTATAGTCTATAGTTGTAGAGTTGACTTTTGAGTAGCATAAGTTAATTAATGCACGGTAAGTGGGATTAGGTGGTAAAACTATATAAAGTCAAAGTTATGAAAAAAGAAAGAAAAAAAACTGAACAACTAACCATTTATTAATTAATTTCCTAAAATAAAAGCCTAAAACCAAATATTAAACCGAACTCAAAACCAAAACCAAAACCAAAACCAAACCAGAAAAGACCTGTTTTGTTACTTGGTTTAAAAAGTAAAAAAGAGAGAGTCAAAAAAGCATTAACGAATCTTGAACAAGACATCTTCTACTTCTTCTTCTAAACAAATCTTGTTTTCTTCAGTCTCTCTGCTCTTACTGTTCTGCTTTCGGTCTTGTCTCTTTCTTTCCCATTGTCATTCTCTCACCAATGGGAATCTCCTTTAGCAACAACAACAGAAGACGAGACAACAACAATCGCCGTCACCTCCACCACTATCCTCCGCCGCCTTACTATTACCTCGACCCTCCTCCTCCTCCTCCGCCGCCGCCTTTTCCACCGCATTATGACTATAACTACTCCAATTACCATCTCTCTCAACCTCTACCGCCACAGCCACAGATCAACTCTTGTTCCTACGGCCATTACCATTATCACCCTCAGCCTCCTCAGTATTTCACCACCGCTCAGCCCAATTGGTGGGGTCCAATGGTGAGGCCGGCGTATTACGGTCCGCCTCAGCCGCAACCGCAAACGCAACCGCTTCCACCGCCATACGTGGAGCAACAGAACGCGAAGAAGGTGAGGAACGATGTCAATGTGCATAAAGATACAGTGAGACTTGGAGTGGACGATCTCGTCCCTGGTCACCATCTAGTTTCCTTCGTCTTCGATGCCCTTTTCGATGGCAGGTAATATTCAGCGATCTGATTAGGGCTTTGATCTATGAAGATTGCGTGAAATGTGATTGAATATCTAGGGTTTTGAGATTGATGATGCTTAGAACCATAATTGGGACGAAATTGGTAAATTAAGGCTTAGGGAACTATTAAAGGAAAGATCTTTACCCATGAGAAGCATCTGGAATCACTCTTTCCGATAGAAAAGGTTCAAGCTTTACATGATTTGCTTGATGGGTATGTTTATATTGATCCCAAGGATTGATCTAAAATGTGTTGTGTAAGCCTTAAACTCAACTTTAGAATCTAAATCAGAAACGTTGAGAGATCCTTGTAAACTGATCCCATCTTTCTTTAGAATTGGATTAACCTCACTTTTATGATTTGTATTCATCAATGTTAAGATTAGACTCTCATTGTGTTCTCCTTTCGTTTTCAGTTTCACTATCACCTTCTTTGCAAAGGAGGAACCAAATTGCATGATTATCCCGCAGTTTCCAGAGGTTTATTCATCGACAAGATTCCATTTTCAGAAAGGTCCTGGACAGAAGTTTCTGCAGCCTTCAGGGACAGGAACAGACCTGAGCTTCTTCGCTCTTGACGATCTGTCAAGACCTTTACAAGAAGATGTGTATCCGCTTGTAATATCAGCTGACACGGTAATCTCTCCTAATTCGACCTCAGAGCAATCATCAGTTCATAAGCAAGTCACACTAGCCGTCCTTGAGAAAGATAATGATAGATGTTTCAAAGTGAAAGTTGTGAAGCAGATTCTTTGGATTGAAGGAGTTCGATATGAACTCCGCGAGTTGTATGGCTCGACCACTCAAGGTGCAGCCTCGGGATTAGAGGACAGTGGTTCGGGTAAAGAATGTGTGATCTGCATGACTGAGGCTAAGGACACGGCTGTACTGCCTTGCAGACATTTGGTAAAACTTTTTCAATCTTTTGCTTATGGTTTCACTATTATCATTTCATTTTCCGAACCTCATTGAGATCTTTGCCTGATAAATGGTAGTACCAACATTAGTGCATTGGATTCGATCAAAACCATAGGAAATTATTCAAACAGTAAAAGCCAAATTCTGTCATATATTTTAGTTGCTTTATTCTAACATCTTATAATGTGGTATGTCCTTCGTTGCAGTGCATGTGTAGCGACTGTGCTAAAGAATTGAGGCTTCAGTCGAACAAATGTCCGATTTGTCGACAACCCATCGAAGAGCTCTTAGAGATCAAAGTGAACAGTAGTGATGAACAACACTAGTACAAAAAAGGTTCTTTCTTTACATAAAACACCATTCTTGATTCTTTCTTCATCTTTCTCTGAAATCATCCATATCTGAATCTGTATTTCCGTTATCATTGTTGTGTAACTTCATTCCTTCCGCATATAGATTTGTTTGATCTAAAAGCTTTGTATTTGCAAGATATAAGCATCATCAGTACATGTATAGATATAAGCTTCCTAACACTCACCAATCTACTTAATGTGTGTAATTGAATGCTTTTGTTGGTTTGCTTAAGCACAAGGATCCTATGTTGTGGTCCAAGTCTCATAGTATCCAAACAATTTATTCACAAGATCTAGAATTTAACATTTGCAGAGTTTCTGTAGCCATATTATTTACCATTTAGCTTTCTCCAGAAAGTCAGAAATTATTAGATAATTTGGCATTTGCAGAGATATAAGATATAAGAGAAAAAAAGAGGTGAAGTTGAAGAAGAAGAAGAATCATTTTTTTGCCTTTAGCCTATTAGGCTATATAAGTTTAAAACATCAATTGAAGAAAAAGCTGCCAGAGGAAAAAGAATGTTTCCCACTGAGGTTTAGCTTAAAAGAAACCAAAAAAGGTCCTTTTAATTTTTTTTTAAAACATAACTTTTCTTTTGATAGAATGGTCAAACTTTTGAGTTAAGAAAAGTCTTAATTTGATCTGTTATTGTTGGTCGCAAGTTTAAACTGAACTAGATAATTACTGACAGTCGATTGGTTTTGAAATGAATAATCATAAATTTTTTACTCAATCTAAGCGATCGCAGTAAAATATATATGCAGTAAAATATTATGGAGTAAAATAAAAAACATATTAAAATGATTATACAGTAAAAGAATATAATTAGAATTTTTTTTTTTAAAATAGAAATTTAAAATGGTGGTATTGCTCAAGGACAGAACAAACCAATCAATTATGTCTATTTAGCTTAGTTAGCTGAAATATCAATTTAGTAAAAGATCATTTAATTGACTAAAAATGAAATGATATCAACGGTGACGTTGAAGAGAATAATTACCTTTTAAAGGCCAAAACGTACAATAATGCACTTTCCGAAAATATGAAAACGAAAACGAATCCAAAGGGAAAAGATGGTAACACGACAAAAGCTTTGAGGAATTAATGTCATTTTGTGAAGAGGAAGAAGAAAGAAGAAGAAGAAGAAGAAGAAGAAGGAGAGCCATGTCATGTGCAGAGACACTCATGTGACCAACACCTATCGAATTAGGCAAAACCTCAACGACAAAAGTCAATTATTCATCTCACCATGCCACATTTTTTTAAACCCATCAATTGCTTTTTCAATTATACAGATTTTTTTTGGGAACTTTCTCAAATGTGTAAATTATGCTTCTTAAGATCCAATAATTGGACAATCGTCATATTCAAATCTGTGTTAGAAATCATAATTATCAATTTCTTTTAATTGCTTAGATCTAGTTAAGAATGTGATTAATTATAAAATTAGCCACGCTTGATTAAAATAAAGTGTCTTTCACCAAGAAAACCATTACATTCTTTTCTTCCAAAGAAACCCATTATTATATTTATAAGAAAATAAATTTGATTATGGCTTACTTTTAGAATTGTGTTTCATGTTTGTTTAAGGCTTTAACAACAAGAAGCGATGATAGTAAATGCGTAGATGAATAACAATAATCGTGAAAAGATTGTATAAAAATGCAAGTGGAAACTTATAGAGATCTGGCCGAAAACGTGATTATGTTCACTATATAAATTATGAAATATACGAGAGGCCTTCATCATTAAAAAGATTCATAAAAATTAGCCCCACTTTCTTTTTTTTCCTATTCTTATAATGCTACTAGGATCGGACCCGCGGTACACCGCGGGAGAATATTATTTTTTAAATGAAATATTTTTACGTTAAATTTAATATTGTATGTTTTTAGTAGAGCAAATTGTGTAGTGTATTTATAAATATTTACAGTAAATAATTGAGAGAAAAATGGTAAATTGTTTACAATTAAAATATGTCATATTAGTTATGATTTATCCGCAAAGTGGAAATTTGAAATCTTGGACCTATTATGAAACGGAAAAATAGTTTCAAATCTGTATTTGCATCCAATATATGAGAAAGATACTTGGTACGTCCATCTTGGAATGATCTTTCACTACGTTGAAACTTTTTCTCTTTTTATTTCAAGTGACAACAGTACGAATTTCATTAAATGTTAAGCATCTCGCATGAGACCCAAGGCTAATTGTTGTTTCTTAAGATTAGCATGAATCAAAGTACCCTATAAATTTTGAATATAAAATACTGTTAAAAGGATGATAACATAGATGACGAAGGTATTATACAAAATATCATGAACGTTTTACTTAATGATCGGATCTGCCAAAATCATGTCCACAGTCTCACATGTGTAACATGTTTACTGTGTCCAACAATGAACGATTTTGACTTGAAGGTTTGATAGCATCCAGGCTTGTGAAAACGGAATTAAGAGCCATTTCACAAAAAAAAATTAGTTTGATGGGAGTCAAATATAATGCTAATGATTTCAGAAAACACAGGCGATATGTCCAATATTTATACTGATATGTTAAATTTTCACAAATGTAGGGTTGCCGCAAAGAATATTCGGTAATATATTCTAGAAAATAAAATCTAAACTAAACAAAGATTACGACGGCAATAATTGAAAAATTAAATCGCGTAGTAATATGGATAGTATTATAATCTGAAAGTTAAATATAGAAAATACGAAAATAAGATCTCAACTATATATACGATAATGGCAATACCAGTAATCATCTCAATATATTCATATTTATTACCGTTTTAATTATAAAAAAGAAGTTACCTTATAAGTATCAATATTCCAAATATAAACGATTCCGAATAAATACCCCACATCATCCGTATTATAATCGTTTCTCACTTTATTTTCGGAATTTGTTTTGCCATAAATACTCAAAGATCCGATTGATGAATTTGCGGGTTATTTTTTCAATTTTAACCAGACCCAAGTACTTTTGTACTTCTCTTTTAATAGTATAGAGATTTTTTTGGTTGAATTTTATTACAAAAAATGTTGTCTAAAGTCTAGGCAAAAAATAAGATACTATTACTCACTCCTTTCTGCTAATAAATTGAAGCAGCGACTTTACTTCTCTCTCTCTTTCTCTCTGACTCTGAAAAAGATGAAGTGGAGAAGTTAATGTTCACCAACTTAATACAGCAACCCTCTGAATCTTTCTTCCTTCTTCTTTGCCTTCTTTCAAGTGCTTCGTCTCTCATTCTCCTTCTTCCCTCTGTCGCTTTGTTCTTTTAAACTAAAAAAGGTATCTTCCTCAGTTACATATATGTATATGTAGTGATGTGTTCTCTTGTTTGTGTCTTTGAATGTGTTAAACATAAAAATTTCTCTATTATGATGTTGTCCAGTTTGAAATTGTAAGTAGCAGAGGGGCTGTCTCAGATCTGGTTCTAAAGCGAGAGAAAGAGATTTTGAGTTGAGGAAAAATGAGTAAAGAAGAGTTCATGAAGATCCAGGTTTCTTCACCATTACTCTGATATTATTTCTCAGTGTATGTCTTGTGTTGACTTCTTAATCTGAGAATTTTTATTTGTAGACTTGTGTTCTTAAAGTGAACATACACTGTGATGGCTGTAAGCAGAAAGTCAAGAAAATCTTGCAGAAAATCGAAGGTATAGCAGGAAAAAAACAAAATCAAACTCAAGAATCTGTTTTGACTTCTTTAAGTCTCGAATCAAAGATTTTCACTTTGTTGACTAAAAGTCTTGAAACTCATTGTGTGTTTTATCTGAAATCAAACCAAAAACTCAGGTGTTTTCACGACCAAGATTGACTCAGAGCAAGGGAAAGTGACCGTCTCTGGAAGCGTAGATCCTTCAGTTCTCATCAAGAAGCTCGCCAAATCTGGTAAACATGCTGAAATCTGGGGAGCTCCAAAGGGTAACAACAATCCAAATCAGTCCCAAATGGCCAATCAGTTTAAGGGAATGCAGATTGACAATGGAAAAGGCGGTGGCGGTGGTGGAGGTAACAATAATAACAACAAGAAAGGCCAGAAAAACGGCGGAGGAGGTGGCGGCGGTGGAGGTGGAGGTAACAGTAATGGGCCAAAGATGGGTCAGCAACTGAATCCCCAACATATGCAACAGCTTCAACAGCTTCAGAAGATGAAAGGGTTTCAAGATCTGAAGCTTCCTCCTCAGTTAAAAGGCTCTGTTCCTGTCAACAAGAACCAAAACCAGAAAGGAGTGAAGTTTGATGTTCCTGAGGATGATGATGATGATGATTTCAGTGACGAATTCGATGATGAGTTTACTGATGATGATGACGACGAGTTTGATGATGAGTTTGATGATCTCCCTCTTCCGTCTAATAAGATGAAGCCCAACATGACGATGATGCCTAATGCTCAACAGATGATGATGAACGCTCAAAAGAATGCCAATCTTGGCGGTGGCCCTGCTAAAAACGGCGGTAAAGGCGCTCCCGCTGGTGGCGGCGGCGGCGGTGGTGGAAAGGGTGGTGGCGGCGGTGGCAAGGCTGGTCCTGGTGGTGGTGGGAATCAAAACCAAGGTGGAGGCAAGAACCCCGGTGGTGGACATCCACAAGATGGTAAAAACGGCGGTGGTCCAAACGCCGGAAAGAAGGGTAACGGCGGAGGTGGGCCCATAGTTGGAGGACTTCCGGGTGGTTTCCGTCCCATGGGAGGCGGAGGACCACCGAACATGAGCATGCCTATGGGTATGGGTGGCCCGATGGGGAATATGCCGGCGGTTCAGGGGTTACCAGCGACCGGTCCAGGCGGTGCACCACAGGGTTATTTCCAAGGGACCGGGGCAGATCCGATGCAAATGCAGCAACAGCAATATTTAGCAGCGGTTATGAACCAGCAACGAGCTATGGGGAACGAGAGGTTCCAACCAATGATGTACGCACGACCACCACCGGCGGTTAACTATATGCCGCCAAACCCGCACCAATATCCGAATCCTCATCCGTACCCGTACCCGTATCCATATCCTCCACCTTATGGGAATGATCAATACTCTCATGCCTTTAGCGACGAGAACACATCAAGCTGTGATATTATGTGAGATGGTTAAAAATCTAAATAAAACTTCAATAGTTTGTGTGTAATTGAATCCTAAGTTGGGTTTTTTTTTCTTCGATGGATCGAAATGCTAAGTTGTTTTAGGGTTTTTTTCTCACTTTGTGATAGCACCGGTAATTTAATAGAATAATATAAAATTTGAAAAGAGTTTATTATTCTTTTTTCTCATTACATGTGACTAATTATTACTCCTATTTGCTAATTTTCCTATTAATTAATTCTGTATATACGGAGTTGCTAGAACAAATCCGGTAGATACCTAATCAAATTGATTATGAATATTTGACACTTTTGGTTTGATCTTATTAGCACATTTTCTAAGAGGATACGAAATCTTAATGGAAGTAAAGTTGTGTCCTACGGACCATTATATTAAGATAGATTTCTCCACTATATTTGGATCTTGCTTTTATTTCTTGTTGTTAGCTCAGAATTATACAGGAACCATTTTTTTTGTCGTCGAGTGAAGGAAAAATATTAGTATAAGCAAAAGTCAGTATGATTGGTTGCATTTATATTCAAAAGTTAACAAAACATAAAAGTCTAAAAGTAAGAAAAATAATACTAGTATTGAATATAACGACTTATAACTAATTTGTAAAACAAATAACAAGAATTTGGGTCGTGATCATATAGTCTTCCTAGTACGTAAAAATTGGTCATCAATCTCTATCACCAATTCACGTCCGATGTAACCGTTGCTAGTCTCTATAGTATTGGACTGGTCATCAAATCACTATTGCAACCAAATCAATTGTTATCATGACTTTAATCCACAAAATAGTAAATCCGTGCGTAATTACTATTACAAATGCCCATTTGATGTCAAATGATGATCTTTTTTTAGTCTCTTTAACCATTCATCAAACTTCTTTCCAAGACTTATAGAAAAAGAGAGAGAGAGATGAAGATATCATCATGCATGGTCATTGATGATGATGATGGGGCCAAGTGAACAGTTGAAGGAATTAAATGAAGGCTATGAGGCAGAGCTAAAGTGAAGCGTCAGCAGAATTGTTGTTCAGAACTGCATATGTCTCATCTTCTATGCTTTTTTTCTGCACTTACAAACTTACTAATGCAGATTTTAGATTCGCCTAGATTCTGCTTATTACGTAACAATCCTTTTTTTTATATATATATATATATATAAATACATATATTTTCTTGCTGCCAAAAAAGTATATATATGAAAATACATACACGATGATAAACCATTGGTCTGACTCTGACGCAATATATTTTTATTATAATGAAATTGTGTATTATTAAGTTAGGAAAATATATATAAATACATTGAAATGGAAATGAATTATATGATTAAATGTGAGTTCTGAACTTAGAAAACAATGATTTTTCTTTTTTTTCAAGTTACAAGGTTGTCGCCTAACAATTGAAATTTCTTTAAATGGGTTCCTTTTTTGTTGCGTAGTAGTAATAGTGTTCATGGTTTCCTATATACAGTATTTCTGTATTTTGCATTTATTAGATCCCTGCAAATAAATTATTTGAGCTTAGAAAACAAAGAATTGAAAGAAGAGATGAAAAGTGAAGACAAGTATAAAAGTGAAATGCGACAAAGTGTGCGAAGAGCTCGAGATCCGACATTTGTTCATCTCTTGTTTGGTTACAGCTCTAAGTCTATCCTTGGGTTTACTCTTGTTCCCAATCAAAGCCCTTTCCAGATATTTGACAAAATAACCCATCTTTTTCACATTTTCCTCTTTTTAGGACCCATAGTTTTCGATAGTATCTAATCCTACATTTCTGGTGACACTTCCATTTTCAATTGTCCAATAATGTGTTGCAAAGTCAAGATTGTGAGTGAGTGGTTATCATCCTTATGTAAACTCTGAATCTCAACCAAACGTATATACCACAACATCTTTCTATACATAAAATATTGCCAACAAACTCTAAAGGCTCCAAATGATTTAGCACTGCAGTCAATATGGTACGTACAACCATGCAATTATTACAAACAGTGCAACTCTTTTGATTGGTTTTAATAAAGCGAGCATACACTTTATTACAATAGCAAGTGCAATTGATGCTATACATATATATGTTTCTTATAGTGGTGCAATTAGTACAGTCACTGCATTTGGTATGTATGCTACTTATGGTGGCTGTATATATTCCGTTTTGTTGTTGTACATATTCCCCCTTGCGTTGAGAAAGTTGTGAAGAAAAAAAGATGCGTTTGAGACTATTTATCGCTTATTAATTTTTAAGGAATAATTTATCAAGCACCTCTTCACTTATTTGGCTTGACAGTCACTTTGTTTGCCAAAATTTCTTAATTATCCCCACACTGATAAAATCCTTAGTTTTGTAAGAATCGAGTACCTATACTGTGATAATAATTTTGGATGGTTTCTAAATTTGATGAACATTAGAATTCGTCTTTGGTTTCAATCAATTAATCCTAAAATGTTTATTCTTTTTCTTGAAAACTCGTTATTAATCAAAGATGAAAATCGATGAAAAGTAAACAATAATTGGTTCATGTGAGTGTGACGGATATGCTCAGAAAGAAAAAAAAATGGTTCATGTGACGGGTAACAATTAACATCATAAGCAAGCAAAGACCACTTTAACTATCAACAAAGGAACTGATGGTCTACTAAACACCCTGATAACAAATCAATAATTGAACCACACGCGTTCTCGCATGTTTAATTGATTTAATTTCCTCTAGCTACTTAATCCTGATTAGTTAATTATTCCCAAAGAAAACTAATTAATTAAAAATATTAATCACTTAAATCTTTACAATTAATGTATTTTTTCAAGTTCAAAGGTATACTATTTGTTTGATTATTATGCAAGTTGGAATTGGACGCTGACACTAAAATCCAAGAAGAAAATGTGTAAGTGTAACCAATCCATGAGTTCTCGTTCTACGTATTTATATCTTTAGTATATACCAAAATTTCATAAATACAATAGGAAGATTTAAATGGAGTGGGTGCTACTATTTTAGCAGTCTAGTGGTTGGATGATCTCGGTTTTCAAGAGTTTCCACACTTTGATTCGATGTTTTTTTTTCTCATCATGGCCCAGTGACCATATACCTCTCCACACTTTGATTAGATTATGGTGCCTATGACAAGTAGTGCAAAAATAAGTGGAACCAATGATACAAAACTTCAACACATATCCAATTTTTACTCACTGTGAATCTGAAATTAATATGGTGCATCAGACTTTAAAAAAATAAAAGTCTACCGAGTATACATACGAAATGGTATCAATAATTATTTTTATATATCAACTAGTCACTAAACTTACATCTTACATGCTCTCAGTCTCATATTAATTGTTGTTTTAAGGAAAATTTAAAATATTTGTCTCGTTTGATGCGCGGATTAAACAAAGATCGAGAGAGGAAGAATCAAATCAAAAGGACACGAATGCGGTCACGAGCATAGACTAAAAAAATGTGATTAAACTAAATAGAAAAGAGGATTTGGAAAGAAAGTGAGATTAATAATGAAAAGCAGTGAGATTTTTTTGGTGGGTCAATATGGATAATGGATTGATGTATAATATATTTGAATTTGACAACTCAGAGTGTGTGCCACATTTCGTGATACTGATCATTTACGTCATACGCTTTTTACATATATATAATGTAATGTCTATTTAAAAAAAATTCATGTATATAAATCAATTATCAGACGCAAAATAATAATAAAAAAAATTCAAAAATAGAAAAGAAAATCATTTTTCGTTAAGTAATAATATTCTTTTCGCTTCACAGTATAAAGCATTTTGTACTTTTAATTTTATTTTACAAAAAGCTGTTAAATATATTTAACGCAAAAATTATATAAAATTTAGCACTTAATACTAACTAGATAAAGAAGTTTGGTTTAAACTTGTTTGAGAAATGTGGTAATAAGTTTTTTTTTAATGTATGTAAGATATCCTTAAAAAACACAAAATTTACATATGAAAATGTCACAATCGCCAGTCATGCATGGTTCTGGTAGCACCACGTGACAAAAATTGGGTAACCTTTAACCAAGAAACAGGTGAGGCCTCAATTCACCAAATTTCCCCTTTGTATTAATATCATCTTTTTTTTTCTACATATATTATCATAAATAAGTTTACAAAAGAAAAAAATTACAAATTTATCTCCAAAAAGTTTACGTCCAGAATGTAGGTAAGAAAAAAAGTCAAGGTTAAAATGTCTCCATAAAAACTTGACTTTTTTTTCTTATCGTAGATTTTGAGTTCTATAAGTTGGATCGGTTAAAGCGATATATAGAGACCATAGACCGAAACCCCGAAAGGTTACATATCGCTCATGAAAATATGAAATGTCTAAACTAAGAGAGTACTGCATTTTTTTTTTCCAAAGCAAAAGTAATTGAATAATTCAATCTGCTAGGATTGTGTATAGTTAACATTAAATATGTAATCTAAAATTTGATATGATCTTAGATTCACATAGATATGAAACTTTATATATATATATATATATATATATATCGTGTAAATATCTTGATCAATATATAATATTACAAGCTTTACTACATATGTAGCGTTGATACACACAATTTAATCATTATTAGGCTCCAAATAATCTAGTGCTACAATTTAGGTATGGCTACACACACACACTTACATTCGGATGATTCAGAACTAGTAAACTAGTTAATTAGACCATAAAATGCTATGATTTATTATAGGAAATTACAACTTTGATCAAGTTCGGATACAACAACAAACTAAGTAAAACATAAGTGAATAAAAAAAAAAAACAGTTTTGTTTAGAGGAGCTTATTTCTAGCAAAGTATCAAGTATGCATATGCTCATGTAACCCAAAAAACGATACACGCTGTAGTACATGTAGAATTTTGGTTTTAATTGGTAGAGACGATCATTTCTGACACAAAGCTTTTCTGAACTTCAAGAGTTAGCTCCTCCAAGCTTAAGTGACACTCCAATCCTATCTGCACATGTAAATTTAATTTCGAAGAATTCAAAACATAAGACTCATATAAATATTATAATTATCTGATCCATACATATACATTGAGTTTATAACTAATACTGATCACTATTTTGGTGTAAAGAAACACTGTACAAATAAAGTCAATAATCTTAATTTGGTTAAGTAACGTAACTAAATCTAGCGTAAGACATCGCTTTAGCAATATAATTGGCATTTGATCAGTCGTTTAGGAGCCTTTTACTTTTTTGTTATAGTTTTATAACACCAAATTCAATCTAATGTCATGATATAATGAGTTTTATCGGTTGATGAAGAGATGTACCTTAACAACGAAAAAGTATAAGACAGTCTCCTCCATGCTACTAATATTGAGGTGAAGAACTTGAAAAGATAGCTTCTCTAAGACAGAGATGATCTTAACGAGCTGGCCCACGATTCGCCTAGAGACAACTCTCAATACAACGTTAGAACCAGAGATCTTGGCTTCTACGTTAGCATGAGGGGAGTTACAGCATGCTCCGACTTCCTTGAAAGTACTTGTGGTCATCACATTTTCGATTCGACTAAACGGTACTCGAGTGGTGGCGGCGCCTAAATTGGATGGCTCGATTGTTTGGTGATCATAAGGGAAAGAAGGTCGGTTTAGTGTCTTTCGACGTTTCTTGGACTCGAGAACTTGCACCAATTGCTGCAACTCTTTGATGAACTCTATCACTCCTCCGATGATCGAAGCTTGATCTCCCTAATACCGATCAATCATCAAAAACAAGACCATGTTTATTGAACAGATTGGTGCATGCGAATAATTTGCTTAAAGAAGTTAACAAAGAGAAATATATATTGTCTATTGATAACATTTCCATTCAAGGAAGACCGACAGTGAGAATATAGGATTAAATATGTATGGCACACCATTTTCTCCTCTTCCAAAAATAGTAAGTTGGAATATCCAATATTAGAAAGATGATCATGCATGATCCAATAAGTATCTAAGATTTTTGGTTCCTGCACAATTTTTTTTTGTGATCGTAATAAAGAATCAATTTGAGAAGGTTCAATTGTCTATAAAAATAAATTATAAAAAATCTCGAATCAACACCTGCGAAATTACTTGAACAAGGAAAGCACCGATCATAAAAAAAAAATCACCAATTTCTTCGAGAAAATAATTAGGATTGTGGATTGACCCAAACTAGCTAATTATTAATCATGAAGGGATCGAATAGCTAAATATGAAAGTTACCCTTTTGATATAGAAACAAGGAGTCAAAGAACGAAGGGATTTAAGATGCTCGTTCATCTGCCTTCTTCGATTCCTTTCAACAGCGATGTGAGACATGATGATACTTAATTGATCAAGATTCTCTTCTGGGGTTCCTATTGATCTATCAACGAAGAAGATGATGTCTTTTTCACTTTGTTCGACACATTCTTCAAAACAATGTCGTATTTATACAGCCGCAACAACAAGGGATAATTAGGGTTTAGAGTTTTTTTTTCAAGGGTTCATAAATGCACTATGTCGCTGTCTCGTGACATTCTTTTGTCTCTTCTTGATTTTACTCTTTCTCTCTCTTAGTACTATCTATATGTATTAGAACAACGTAGAGAAAGGTATGCATACACAAAGATACGTCACGTTTGTGAAGTTGGATACATTTACATTTACATTCACTGCGTGAGCTCTTTTATGAATTTTTTATTTATTTAGAGTGCATGCCTTTGCACCACCTTCTTTTACTTCTAGATTAATTTCTACCCTTGTGCCACTTCTTTGTTCTTAATTACCGCGTGTCCTCACAAGAAAAAATGGATTTTTTTTTTCTCTTTATAACAGATTATATATATACTGATACACAAAGTAAAAAAAACATGGAAACGAACAATACAATTTTTTAATTGAGATCACTGGTGGAAAGTTTGAGTTTGTGTTGAGATGTCTTTCGTGGGTGAATGAAAATATTGTAAAACGGTTAAATTCTGACAAGTTAAGAGAATCTAGAGGAATAACGTGTGATCTCAAAAGCCAAAAAAATTGGCTTAACTTTTTTACCAACTTACTCTAAACAAACATATTGGGTGGTATATATGATTGGAAATCTACGAAATTCGAAGTGGTGAAATGATTATTATGTGATTTTGCAGGTTTCTAGGTAATGTCGTTTTTATGGAATTATGTTTCAGATCTATCTATAATCTATCCTACGAGGTTTCAAAGAAATGACAAGTATCAAAAACATTAACACATAGTTTTTAATTGATTTACAACTTTTTTTGCTTAATCACTATATCATTTAATTTATACCACAAATTTCTTATTCTTCATGATTCCATAATTCCTGTTGGTTTATGGATAACTTTTCGCACGAAATATAGGTTCTACAAGATTACATATATTTATTGATGTAACCTTTGGAGCAACTAGCAAGCAAACCATAAAGTTCAGTTGTTCAAGCTCCTTGACAAGTCTCAGCTACCTAGACGGCTTATTTAAGATTCCTCCCAAGTAGTATTCTTAATTTGTTTATTTTTTTGACAAAAGAGGTATTATTTTTGGCTCTGTTTTGTAAAGTTCAACAGTATTTCAAGTCATATTACAAAATTCATTAATAAGTTTTTAACCTACAAAAAAAATTGTTATAATGAAAACATTTGTTGGTACGCAACAAATCCACTTGAATAACAATTCTATTTGTGGTTTTGTTTGGATAACGTTTATTTGTGGTTCATAAATGCATATTATCCACACATACATTATCTCCCAAGTCCCAAAACTGTGGAAGCAGTTGGAATGAAAATGTTGGTGACAAATGTTTGTAGCCGCTAATGTTAGGCTACAATACGTATAACACATGCAAGGTGCATGCCACATTTAATTAACCATCAGTTTTAGGAGTAAAAGAAATCTAACTCCAACATCTATATTCAATTTGTTCATGGTCTATCACGTTATATACAATACTGATCGACAAGGCAACAAAAAAAAGAAAACTCACTCTTGATCAAAGATATCGGTTTGCACATAGAGAATTTATTGTATAATGAATTCTTTAGTTAAAACAAGCAACCTAATGTACGACACTTACCTTCTGAAATTCTGTTTTTTTTTTTCTTTTCGATTTCTTTCTTAAGACAAACACATTATTCATGTCATGCATAATGCATTATAGTTAAACAGTCTAATGGCGTCAACATTCACCGCAAGGGTCGAAAACCAAACCAAACCAATTTTCAGTCTGGTTTGGGTTTGGGATTGATTTGGTTAAATTCATTGATCTTTTAGAAAATATTAATTGTAGTAACAGAGGAAATGTAAACTCTGCGTTTTCATTTATTTCAATTGGCTAATGGACATGGCAAAGTGCTCACCATCAATAGTTCACAAGAAAAAATCCTTCACAGCACGAAATCAAGAAGTTTTTTGGTCATCATGGGGCTCATGGGACTTGTTCGGAATTTCTTGAGAGTTCATCATGACACTATCTTGAATCTTCTTATCAGCTGAAACTGAATCCTCACCATGTACTATGTAACAGAAAATATATATATATATATATATATATATATATATTGTATTAATAAGAGTTGAATTATAAGGAAAATCTAAGTCTCCTTGCAAACAGATACAGACAATTCAACCTCTAGATCAGGGTTCATGAATGAAAAGTTGACATAACATATCATATGATATAATGAAGCTAAGTTTACCAACAGGACATGTTTTGAATCTAAAATCCTATCTTTTTTATATCGTTTCTCAACTTCAAAAATGGTGTCACATTGAGAGATAAAGATTCTCTGTATACACACAGAGGAAAAGAAACAATCATGCATACCTTGTAAGGATTTTTCAAATTGCTGAAGCTGTGAAATGAAACCGGGATTAGGATATGCCTGATGTCGTCGGCTCCTTACAAGTTCCATACCTTCAGAGAATCCCATTCCATGCTTTTTCATCAGATAAGCCACCACTATAGTCACACTTCAAACCAATCAAATTGTGTAAGTATATATATATAACAAAACGACACAACAACCAAATTACAGGTTCAAGAAAAACTCTTAATTTGTCCACACAATATGTAATATGTAACCAAATCTGAGTCTATAGATTCCTATGGTTACTTAGCAATGATATGAGATTGGTTCACATTGATGACTCCTAAACACTAAATATAATAACTGAATGTATGAGATTAAGAATGAAAACCTCCTAGACATTCCCATGAAGCAATGAACCAAAACACCACCACCAGATTGAATAGCTTGGTCGATAAAGCTAAAACACTCATCGAAATATACTGTCAAATCGGTCTCGTCTCTATCAACAACTACATACCAAGAAATCTACTCGTTAGAGAATCTCTCTACTCGGAAACAGTGTGAGAATGAAGAAAACAAGGCAACCTTCGATGACTTTATAAACAAAATCATCAGGATAAGGAGGAGCTAAGGCCACAGCAACGGTCAAGATATGAGTGATATTGGAGCTTTTGAGCAAATCTTTGTTAGTCGCTTCAGCTACTGATCCTATGAACAATCCCTGACCAACAAAATCGATTTTCGGAATCTTGGAATCGAAATTCCAAGTGTGAAATTAGATGGATAGATAGAGAAGAGAAACGAACAAAACCTGTTGGATCTCGCTGAGATCTTTGCCTCCATTGAGTAGCTTCTGGGAATTAGCTTCTCCGACTCCGAAGAGATCAACCACTTTCTCCATCTCTCTCCTTTTTTTCAAAATTCCACTTGTCCAAGACGAATACTCTGAATCCGGAAGATGAATCACCCTAGATTCGTAATTAAATGTCTACAATATATAACTTATAAACTTTCTATCAGGTTAATAAGCACCAGTGGTCTAGTGGTAGAATAGTACCCTGCCACGGTACAGACCCGGGTTCGATTCCCGGCTGGTGCATTAGCTTCTTTTTTGTTAAACTAACAAAATCTACGAAGAAAACTTTAATTTTGGTTCAAATTTTGTTTCGTTTCGGTTGCATGGTTTGGCTCGTTATATTATACAATTAAAAATTAGGTTTTCTTGAGTCGATCTTTTTTTACACATGAAATGAACTTTGATAAAAAAAAAAAAAAAAAAATTGGATGACTTAGAAATCACCAAATTAAAATTAAGAAATATTGGTAGGAAGGAAGTGAAAATTGAACACAAGAAAAGTGTTGAACACCCTCTTCTCCTTTCAAACTGATTTACCAAAGGAAACTAGAACTCTTCTTCTTCTCTTTTTTTTGTGAATCCTCTTTCCATCTTCTTTGCGTTTTTCTCTCTATCTCTCCTTTTAATTTTGCTCCATTAGGTCATTCATAAAGCCGATCAAGCCTCCTTGATTGTGACTGTCCTAGATTCTTGATCACTATATCTTGATTAAGAAGATGAATGGTGAGGCACGGTCAAGAGTAGTTGATCAAGAAGCTGGCTCAACTCCATCTACTTTGAGAGATGAAGATCATCCCTCGAGACAAAGGCTTTTCGGATGTCTCCCTTATGATATAGATCTCAATCCCATACGCATTGTAAGCTTCATATATATATATATATATATATATATTATCCACACACAAAATGATTTAGCAATTTTTTTGGGAGAATGTTTTTATGTTAAATCACATATATATGTACAAAAATATTATTAGATTATTACTTCTATCTAAGAAAGGTTTTGTTAAATCACACCTATTGAACCAAAATGTCTCACATTTCGCAATCCTTGAGTAAAGATTGGCTATGTCAATTATTACAACTTATAATTTTCTTAGAAAATATTAAAAACTTCGTATAGAAATGCTAATATCTCCGGACTAATTGTGTAGGTAATGGCGGAATTGGTGGGGACATTCATTCTAATGTTCAGTGTGTGTGGGGTCATAAGCAGTACTCAGTTATCCGGTGGCCATGTCGGATTGCTAGAATACGCCGCCACCGCTGGATTATCGGTTGTGGTCGTAGTTTACTCCATTGGACACATCTCCGGCGCCCATCTTAACCCTTCGATCACCATTGCTTTCGCTGTCTTTGGCGGATTTCCGTGGTCTCAGGTACAATGCCTCCATCTCCACCCAACCTACTAAGATTTGTAGCTGAATTATTTGCCTTTGCGTTTAGATGTTATATAACAATGTGGTTTTCATTTATCAACGAAGATGCAAATGAGAGGAGAAAATTTATTTTTTGTTTTTGGACGTTTACAAATTATCTTATTTTAAACAAAAAAATCATTTGCAAACATAAACGTTAAAATTTGGAATTACAAAATTGTTTAATGAAACTTTTTACATGCAAACGCAAGAAGCATTCGAATGCTCTCGCCTTAATTACGGTTAAGCTGTCATAGACAAAACTCATGTTATACTTGCTCTTGAATGTTGTTTTCAGGTTCCGTTATATATAACAGCGCAAACGTTGGGGGCAACGGCGGCAACATTAGTTGGGGTGTCAGTCTACGGAGTAAACGCTGACATTATGGCAACAAAACCTGCGTTGAGCTGCGTTTCTGCATTTTTCGTGGAACTCATAGCTACGAGCATCGTCGTGTTTCTCGCCTCCGCGTTGCATTGTGGTCCTCATCAAAATGTAAGTGACCAGATCCATCTTCTTAACTCTTATTATAAAAAAGTTTTATATTCAAAAAAACGTAACACCATAAATAGTTGGGTAACACATTTCTTATGAAATTTACATTATTGTGTTATTTTGTACAGATGGGTAATTTGACGGGGTTCGTGATTGGAACAGTCATTTCCCTCGGAGTGCTTATTACCGGGTACTTTACTTGAAATTCCACTATTGTAAACTTTGTCTATATAGATAACATAAGTTTTTATTTGAAACAATCAACGCTATTATCACCATAAATATATTAAAAAAATTGATATTTCATAGGATCGAATAATGCTAACGTTTCTGGAATATGGTATGGGTCAGACCTATTTCAGGAGGATCGATGAACCCAGCTCGATCACTAGGACCAGCGGTGGTGGCATGGGATTTTGAGGACTTATGGATTTACATGACGGCTCCGGTGATAGGAGCTATCATCGGGGTTTTGACATACAGATCAATTAGCCTCAAAACCAGGCCTTGTCCTTCTCCACTTTCCCCTTCCGTTTCTTCACTTTTACGTTAAATCACCTTAAAACCTATTATCTAATTCTACAAATAAACACTTTTTACTCTACTCTGAATGTAGCCCACTGGGCATCGATAGAGATTTGAGACTACTAATAAAATTCTACGTTGCATATATGATTTATTTTTTAAGTATATTTATAAATTTATATGTTCTGTGAAAGATTTACTTAATTATACATATCTTTGGTAATTGTTTAATTTGTTTGACATTATTACAATATGAAATTTATTAAAATAGGACTTTATTTATTCATATGGCTGTGTACACTTTTTCTTATTCCAGAATATACATATTTAAGGCTGTTTGTTCTGTTCTTTTTTAATACTAGGATCAGAAGCAAGGGTTTAGTAATTGCCAGATAAATCAAATTCTAACCAAGAACATTTTTTTATTTTTTTATTTTAAGCTAACCAAGAACATTCATTGCTTTTTGTAATATAGATAGATAATTAAGAGATTATAATAAGCATACAAATGCAGATTCTAAGCAAAGGGTTTAAAAAAGGAAAACATTCACGTCTTGCTTTGGATTTTCTCAAACCAAATTGAAAAAGGAAATAATACAGAGAAGAAAAAAAAAAAGGAAATAACAGAGAAGAATAAAAAAAAAGGAAACAACAAAGAAAAAGAAAAGGAAACTTTGAATCCCCAAAACACATAAGAATGTGAGTTTATAAATAGTCTCTTGCGCCTCACATCTTCTCTTTGTCTAATTGTTTTAGTTTCAAAATCACAAACCACGGAGAGAGAAAAAAAACAGAGAGGAAGAAACGCGAGTTATAGAGAGTGTTGATGCGCGATTTCTCTAAAATTTCGATTCTCTTATTCGATTTCTGATTTTTTTACCTCTATTCTCTACAATTTCATCATTGATTTCTTCGAATTCCATGGATTTTCCCTCATCTCTGGCTCCAACTTATTAGACGCTTGGTTTATTTTTCGCCAACAAGATCGGTGATGGAAGATGATGGTGACTCTTCTTCGACCACGATGAATCCTTCGCTTACAGGAATCAACGACGCAGAGAGAAGACTCTGAGAGGAGGACATTAAAGGATTCTTCGTTTCCCAGTGAAAAGGTATCAGAAAGCATTGGACGGCACAACAAAGTCCAATAAAAAAGTGTTTCCAGCCCATGAACAACGGACTACCCACAGGTCAATTTCTATCCGTTAGGTTTTGATTTTTTTTTTTTAAGCTTGGATAATGGATTTACAAAATAATGTGAAAACTAACCGGATTTTGGATCCTGTCATTTGACTTAGTCATTGATCGTTAGCCGATTCCACAAGTCCAATTTGTTTTCGCATCGTTTTGTAGATCTTATATACAAGTTTTTGATTTGTTTTTAAAAAGGTTTTCAATTTTGATTTTTTTTTCTTTTTACGGTTTTAAAGTTTTTAAAATTTTAAATAATTTGTTTTTAAAAAGGTTTTAAATTTTTTTTTTTTTTTTAAGAAAGCTTGGATAATAGATTTGCGAAATAATGTGAAAACTAACCGGATTTTGGATCCTGTCATTTGATCTAGTCATTGATCGTTAGCCGATTCCACAAGTCCAACTTGTTTTCGCATCGTTTTGTAGATCTAATACACAAGTTTTTAATTTGTTTTTAAAAAGGTTTTTAATTTTGATTTTTTTCCTTTTTATGGTTTTAAAGTTTTTAAAATTTTAATTATTTGTTTTTAAAAAGGTTTTAAAGATTTTTTTTAAAGAAAGCTTGGATATTGGCAAAACAATATGAAAACTAACCGGATTTTGGATCCTGTCATTTGACCTAGTCATTGATCGTTAGCCGATTCCACATATCCAACTTGTTTTCTCATCGTTTTGTAGATCTAATATACAAGTTTATACAATTTGTTTTTAAAAGGTTTTAAGATTTTTCTTTCTTTTCATTTTTACGGTTTTAAAGTTTTTGTCATTACGTCATAAGAGCCCTTGATGCGAAAACAGAGAGCTTCTTTTCGGTAAAGCAAATGAAAACAGAGAGCATTTTGTTCTTAAACAATGCAATGAACAAAATTAAAAATCTTCTATATTTCATAATGAAGCGAATTTCGTATGAAAACTCCAATCCTTTCATTAAGTTATAAGAACCCACTACAATACTCATATTACTAAACGATACCAAGAAACATAAATTAGAGAATAAAATTAAATATCTTAAATTATAATCTTGTTACCCCAACTAAAAATTTAGTGGCCACAACCTCTACGACTTGGACCGGAAGCTAACTTACGACCTGACCACAAATTCACCTTCTTCTTCTTCTCCTTGTAGTTCCCAAACTCATCGCTTGAATCTTCTCCGATTACACTCATTCTCATTGCCTTCTCTGCAACCTTGTTACAACCGTGGTAACTAGCCATGGGAAGGGAACAAGTTAAGTAAGCGACCAAGAGGAACACAACTTTAAAAAGCTTCTTCATCTCCATTTTCTTAGTATCGACTACTACTTTTTTTTTTTTTTTGGGCACAAGTATCGACTACTACTTAAACTATAGATTCTTTACAATGATTCGTATCCGTGTTACTGTGTATATATGCATGTTTATAGATTTTTGGCCTGATCTGTTTGCCAGAACCAAGGGGTCTTTCTTTGGAAACCTTCACGAACAATCGTCGTTTTTTGAACAATCTACGTGAGTTAATGCATATTTAGTTAAATGGTTCAAATTTTATTGACCGAGTGAGTGACGAGTCTAAGAATAGTAAGTTTTAGGTTGCTACTTTGTATTTAATTAATGCTTCAGAATTTCTAATATAAGAATTAAAGTAAATTTCATTTGTACATGATATGTCTGGTCTGGCTGCAGTCTTGCAAAACTTTAAACCACATATTTTAGGTAGAATATGATTAATTCCAACTATATATATATATATATATATATTATTCAAATTTAGATGATTTCGAGAAATTGTTCGAGCATTAGAAGAAATCATTAAAATGCTGGGATACTCACTAACTTGAGTAAAAGTGTTAAAATTTCCTTTTGAACCTTAAGATTGTATATTAAATCCTTTGGTCAGAATCGCAAATTCTTAAGGAGATTTCAATTAACAGGAAACCTTATAGTTGTGGAGTTTCGTATTGCAAAACTCAAACGCAACTGCGAGCGCTTGAATTGATCAAATTCAAAGCACAAAGCTGAGCAACAAGATCCATTCTCTACTCTGCCACTCCTTAATTTATAGTCTCAAGCAATCCCAAAAAAAAAAAAGGCAGAATTAAATTTTAATTAAGCAAAGTATTAACGATGCTCTCTGCATCTATTAATAAGAACATTAAAATCGAATGTATTTTTGAGCTTGACCATTACGCAATAATTTCTCTTTTTTTTCTTTTTTTTTTTTTTTGTGCTTGTGAGATTCATTGTCCCCAAGCAAAATGACATGTGATGTGTTACAAAACTTTAAGACAAGTGAGTGGCATGGACGGCTCGGAGTTTTGAGTTTGAGTTTCGAGCTTCTTAAAAAAAATCATTAGAAGATTCCTTCTCATTTGATTATTTGAAGAATCAATCATTTATGCATTATGCATAAATTATATAAGTACACTGTACACATAGCCATAGGGGACCCAATTCCAATGTGTTTTTGGTTCGGCGTTACATATAAACTACATCTACATTAAGTCGAATTAGGTTTCCTAACAGAAATGTGTTCGTAACGTAATGTTTTAAGGAAACAATATTTTTGTTTTGTTTTGTTGTTTCCATAATCATTTTCGGCTTCATTTCGTGTTTGTTCTATTTTCCGTGTAAATAATGTGAATTGTAGATACGTTTATTTGGTTCCGGTTTAATTGTGTTAAACCAAAACGGATTTTGGCTTTTAGGGTGTCTTAAATAATCACGATACCGATAATCCGATCCAAATAAATTGCAATTCTTTGGAATTATAGCCTATTCTAATACATTTTGCAGCTAGTAATATATTAGTCAAACATTTTCATAATTTAGTGAAACCAAAAAAAACAAAGGTGACGAAGCTGATAAGGATAAGTAGCTGATAACTGATAAAGATACGAGTAGTATAAAAAAAAGAAAAAAAAAAAGAGATAGGAGTAGTATAGAGAAAAATATTTGATGCTTAACGCTATTGATTATTACATTTATGGCATGCTATTGGTCCCTACACCTTTTAATTTCTCATAGAAGATGATTTTTTAATCGAAAAAATGGTTTATATAATAAAATTATATACATTGAGCCCAAAAAATAAAATCAGCTAGTAAAATTCTTGTTCCGAAATAACAAATTCTAGTTGAAATTCTCTTTTTTTTCTTTTTCTTTTTTTTTTTGTAACCAGAAATTCGATTTTTTCTTTGTTACAATTTTTTCTCACGTCGGACTTTATGGTCGTAACTTGCATGTGGGACTGACCAGTGCCTAAAAACCCATTATCAAACCTATCAACCTTCATTTGATAATGGTGTTATTTTCCAACTACCTCTATTTGCTAACATTAATTCACCTTGTAAATGTTTATCTAAATGATTAGAAAGAGGTCAAAGGCCACAAATCTCTTTCCATGCTAACGATTTTTTATAAAAAATGTTTGTAAAAAGCATGGGACCGCTGGTTGTCATTTGTCAAACGTCAAAGCCTGGGACCGATACATAGTTTATTTTCTACATCTTTTGTTTTTGTCATTAAACTTTGGAATTTACGAGCTTAGTGCCATAACATGATAATAACCCCATTTTCTTAACTTATATGCCTTATCAAAAGCTTAAATGACTCGACTAATAATTTCTCTACTGTGTATTTAATACCAAAGTTTATGATCATCAACTCGGATACCCCACACCACAACGTAAAAGTAAAACATAATTGGATGTTTAAATTCTTTCGCATTCTGATTATTTTTCTTATACAATCAAAAAAAAATTCCGGATCTCAAATAATAATTTAAAAAACTATAATTTCATCCAAAAAAATCTACCATTTACTGTGTTTAGTATAGTATGTACCAAATCCCATAACAAATACCGTTATTTGTTTTTCCCATTTTTATCTAACATTTATCAGATGCCAATTTATCTAATTTCAAAACTGTAAGTTAGTCATCTTTATCACTCATATATTGTTCCATTATAGAACAATCTCTCTGTTAAAGCAAGGAATCAAGAGTTTACTTCACAAAATTTGATTCCCAAAAAAATGATTAAACGCAAATTACATTTACTAAAGATTTTACGTAATTACGTATTTTTTTTCAGGTAGACGAATTAAAACCCCACTAATAAAAGTGCACACGGCCAGCGGCCCCACCATTATCACCACTCAAAAAAACATTTCCCACGCGCCATCGCACTGTTTTAACCTCCACGCGCGCTTGCCTTTCACGCCCCCTACAACATGAATGATCTCACGTGCAGGTAACGCGCGTGTACATATTACTAACAAAACAATTACATAGCTGCTTTGCTTAACAATAAGTAATTTAGTTTGTATTTCTCTTACAAAAAATTATATAGAAACAAATTTAAAAAATTCTATGAAATTGTTTGCTGTTTCTGACCTGTAATTGTATATTGTAAGACTAAGAATATTTGTTCTGGAAAGTTATTTAAATATTGGTTAATTTCTTACTGTTTCTGGATATTATTACCTTTGACTCTTAATTACTACATAAGCACAGATTTATTTCAATAATTAAAAAATAAACTGAGTAAATTGAAGAGTTATTTGTTTTTTCGATTCTGAAATCAAAAAAACAAATAAAGAGGAATTAATTGGACCCATAATTCAAAAACCCACGATTGTCAACCAATAGCCACTCATCTTTCTCTCTCCTTGTGAATGTGAACACAAAAAAACAAGAAGAGAAAGTTGAGAGTTTTCTTTTGATTTTCGCTTGTCTGGATTCGAACCGAATCTCCATTGTTGTTGTTACCAATATACTTCTCTCTTCGTCTTCTCTTGTCTAAAAAAGTTTCAATTTTTCCGTTGGAAGAAAAAGCGCAACAAAACATTTATCCATGAGTGTTTCCTCGTTTCCTTGACACATGTTTTTCGCATCATTCTTCATAATTTTTAAACAAAAAGAAACGAAACTGACCTACCAAGCAAAGCTCTTTCTTCCATTAACAATCCTCTACTTGCTTCATCTTCATTCGTCATGATTTCCCTCTTCTTTACTTCACCAATTTCTTGAATTCTCAAACCTAAAAGACAAAGCTTTTCGATTCCTTATAGATACCTTCAGATGTCTAAGAGCTCAGACGTTGAAGAAAACGGAGGAGCAAAGCCAATCTGTGAAGCTTTGAAGAGATTCAAAAGGTCGAGACTTGTGTTCGAGCCGTCTTTAGGAGTGTTGGGGTTTTTCTTGGTTGGGGTGTGTTTGGTTTGCAGTTTTTTCTTATTTGATTACAGAAGCGTAGCTAAAAGCTATGGCCTTTCGGATAAATCAGACAGATTCGTTTGGCTCAAGCTTGACAACAACATCAGCAGCAACAGTAGTAGTAATAGTTCAAAGAGAGTTGGGTTTCTGGAAGAGAGTGGAAATGGGTGTGATGTGTTCGATGGAGATTGGGTTTGGGACGAGTCTTATCCATTGTATCAATCCAAAGATTGTAGATTTCTCGATGAAGGTTTTAGGTGTAGTGACTTTGGAAGGTCTGATTTGTTCTATACTCAGTGGCGATGGCAACCTCGACACTGTAATTTGCCCAGGTATGATTCTGTTTTTCCCGGAAATTTTGATTGTTTCCTCTGTTCTTACTCAGTTTCGGCCACTTGGTGTTCTTTAATTGATTATGTTTCTCTTGTTGCAATTCATGTTTTCTTTGGAAACCAAAAGGGTTGGGTTATTGAATCTTAGAGAAATCAGAGGTTTTTAAATTTCTTCTGTGTTCTAGGCAATTTCTGCCATTTGGTATGAGATTACAAATGAAATTCTGTTTGTTTGCTAGAGACTAGAGAGTTTGGTTATTGGAAAGGAGATTTTGTTGGTGTAGTAATTTCTGGTAATTAAAAGGTTTTTTGTTTTTGTGGGATTGAGATTTATCAAATCTTTGGTCTATGGAGAGGAGAAGTCAGAGGTTCTTTAAGTTTTGTTGCTTTCAGCTTTGATGTCGTTTTCTATGGTCTCTTCTCCAGTTGTCCGCAAGTTACGGCTTAGGATAAGCATAAACTCGTGAAACTAGTCATCAGATTTTGCTATTAAAGCCAGTGGCTCTTTTTGTTCTCTTCTCTTGATTTGATCTTTTCTATGGTCCCTTCTTCTTCCATTTCCCATTTACATCAAACAGCTATTTCTTCACCAATCAATGTGTGTGCTCTTTCTTTTTTTTATAAAAGGCTTTTGTTTTGTATTGTATGAACCCGTGAGTTAAATTGGAAAGACAGGATTGGTTACCAAATAACATGTATGCACAATAGTTTGTCCGTGTTGTTTCTTGAGCTATGAACTATATGTCTAGGATTTGAATTCCAACACGATCAAGCAAAGTATTTGACATTGGTTTTGTGGAATAATTTGAGTAAAGGTCAATTCTTGTGGAAAACTTGATCAGATATTTATAAAAGAGAAAGAGTCAATTTTGAAAGAACTTATAGTCAAACTCTTACGAATTCAGTTTTGTCTTTGAAGGCACTACTTAGCTGACTCTGTTTTTCTGTTTTGAATTAGATTTGATGCTAAACTGATGCTGGAGAAACTCCGGGACAAGCGGCTAGTGTTTGTTGGAGATTCAATAGGAAGAAACCAGTGGGAGTCTCTTCTTTGTCTACTATCTTCTGCAGTCAAGAACGAAAGCTTAATTTATGAAATAAATGGAAGTCCCATCACAAAGCACAAAGGGTTCTTGGTGTTCAAATTTGAGGAGTACAATTGCACAGTGGAGTACTACAGATCTCCATTTTTAGTTCCTCAAAGCAGACCACCGATTGGATCACCACAAAAGGTTAAGACAACTTTGAAACTGGACACTATGGATTGGACTTCAAGCAAATGGAAAGATGCAGACGTTTTAGTGCTCAATACTGGACATTGGTGGAACGAGGGAAAAACTACTAGAACGTAAGTTTTGTCATGTATACCCGAGTTCGATGTCTCATTAATCCCTTGTCTGATTTTTGTTCCTATGACCAAATCTTGAATGTTGTTACTAACAGGGGATGTTACTTTCAAGAAGGAGAAGAAGTGAAAATGAAGATGAATGTAGATGATGCTTATAAGCAAGCTCTGAATACCGTTGTGAAATGGATACATACCGAGGTCGATTCAAACAAAACTCAAGTCTTTTTTCGCACATTCGCTCCCGTGCATTTCAGGTTTGTACGGTATTACTTTTCACTCCTTCATTAAGATTCAATCGTATGTAATAGTCAGTTACTTGATTCGGTGTAGTCTTATGATATTGTAGAATGTTCTGCATTTAGTTTTAATTTGTCTGCATCGTTGTATGAAACAGGGGAGGAGATTGGAAAACAGGAGGAACATGTCACATGGAGACATTACCAGAGATTGGAACCTCATCAGAGACATGGGAACAGTCAAAGATCCTCAGAGATGTGTTGTCACATTACTCAAACAGATCAGAGACTGTTAAAGTGAAAGTGTTGAACATAACGGCAATGGCTGCTCAAAGAAAAGACGGTCACCCATCACTCTACTATCTTGGTCCGTTTAGTCCTGCACCGCTGCATCGCCAAGACTGTAGCCACTGGTGCCTTCCCGGTGTCCCTGACACGTGGAACGAGCTCTTCTATGCATTATTTATGAAACAAGAAGCTCCTTCCAGAAGAGTTGAAGAAGCGAATAGTACAGGAAATGTTACAATGTCGTGACGCTGGACAGAACAAGGAAAAACCACAACAAGCTCTTGTTTCTTAAGCAGTTGGCATTTTTTTGAAGATGCTTAGCTCAAAGATCAAAAAGGGTTTGGGATTTTTGATTGGGTGATTAGATTAATTGGGTGGGGATATGTAATTAGGTTGGTAATCTTAATCTCTGGTTGTAAAGATAAAAAAAAAATCTTAAATTATTTTTCGAAGATTCAAATATATATATAGATCGGGAGACCAAAAACAATAGTGGATGAGTTTAAAATAATTTATTACAGTGGATGAGTTTAAAATAATTTATTAATATTGGGCCGACTACTGAAAGATATAATAGTTTTGGGCCTAACCCAAAAACTGTGATTTTCACAGGATCCACTGAAAAGCGTAAAATTCCGAGATATCGTTGGCTTATGAAACAACGTTCACATTTAGACGAATGGTGGGACTATGGTTTTACATGATTTGGACTTAGACATTGAAGATGTGAATTGATGACAAGAAGAACAAATACGGATATTGTCTGGATCATGTTGATATGTGTCTCGTAATCTTTTGAAGTTCGAGTTAACGAGTGCACGTATTTGTGCCTCTCTGGCCACTTCCATTTGTTGAAAAAAGGTATTTCTTTTACGTGCAGACATAAAAGTGACGTGCATATGTGTTGTGTATTAAAAAGCTAGATTAATAAACTTTTTGGAAATTGTAACCAAAAATATTCAACTTTTGTCTGGGAAACTATAGAAAAAAATTAATTATTTTTGACTTTTGTTGATGTCTATGGATTGTTATTTGGTTCCATGTTTTTTTGTCATTTTTTTTTTGCCATGTAAGCAAATCATAGGTTTTTACTTCATGTAAATCCTAACTTTTTCATTTCTAATGAAATATTCACATTTATTTTATTATCTGGCTATAACTTAACCGAAATAATTGAACCATACGGTCCATACCCAAATTCATCAAGGTGTAAACCAAACCGAAACCGAGACATGAAAACCACGTCGACCACACGATCTTCCACCGGCTCAACATCGTAGCCCTAGTCGATGGCAACTCAAAAAAGTAAAAAACGAGTGTTTGCTGTGTCATTAAATGCACGAAAGTCTTTTTATTGATAGGTTTTACGTTTGTTGTTCCGTATAATTTATATATTATATTAATCATATAAAGGCCATTTCATTTTCAGTGAATCGATTCATAAAAGACAAGTCGGTGATTGTGACAAGACATGAGCCTTAGCAAGAAGCTCGTGATAGGATCTGTGATTGTAAATTCTCTCAGTGATTCTCTTCTCAAATACTTTACTTCTAAGTCTTATCTCATTCTTTCTTTGGTCATTTGGGATCATGGAGTAGACTTTAGAAACAGACTGACTTCACTTGGGATCTGAAATTTGGTTTACTTTGGTTTAAGTCGGTTTGGTTTGATTTACGGGCCATATCCGGGAAAGTTTGCAAGTTGGAATTGTGCGTGTAGGGTAGAGTAGCTTATCTATACAAAACCTTGTGGTCTTCTATTATTTGCCCTTTTAAATATTTCTGTGGGTGTAAATCATGAAAACTGAAAGAACATATCCAAATTCGGATAAGTTTCTCTTTATTGTATTATTATACGTTATGTATACGTAAAATTATTGAGTTAGAATTAAGTGACCTTGTACAATGATAATCACTTGTTAATTGATGTCATCTATCAATGAACATATAACTCCCAATGATTTACATGGGGCGACTCTAAATTTATTAGATTAATCTACATTCTAAAATCCCAAAGCATAAAAGGAACTATTTAAAATGTTTGAAATATATATTGTGAGAAAATAGTTGTAATATAATAGAAATGGAGAACAAGCTCATATAAGATTTTGACTTGGAGTCGTATAGTTCAAAATAACCAACTTGACCGGTGTATGACCCCACTTCCACAAAAGAGTACCTATAAGACTCCAACCAAATCAAATCATGGAGATAGATTCTTCTTTGTTTTCTTCTTTCTTCCTATCTCCAAAAAATCCATATTCCTAAATTCCATTTCCTCAATTGTCCACTTCAAATGCGGCTCACGGTGAATGTCCACAATGCTAATTTTGTTACATAACCAACTACATTGATTCAATTCACCAACTACTCAAAGCACCACATTATGATATACTCTATTCTGTAAATATATTATTAGAGTCATTTAATTTATTAGTTTTAGATAGACAAAATAAAGCATACAAATTTAATTAGCAATTCGACAACCGACATGTTTAGATCAGGTCAATGATATTCGTTGAAGCGAGGTTGAACATATTTTCTTCACGAGGCTAACAACGAACAATCAACGTATTTCCTACAAAAGCTAAATAAAGGTTCCGACTTTATTCTCCTAACATGTTGAATGTCGATAAATAGTTAAAAACTTAAAACATATCCAATAAGACCCCACACGTTCCATTTAGTTTGGTATATGCATAGGTCACCCATCGTGGACATGTGCTCTCGTTTTTAATGGATGCAAATGCAAATGACTGCAGAATTAATCTTTTATTAAAGATCATATACTATACTTTTTTTTTTTCCTTTTTTGATGACGATATTGACAAAGAAAGTCATTGGATAAGGTAGTTAGGAATTCCATCTTTAGTGGAGATTATTGAAATTATGAACTTTGAGCCATACAAGAAAACGAATTTTTGTTTTAGGGAGAGAGATGAGAGTGAGAGGGATGGGTTTTTGTGGATGAGATGTAATAAAGTTATTTATGTGTAATGAAGAAAATATAAATTTGAGATAGATATGGGTGTTTTGTTGTTGTTGTGAGTTGTGACCTTTTGATTAAAATATCTTTATAGGATTTGCAAGTAGTAGATACAACATCATTGCACAAACCTTCCTTCATGATCCATTTGTGTGTAGGGACTTACTTTTGCCAGATTAGATTACATTTCTTCGATGTTTACTTTGGCCCCACTCTCCCACATGCACTTCTCTCTCTACCCTCTTTCGCTCTCTCTCTTAAACCCCAATCTCTTGCCTATTTATGCCACTCTTTGAACATTCCCCCTCACAACTCCACTTGAAACCATTTTTAAAAAATACTTCTTTCTACAGACAAGAAAAGGCTAATCAAGAGACTAGCTGAAGCATAGATATATGGCCATGGAAGTGGCTGTGGAGCTTGAGCTTGATGATGATGTTTTCTTTGCGGACATAAGCAAGCAACTCAATCTCTTAATCACAGATGAAGATGAACAAAACCCTATTTCACTTTCCTCTTCTGTCTCTTTCCAGGTTTGTCCAAATTTAACTTTTCTCATTTCTCTCTCCTCTATATATCTCTCTTGATTAGTGATTAACCGTGATGTTGATAACAAAACAGGGTTTGTTCAGAGGAAACTACCAAACATCAGCAACACCATATATGATGTACAATGAGCAGATCAATTACAACGTAAGAGAGAGCAAAGGAACAGGAGTGTTTATCCCAAGATCTTCTCAGCCAAGAAGGAAACATAATCATCATCCTCATCAAAAGAAGCAAGGGAGATTCGGTTCCTTCATCCCCAAGCAACAGTTTCCTCATCATCATGTTCATGACTACAATCCCACAACTCTCAACAACAACAACCAAGAAAGCATCACCTTTCATCATCCTTCTACTAACCCAAGAAGAACCTACAGAGACGCAGCATCTCTTTTCACTTAGTCAATCAAGTTTCAAGGACATGGATTTGTGTCATTAATTCATAATTATATATAATTGATTATTGATATTTATAGATTTTATTATTTTTGTAAAATCGACAAATAATAAGAATGAAGAAGAAATCATCAATCTAAAGGGATTTGGTGTGATTTATCCAACAACCGACAGAGATTAATAGGCTCACTTTTTTTTTTTTTTTTTTTTTTTATCATATAATCACTTTCTCTAATCATTTGAAGTTAAATGAAGCAACATCCATGAAATTAGTTCCTAAATGATCAAATCAGTATAGGATCAATGGAGGTCAATTAATCTGAATCAGGACAAGTCCCATGTGAGATTGGAAAATCTTCCAAGTCAGGTCTAGAACCAATCAATCTCTTTGGGACCTCAAACTTACAGAGTTACAGTTATGTTGGCAACAATGTTTGAATAGACAAAGTCAGATCTAAAGACTGTCACAGACTCTCACCCACATGCCTACATGCCCATCACTATTTTTTTTTCTTTTTCTTTTCCATTTAGTATATTAAATTTCTTTATTAAACAAACATGGAATTATATGTATATTCTTTCACAATTTAATTAAGACATTTATATGAAGCAGAGCTGTATGTTTTCTGTCAACTAGCTGTATTTCTTAAATTAGTTTTAAATGTCAAATAAGACTAACCACCCATATGTGAAAGTATTAACTCAAAATCTGTTTCTTACAAGTTGCACAATACGAACTCAAATCTTTTTTTTAACTCTATGATTCACACGTAGTAGTAATCACGTAACACGTTCTCTTGTCAACTTAGTTTCACCAAAATAAAATTAAAATTAATCACACAAAATTATATGATTGTCTATTTATCTCTTTCATAAAATCGGTAAAATAATTTAATTCCTACAAAAATAAGGTCATGTTTTATTTTATTACATCAATTTGTGAAACACAATGACAAAATCTTCACAGCCAAAAATTTAAAATTCAAAAACGGCCGGTTTAGATAGAAATCTTTAAACCGAGTTTTTGGTTTGGTATATTTTTTTTGTGTGCTTGTTCTCTCCAATAAATTCGTAAGGAAGATTCACATCGCCGAGAGCTTTGTGACGAGATCAATGGCGGCCATTTCTCCTTTCTTCCTTCTCTTCCTCATTCCCACTGTCCCACTCTCGATTCTCGCTATCTTAGCCCTAATCGTACGTCCTCGTCCCATTAAGATCCCTATCAAGTCCCGTCACGTCTTCATCACCGGTGGATCTAGCGGCATCGGTCTTGCTCTCGCCCACCGCGCCGCTGCCGAGGGTGCTCGTATCTCAATCCTCGCCCGATCCGCCGGAAAGCTAGAGGAAGCTAAAAAAGAGATCCAGCTCGCCACTGGTGTCGTAGTCGCCACATTCTCCGCCGACGTTCGCGATTACGACGCAGTGTCGAAGGCGATTGACGAATCTGGACCGATCGATGTGTTGATTGTTAATCAAGGTGTGTTTACGGCGAAGGAGCTGGTTAAACATAGTCCTGAGGATGTCAAATTCACGATTGACGTGAATCTTGTTGGGAGCTTCAATGTGATTAAAGCCGCTTTGCCCGCCATGAAAGCAAGGAAAGATCGTGGACCTGCTTCCATCAGTCTCGTCTCCTCTCAAGCTGGTCAGGTTCGTCTCTCAAATTTCCCACCTTTAGGGATTTAAAAGTTTCTTCTGAAGATTGTAGTCAATTGAAGTAACTTTGTGTAAGTGCAATCATGTGACCTCATGTAATGGAGTTTGAAAGATAGAATGATGAAGGATGTTTTCTAATTTTTTCAGGTGGGTGTCTATGGTTATGCTGCATATTCAGCAAGCAAGTTTGGTCTTCAGGGTTTAGCACAAGCACTGCAACAAGAAGTTATTGCTGATGACATTCATGTCACTCTTATTTTTCCTCCTGACACCAATACACCCGGCTTTGAAGAAGGTAAAAAGGCGTTAGTAATTTTTTGATTCATTATGGATGCATAGAGTAGATAATCTAAGTATAACATGTGAAGGTAGCTAGGATTAGGTACTGCCACTAAATACTAAGGCAATTAAATGCATAAAAGAGTTGGAGACAGATTACTAAATTAGGCTGTACTATATGGTTGGGAGATATGTAGACATAAACTATTATTGATCTAGTTTGTACTTTGTTATTATGAGATCAAATCTGTGCCCTTATCTGGTCTGAATAATTGTGTACTCTATCGAACACGTAGCATTTCATTTTCACATGTTCAATGAGAGTGCCAGTTAGGAGAAACTGATAGAGTGGTGAATTAAGTACTGAGTACTGACTGTGATAGTGTTTAGCATGAAGTCTCTGCGTAAATGTGGTTCAGGTGATACTGTTTAGAAGAGAATAATGGGATGTAGTTATCTTCCAATAGCATGTGAAAATTTCATAAAAGACCTCTTTTTGCCTCTCTGAGAATGAAGTAAACACATTATGGACTGATGTTCTGAGTTCCTTGGTTCATATTATGAGTTTATTTGATTTTCCTTGTGTGCTCTCTCAGAACAGAAGAGCAGACCTGAAGTCACTGCCATAATAGCTGCATCCTCTGGTTCAATGGAAACAGAAGAAGTAGCCAGAAAAGCTATGGATGGCATAAAAGCAGGAAAGTTCACTGTCTCATGCAACTTTGAAGGATTCTTACTGTCTCTCGCGACAACCGGCATGTCCCCTCAAAGATCATTTTGGCTTGCATTTCTCGAAGTAATAGCCGCAGGGCCTATAAGATTAATCGCTCTCTTCTTTCAATGGGATTGGTATAAAGCCATTGAAAAATGGAGCAAAACCAAAACCAAAACCAAATAGTAAGTGTTTAATGCCCATCAAGTTGTTCGTTTTGTCGATAAATAATACTTCCTCTTGCTTTGACTGCTATATCACTATTCTAACTTTGGTTCTCTTTTGTAATTTCAGAGAGCCCGAGAATGTTTATTGAAGTTTTTTTTGGCAGAAGCTGAAACAGAGATGGGTACTTGAAACTTTATTCTCAAATTGGAGTCTCTCAGTCCGCTACCACGCCAGCTAGTCGATTATTGCTGATAGTTTTGTAGTAGTAACTCGTCAAGATTCATGCCGGTCTTAAAACAAGCTCTGTTTAATTTGTAGAGAAATCAGAAAACTCATTTGAATGTATTTTTACTTGTTCAAGAAGTGAATGTTTGTTTTTCACAATATGAATATAAGATGTTTTTGAAAGAGGTGCACCAACCTTTAAAACTTAAAAAAACCAAATTTGAGACGTTAAAGTGTGTGCTGTTCCGGAGCCCTTTAAACAACGTGCAGTTTGATTCGTTTGTTACAAAACGGCAAACGGTTAAGTTTCTTCAGAAAGGTCTTTAAGAAATAAGAAGTGACATAAACAACACTCTACAGTAAATCGAAAGAACCAGTCTCGATCTCATTTTCAGCGATGGCGATGTCAATTCTAAAGCTAAGAAATTTATCGGCTTTAAGGTCGGCCGCAAATAGTGCCCGGATCGGAGTTTCCTCGAGGGGTTTCTCAAAGCTTTCGGAGGGCACTGACATAACCTCGGCGGCGCCTGGCGTTTCCCTCCAGAAAGCTCGCAGCTGGGACGAAGGCGTTTCCTCCAAATTCTCCACCACACCATTGTCAGATATCTTCAAGGTTCGATTCTCTCCTTTCTGACAATTTCAATTCAGAGGGGAATTTCAATTTCTGACAAAACGTTTGTTGATATTGATTGGTTACAGGGGAAGAAAGTCGTCATCTTTGGACTCCCTGTAAGAAAATTTATATCCTTTCATCTTCCTCTGTGTCTTGACTCTTGATCATGTTTCTGAGTTCTGATGTTGTGCCGGAATATTCGTTTTCTGTGTGCAGGGGGCTTACACGGGAGTTTGTTCGCAGCAGCATGTGCCTAGCTACAAGAGCCACATTGATAAGTTTAAGGCTAAAGGCATTGATTCTGTCATCTGTGTCTCTGTTAATGATCCCTATGCTATCAATGGTTGGGCTGAGAAGCTCGGTGCCAAAGATGCAGTAAGTTCATCCATGTTTAGTGTCTGCTGGTTTGGTTATTTGCTTCAGAAAACTTGATTTTGAAACATGATATTATATTATCCGGTTCCTGATTTTGTTGTCTAAGAGTTTTGAGTGGTGAAGATGGATCATTTAGGAATCTTTCAACTCCTTTTAGTATGTAGCTCTTGTTGACGTCCTGATAGTAATCTACCTTTTATAGTTAGGACTATTACTCTATTATTTCACATCGTCTATGGTCTCAAGCTTACATTCACATCAATAGACGATAAAAGGATTTGATACTTTAACTTGACAACCCTTGTTATTAGAAAATTCAGTTTTCTTGATATGGACTAGCATTACAATAGCTTTCTATGTTTATGTTCGGATAGTGTTACATGCTAGAACTAATGACTAAATGTGATGCTCTTGAACTTTGTCATACCAGATTGAGTTTTATGGGGATTTTGATGGGAAATTCCACAAAAGCTTGGGCCTAGACAAGGATCTATCTGCTGCATTGCTCGGGCCACGGTCTGAGAGGTAAACAACTGCAAAGCCCATTTGTTGAAATGTTTGTATCGTGAACCATTGCTCCAACTGATTCGTTGGATTTATGATGTCCATGTTCAGATGGTCGGCTTATGTAGAAGACGGTAAAGTTAAGGCGGTGAATGTGGAAGAAGCACCGTCTGACTTCAAGGTTACAGGGGCAGAAGTCATCTTAGGACAGATCTAAAAGGTTTTTCCAGAGTTGTTGTTTCTTCTGACTTGCAGCTGAAAATAAGTTTGATCCGTTCATGTTCCAAGGATCACACCAAGAAACAGCTTCACTTGTTTTTGTTTTGTTTCCACAGTTTCTTCTGTTTCAATAAAAATTATGTCTATTGCCGTTTCTCACCGAAATGTAAATCTGGATCATAATATAAATTAGAAACCAATATGATCTCATCAAATCCAAAACCAATGCGAAATCATCCATTCCATTTCAATCTTCATAGACTCAATGTCAAAATCCTGAACACAATTAACTTCTTCTTCACTTGAATCGCTATGTAAGATTTATGTAAGTTTATCTATCTCGAATCCTGAACAGACTATCCCGAACCTAAGTAAAAAAGGAAACAAACAAAAACGAGTTCAAAAAAATGGAAACAAAGACAAAAGAGTAAAAACAAAAAGGAAATAACACAAAATAGTTAAAAAAAGGAAATAACAAAAAGGAGTTAAACAAAACAGAGAATGAGTTAAAAAAAAAAGGAAACTTTGGATCCAAGTCTCTATTTATATACACCCGGTGCCTCTTCTCTTCTCTCTATATCTGTCTCAACGTTTTAGTATCATCACAGAAATAGAGAAAAAGAGAGAGAGATATAGAGTGACAAAGATGCAATTGTTCTGATTTTATGATTTTCTTCTTTCGAATTTCATGAGTGTATCTTTGTCTCCAACTTGTCCGACGTTTGACTTGTTGTGTTGTCATAACTCTTCGACAAATCAAACAAGAGACGAGCGTGATGGAAGATGATGTAGACTCTTCGTCGACCAAGATGAGCCCTTCGTTTAGAATCATTCCAGCGATCAGTGAGTGGTGAGATCACACAGAGATGAATCAAATAATTCCATCAATTTAGAGACGACATGATGTTAGAGCTTCTCTCTGGCGAGCAGCAATAATCGGCGACGGAGATTAAAGTGGCTCTGGCGTTTCCGGTCACGGTGGTTGGAGTTGGATTGATATCATCAAAAGGCTTTTGCACAACAAACCCCAACAAAAAGAAAAGAATTCAGCCCATATGAAAGGTCAATTTTTATCCCAATTTTTTTTCTTCCTAAATTAATAGATTTTAAAATATTTATAATTTAAAGTAAAAAGATTTTGAATTTTTAGTTTTTTTTGTTCTTTCTTTAGATTTTCATTTTTTTTATTTGGATACTAAATTTACATAATGCTATATGAAAACTAACCGGATTTTGGATCCCGTCATTCGTTTGATCGTTAGCGATTCCACAAATTCAATTTGTTTTCTCATCATTATGTAGATTTAGTATTCATGTTTTTAATTCCAATTTTTAAAAGTGTTTTTTTTTTGTTTTTTTTGAATTTTTATAAGTTTGTTTTTTAGTTTTGATACTAAATTTACATAATGATATATGAAACTAACCGGATTTTGGATCCCGTCATTCGTTTGATCGTTAGCGATTCCACAAATTCAATTTGTTTTTTCATCATTATGTAGATTTAGTATTCATGTTTTTAATTCCAATTTTTAAAAACGATTTTTGTTTTTTTTTCCGAATTTCAAAAGCTTTTTTTTATTAGTTTTGATACTAAATTTACGATCAAACGTTTGGCCGAGTTGGTCTGCAACCATTGGTAAAATGTGTGCAGAGCGTCCCCTACTCCCTCATTCTGCACTACTCCCTCATTAAAGAAGATGTCACAAAGGAAGAAAAGCTAATGAAATCATTGCCAAGATCCAAGCTGCTGGTGGAGTGGCTGTTATGGAGCCAATGGAGTGATCATGAGCAACTAACTTTGTTTTATTTTTAATTGTGTACGTTTGATTTGACTTTGTCTTGTGACTACAGTAGCTAGGTACGTAGTAGATGTTATGTAATAATAAGAGAACATATCAATCACCCTAAACCCTATCTCTTGACTCATTTCCTTCTCTCACTTTATTGTTTTTATTTCTTGTAATGTTGCGCTGTCATCTGAAGTTCTTTCTTTGAGACATTTTCTTTGGTTACATGAAATGAAAGTTGATGTTTTTGTTAGTCGAGTCAGAGGAATATTCCACTTGTCAGGAACTTTTCTTGTCGCCATTGTCAACAAAAAAGGTTGGCCTAAGCTCAATCACCCTAAATCAAATTGTCATCTAGTTACTTCAAGCACTAATGTGATTACTGATCAGATAACTGCTGTATTAAGATAATTAATAGTAATTGCATTCTATAAAAAATAGCAATACTTTGGAAAATTTGTTGATTAGATCCTTATTGGGCTTAGCCCATAGACAAAAGTAATTTGGAGCCCAAAGAGAGGAATGTTTTTCACCCAAAACCCTATCGTCGTGACTCATCTCCGTCTCTCACTGCATCATCAACAATTCAGAGCCGGCGAAGCTTGCCGTTCCCGCCGCCGGAGGTAAGCTATATCTCTCTTTCTCATCTTCTTCTTCATGGATCCCATTGTTTGATTTCGGAACTGTGATAACTCGCGAACTTGCTAGGTTTTAGATATTGTAAGCAGCTTCTTCTTCTTCTAGACTATCGAATCTGATACATCGAATAAATTTTGGGGCTCGTAGTTCTATTGATTCTGAAATCGATCTTATGAATCATCCTTTCTTATTCACCATTTTGCTTCACTGAAACCTTTGAAATTATTATTGACTTAAGTACTAATTTCTTGATAATCAGTATTATTTTGAGATCTTGATCTCTTTGCATTGAACAAATAACAATGTTTAATAATTCGCAAGCTAAAGTTATTGTCTTTCTGTTACACAGGAGAGTTTTTACTGTTGCAGTGGTCACATGAAATGATCTTGGGTTGATGTTTGTGTATGGTAGCAGAGGAATATAGTCATGAAGCTTATTTCACTTGTTAGAAGCGTTCGTTCTCGCCAATGTCAACCGGAAGTTATCTGGTCTGTGCAAGTTCGTTTCTTGCAGCAAGATTCTGTCTCGAAAGCTAAGCCTAAGAAATACAAATACCCGTCAGTTTATGATCCCTATGGTCCTAGACCCCAGCCTTCAAACAAAATCATGGAGTTAGCTGAGCGTATAGCTGCGTTATCTCCAGAAGAACGGAAACAAATTGGTCCTGCACTCAATGAACACCTGAGGCTTCCAAAACAACAGATGATTTCATCGGATGGCATTGGTGCAAAACAAGATACTGGAGCTGGGAAAGTTGAGGAGAAGAAGGAGAAGACGGCTTTCGATGTGAAGTTGGAGAAGTTTAATGCATCTGATAAGATCAAAGTGATAAAAGAAGTGAGAACGTTCACGAGTTTGGGTCTGAAGGAGGCGAAAGAGCTTGTGGAGAAAGTCCCAGCTATTCTTAAACAAGGTGTGACAAAGGAAGAAGCTAATGAAATCATAGCAAAGATCAAAGCTGTAGGTGGAGTCGCAGTTATGGAGTAAGTGACTTTTGACACTTGAATTGTTTTTTTGTTTGATTTGGTATTTGGTATTGTGATCACATCTTGGTACTTATGGTAGATGTTTTGTAATAACAAATCAATTACTAGTCATTGAGGTTTGAAGAACTTTGGTCAATAGTTTGCCTTCCTTTTGGAATTTGTTCTTGTCCTCTCTCCTTATATTAGAAACGATGCCGTATGGGATGAGAGGGGACCAAGCGAATTAGTTAAAAATGCCTTAAATTGTCGGCAAAGCGTCAAATTCGAGCTGACAAGAAAAGCAGAACAGAATCAAACAACTCTTTAAGAGTAAAAGCGAAGTAAACATTTCTCTCACTCTCCTTTATCAATAAATTTAAGCCAATCACCAAAACAATATCATTTGAGAACTCTAGAAACCTGTTTCAATGGCGATTCACAAGCTTCCACTTCTTCTCTTTCTCTCCACCCTCCTCTTCCTCAATCGCCCTGTTCTTAGCGACACTGGTAACTTCCTCTCTTCCATTGTTTTTTCTGTTGAAGTAAATCTCTGTTCTTGAAACTCTTTCTGTCTCTCTTGATAGTGTTTATTCAGGATCTTTAGATCTGGTCTGAAATCTCTTAGGATCTGTTCACTTCATTTAAAAGTTCTTACATAGATCTCAATCATTAAATAAGTTAAAACTTGTTTGAAAAGGTTAATACTTTCTCAAGTGTATTAATTTGCTTTCCTTCTCTTGATAACAAATAAAGAACAAGAATTTACTTTAACTGGAGTCTAGAGATTGTGAATATGCTCCTGCAAATTATATAGAGTTTGAATCAGAGTGTTTTTGGGTTGCAGATGAAGAGGACATTCTTCTCACAGGAATCAACAGCTACAGAACAACACAGAATCTAACAACCTTAAGCAAGAACGAAAACGCAGAATGTCTAGCTGACGAAATCGCAGACCAATTCAAGAACAAACCATGCACCAACGACACTGGCTCAGCCACAGTACCTGGAACCGAGCCACAGTTCGCAAACTACCCTCAGATTCTAGCCAAATGCCACTTAAACGTCTCTGACACTAGAGACGGTTCGATTATGCCTGCATGTGTTCCTCGTTTAGAATCAAGCCTCGTCCTCACAAACTTCACCAAGTCACAATACTCAATGAGTTTGAACGATTCAAAGTTTACAGGGATTGGTATTGGTAAAGAAGATGATTGGATCGTTGTGGTTCTCACTACCAACACACCAGAAGGAAGCTATTCTACAGCTACACCTTCAAAACAGGATTCAAATGGCTTCACCTTTAGTGTTGGTCTCGTTAGTTATTTTATCATTTTCATGTCTTCCTTTTGTTTCTTCCTCTTTTGAGATGTCAAATGTTTTCATGAGTTTGTCTCAAAACACTCTTTGCTTTAGACTATCAAGAATAAATTTTGTTAAAGATAGTTATTATAATTGTTTTTCAAATTATTCCTGATATTTCCCGGTTACCAAAACTCTAAAATATGAATGTTTGTTATTTTATTAGACCTAAGCGAAGGCTTAATAGTTAAAATGACACTTGACGCTTATGGTTGTGTGTATTTAAATATTATGTCGGTGAGCTAGGTGGAGAAAGACGACAAGATTATTCAACGACCGACATAAAACCTGGGTATTTGACACGTGCGAAGTCACTTATGCGCTCCAATACGGAAAAGGCCCAATAAGAAGGCCCATTAATGAATGCGTAAAATATTTAGGATTATTGAAGGGGTTCAACGGAAAAATCACAAAAACTAACCTTTAATTTTGAAAACAGATCGAGTTTCTCTTTCCCTCCTCGAAATTTCCTAAATCCACGAAGCCGAAACAGCCATGAGTAATCTTCACTGATCTCTCTACACATTCACCGTCGGCTTACCTAATGCAGGATATTCTCGGATCGGTTCGCCGATCCTTGGTTTTCCGGTCTTCTTTGGCCGGAGACGATGGTACTAGCGGCGGAGGTCTTAGCGGATTCGTCGGGAAGATTAACTCAAGTATCCGTAGCTCTCGAATTGGCCTATTCACTAAGCCGCCTCCAGGCCTTCCTGCTCCTAGAAAAGAAGAATCGCCGTCGATTCGGTGGAGGAAAGGGGAATTAATCGGTTGCGGTGCTTTTGGAAGGGTTTACATGGGAATGAATCTCGATTCCGGCGAGCTTCTTGCAATTAAACAGGTTAATTTTGAAATTCTTAGTTCTGGTTACCTTCTATTGCTATTGATTTATGACTTCCTCTGTTGATTCATGATTGTTTTTGGATAATAGGTTTTAATCGCTCCAAGCAGTGCTTCAAAGGAGAAGACTCAGGTGAGTTACTGCTTAATCTTTTAAATTTTGCATTTTCGATAAATCTGTTCCCAATTTGGTAACAATTTTTGTTTCAATTTGTTGGTCTTTCATACTCTTGAATCCTTGTTTTAGGGTCACATCCGAGAGCTTGAGGAAGAAGTACAACTTCTTAAGAATCTTTCACATCCAAACATTGTTGTGAGTTGGCGAATCCATTCAGCTATTTCTCATATGTTTGTCTGTTCCGCATGCATTCTTCTTATTATCTTGTTTTTTTTCAGAGATACTTGGGTACTGTAAGAGAGAGTGATTCGTTGAATATTTTGATGGAGTTTGTTCCTGGTGGATCAATATCATCTTTGTTGGAGAAGTTTGGATCTTTTCCTGAGCCAGTAAGTCTTGACTATATCTTTAACTTTGTGTTTGAGCTTTGCAGGCTATTAATGTTGTATCTTAACCTTTTTGAATAGGTGATAATAATGTACACAAAGCAGCTGTTGCTGGGTTTGGAGTATCTTCACAACAATGGGATTATGCATAGAGATATTAAGGTACTTTTCCTCTTTCCAGCATGTGAATGTGCTTGTGGTTGCTCAAAATTCCGCTATAACTCTTGTCACATTCTCCTAGGGGGCAAATATTTTGGTCGATAACAAAGGGTGCATCAGGCTCGCAGATTTTGGTGCTTCCAAGAAAGTTGTAGAGCTAGTATGATTGTGCTTCTCTTCCTCTTCAGTCATATTTCAATACGTCGCCTCTCTCTTCTAGTCTTTATTACTCTAAAACTGTGTTTGTTATGCTTCTAGGCTACTGTAAATGGTGCCAAATCTATGAAGGGGACACCTTATTGGATGGCTCCTGAAGTCATTCTTCAGACTGGTCATAGCTTGTAAGTATTTCAGAATACCCTACGAGTTATATTCTTCTGCCCCATCTCTTACTTTCTTTAAGCTTTTAACTTTTCATGAGATGATAGATTAAACATGTTCTAGGTAGTGGGAATGGGTTCTCATCTATTTTTCCATGTGTATTGCAACTTTCGTTCTGACCTTCTTCTTAAATCTGAAGCTCTGCTGATATATGGAGTGTTGGGTGCACTGTGATTGAGATGGCTACAGGGAAGCCTCCCTGGAGCGAGCAATATCAGCAGGTAAAGATTCATTGGGTGAAGGACACTTTCCAGTATTGTTGATGCATATGACGCTGTCTTTTATTTTAGAAACCTACGAAGAACTAAAAAGTTTTCTTTCAGTTTGCTGCTGTCCTTCATATTGGTAGAACAAAAGCTCATCCTCCAATTCCAGAAGACCTCTCACCAGAGGCTAAAGACTTTCTATTGAAATGCTTACACAAGTAAGTCATAAGTTTTTTACCCAGTTCGGTTTTCTCTTTATCTAGAGACAGCTCCTGTAAAGATCGATGTCCATTATTCTATTTCAAGAGAGCATCTATATATGTTGTTCTATTTATAAGAGAAATTGTCTTTGCAGAGAACCAAGCTTGAGACTCTCTGCAACCGAATTGCTTCAGGTGTTGTGAATCACATATCTTCTCCATTTCTCACAATTGTGAAAGGGTCCTTACTCTCAGTGCACAAATACGAAGTTATTATTGTTGCTCCTAGTGTTGACAGTTGCTTAACATTTGCAGCACCCGTTTGTCACTGGAAAGCGCCAGGAATCTCATCCAGCTTACCGTAATTCTCTTACGGTTAGTACATTATGCAGTAAACTTTATTCTGGTTCTTCAACCTTCTGACTTGCTTTCTAATATATCAGGAATGCGGAAACCCAATAACTACACAAGGAATGAATGTTAGGAGTTCGTAAGTTTTTTCTTGCAGCTCTAGTTTCAATCTTCTTACTATCCATGATTTTGATCCCTTGATTCTTATTTCACTTCCCCTATTGTTCCAGAATAAATTCGTTGATCAGGAGGTCAACATGTTCAGGCTTGAAGGATGTCTGTGAACTGGGAAGCTTGAGGAGTTCCATGATATACCCACAGAAGTCAAATAAGTCAGGATTCGGTTGGCGAGATGGAGACTCTGATGACCTTTGTCAGACCGACATGGATGATCTCTGCAACATTGAATCAGTCAGAAACAATGTTTTGTCACAATCCACCGATTTAAACAAGGTGATAAATCTATCCTCTAGATTTTAAAACATCTCTGTTGATTACAGTTATACTGAGAAACTTTTTGACTTATAACAGAGTTTTAATCCCATGTGTGATTCCACGGATAACTGGTCTTGCAAGTTTGATGAAAGCCCAGAAGTGATGAAAAGCAAATCTAACCTGCTTTCTTACCAAGCTGCTGAACTAAAAACTGGGGTTCTATGTAATGAGGAAACCAGCTTAACCTTTGCTGGTGGCTCTTCCGTTGCAGAGGACGATTATAAAGCCACAGAGTTGAAAATAAAATCATTTTTGGATGAGAAGGTAAGGCCTTTTTGTAGTATATGGGTGAGAAATCAGTTACTTACTATTATGCATGATTCATGTTTTCTAAGATTCATTTACTAAACTTAGACTTAAAAGACCTGCTAAATAGAAAAATTTGAAACTTATAACTACTAAACATCTTAACTTGGTAAATGTTGAACACATGCACATAGAGACGTTGGACTCTGGTTTTCCTGCTTTGTGTGGTATAGTCTTTCCATTTTCACTACTCCAACAGTCATATTATCTCCCCTGCAACTGTGCTCTTCTTTGCCTGGTCTACCTGGAATTTTCAATTGCAACTCTGCTACAAAAATGAGGTTTTGTGATGATATCTGATTTTTTGTCGGTTTATCTGTTGTCAAGGCTCAAGATTTGAAAAGGTTGCAGACCCCTCTGCTTGAAGAATTCCACAATGCTATGAATCCAGGAACACCCCAAGGTGCACTTGGAGACACCAATAGCTACAATTTACCAAATCTACCAACTATAAGCAAGTCACCTAAACGGCTTCCGAGTAGACGACTCTCAGCAATCAGTGATGCTATGCCCAGCCCACTCAAAAGCTCCAAACGTACACTGAACACAAGCAAAGTGATGCAGCCAGGAACTGAACCAACTCAAGTCAATGAGTCGATCAAGAAGGGAGTAACTAATAGCCGTTGGTGAGTTAGCTCGTGCTAAAGTTACTGGTTAAAAGCCTGAAATTGTTTTGTTTTTCTTTGGTGCTAATGTTTCTTTCTTCCTCAGTTTTTCAGAGATACGTCGGAAGTGGGAAGAAGAGCTCTATGAAGAGCTTGAGAGGCATCGAGGCAAGTGTTTTTTCTTCAAGACTAAACATTTAAGCAAAGATTTTAAAATTTTAAAGCAATTTTTAGTAATAGTAAAACTCTATGCAGAGAATCTGCGACACGCTGGTGCAGGAGGGAAGACTCCATTATCAGCCAACAAAGGATAGTGAACGGCTAAGAGAAGAACTGTATGTTTCTTTCTTATGCTAAACCCCAAAAATTACTTCTTCTTTTTTTTTTTTGTTGGTAGGGTAATTTTCATCACTAGTATGATATTTGATATATGTAGATAGTTCTTAAACGGTTCATAGTATAATTTTTATTATTGTTATATATACATATCTTAAATCTGACTTAAAGGTCTCATCAACCCTCTTAAAAGCTTGTTTGTGAATTGTGGTGTTGTTCGAGTATGGTTATTTTGTTTTAAGTAAAAAAAAACCTGGCCTAAAATGTAAGTTAACACATTAGCGTTTGGTGATTCTATGCTAGTGATTTAATTTGCTTTAATTTGCTATTTTAATTTGCCATTTCGTGTGTAAATCAGTATAGGAAACGTTACAACTTAACATGTTGAAATTGAATGCTAAGTATACAACTGATCCTTTATCAAACATGTTTGATTGTTTATTAGTTGAACGTTATTGCATTTGCGTTCTCTTTTTTTTTTTTTCTTAATGTCAAACCTTGCATTTTATTGCGTTTGTATTATATATCCCCTATATATTAATAGAGAAACATTTTTTTTAAAAAACCTTACCATCATGTGTTATTAACAAGATTGCCACGCTGATGTGTCGCTCTCACAATGATTTGGCTTCTATTTAGATAATTACCCAAAATTTATTAGACTATTTACAGAATTTGCCATTAGTCTCATACATCCATATATCCCATTAATAATTAAAAACATACACTTTTTGTTTATCTTATATTACTATATTTTTATATTTATATTTTTCTTTATATACATTTATATAAATTTTCTTTAGTGGATGGGTAAACAATCTTTTTATTTATATTTATATTTAAATGATAAAATATATACATTTGGTTCAAGAATCTCGAATTCAAAACTACAAAATCTTTACATCTTTCATAAAATTTTTACTTAAATAAATAAGATAATTTTCTTTCTATATATATGTTACGAATACTTAAAATCCTATTTTTTGGAGGAGTTCTAACTTTTCGAAAAAAAAACATTATAACCACATTTGTATATAAACCAAAATCTGGCCACATTATAACCATTTCGTAAATAATCCATTCATAATCTAAGAATCTTAGATTTGTAACACTACAAAATCTTAGCTTGGAAACTATCAAATCTCATCTTTGCTAAATTTTGGATTTCTTATACTTATTTAAAAAAAATATCTTTTTATACTACAAAATCTCGAAATCTTTAAAACATACGGAAAGACATATTGCCATAAATGGTAACATTTCGTCAATACTTTTTTATCACGTTGAAGCTTTATTCAAGGTTCAAATATTTCACGGGTAAAACATATTTTTATATGAAATAGTCCCAAATTTGAATAAAACAAAAAAAATTTTGTAACATGTTTCGTTTTACACAAACAGATCTTGGATCCCGGATAATAATTTTAATCATAATAATTTTACTTGAATCACTTTATCCCGCACATCGTGCGGGTTGTTATCTAGTAGTCATTAAAATTACAAGAAACATACAGTATAGGAGTCGTCTAAAGAGATACTATGAATTATCATCATATATCATATTAATCTTATGTTTATTTTAAAAAGAGTCTACAAATGCCTAATTGCTTGTCTCTCCGACGTAACGTGTCTATTTTTTTTTTTTTCCTACTCTTCTCTTTTACATGACCACTCAGTCAATCACTCACCAAAAAGATAAAAAGAAAATAAACCAAAGTGTTTAATTCAAAATTTTGGTTGAACGATATTATAGTGTTTGGTTGGAGGATGGGTTGTCAAAAAAAGAAGCTGAGCAAAATTCAAAAAAAAAAAGAGAGAAACATGAAAATCTTTACTTTAATATTTCTTGATTCTCTCTTCCATATCTATTAATAATCAACATTTAGATTTTGTGCTTTACTCTTTTTTCAGTGTTTGGACCGTTTTTGATTGAAGTCTTGACCATATATGTAGATACTAGATCATCACCCGTACTGTAGTACGGGTTGAATTTCATTTATTACAAAATTTATATATTATATAGTTATAGAATAAAGTCGTGATATATTATAATAGTAAGTAAAAAAATATTAATTTTTTCTGTCAGTCCATATATATAATATTAGAATGAATATATTTTTCTTTTTCTGTAATCCTCAATTATGGGTATATTTTTTAAAGATATGAAAACGAAAAATAAATATTATAAACAATGACTTAATTTATGTTAACAACCACAAAATGAGAGTGCATATAATAGTTAGATCAAAAATCAAAATATCATAAATGAATCACATCTAAAACGTAGATTATTTTGAATTAGTTAAAAAAGTTAGCTATTATTTTGAATTAATTTAGGAAATTATTTTTTCAAATTCTAATTCATTGGTTGATGAAATAAAGATTTGTTTGAGCTAATTACAGAATTTATCAATTATTCACATAATCGAATATGTTATGAACATATATTTGGTATATAATAATACCAAATTCGATCTGTGTGTGGAGTCTATATTTTCATTTTACAATCCTTATGAAAATATTGCGGCACAATCTATTATTCATTATTTCCAAAATTGCTTGCAGAATTAAATTTTCAAATATTTAGAAGTGTCAAACCTTATTTAACTCATCTCATCATAAAATCTTAAAATGTCGTCTATTATAAGGATCATAACTTTCTATCATATAATACATTACTTTTAACATGCTGCCTACTATAAATATATTAAACATATTTTTTTAGAAAATCAAATTAGTATTTATATATTTTTTTTATCTTTTTAATCTATTAAATATTTATGATATTCTTTAATATATTAAATTAAACTTTTTTTAAATGTTCCAAATTAAAATCTTTAAAAATTTTCTTGTAGTATGTAAAATTATGATTTTTAAAAAATATATATATGAAATTAAATATAAATATTCAAATAGTTATAAGGATCATAACTCATTTCATCATATAATACATTATATTTAACCCGCCGCCTATTATAAATATTGGGAGACTCACAAAAATGCCCCTTTTTCAATACCCCTTTTCAAAAATGCTCCCTTTGGCTGTCCATTTTTAAAAATACCCCTTTTTATGTACAAAATGACTAAATTACCCTTCTTTTAATAAAATATATCACAAATATATAAGGAAATATATCAAAATTAGGTCCACAAAATACAAAATATTTTTTGGCGGGAAAAGTGATCCCGCAATTTTTCCCGCCAAAACACTTGTAAAAACTTGTAAAACCTTTAAAAAACCTTGTAAAATTTTCCCGTTAAAGTTTTTCCCGCCAAAAATTTTTTTTTGCGGGAAAAGTGATTCCGCAATTTTTTTGGCGTTAAATTTTTGGCGGGAAAAATTTACAAGGTATTTTAAATGTTTTTTACAGGGTATTTATAAGGTTTTACAATGTATTTTAAAAGGTTTTACAACGTATTTATAAGGTATTTATAAGATATTATAATATTTTACAAGCTATTTTATAAGGTTTTACAAGTTATAAGGTTTTACAAGTTTTTTATAAGGTTTTACAAGTTATAAATACCTTATAAAACCTTATAAGTACCTTGTAAAACCTTTTAAAATACATTGTAAAACCTTACAAAACACTTGTAAATACTCTGTAAAACCTTTAAAATACCTTGTAAATTTTTCCCGCCAAAAATTTTCCCACCAAAAAAATTTCGACAAAAAAATTGCGGAATCACTTTTCCCGCAAAAAAAATTTTTTGGCGGGAAAATTTTTTGGCGGGAAAAATTTTTACGGGAAAATTTTACAAGGTATTTTAAAGGTTTTTACAAGTGTTTTGGCGGGAAATTGTGGGATCACTTTTCCCGCCAAAAAATATTTTGTATTTTGTGGACCTAATTTTGTTTCAAATAAGGGTAAAATGGTCATTAAAAATTAAAAGAGGGCAAACTTAAAAATGGACTCTCAAAGGGGGCATTTTTGAAAAGGGGTATTGAAAAAGGGGCATTTTTAACAATTTCTCTATAAATATTTGATTCAAAAAATCAAATTAGAATATTTATATTTCTTAACTTTTTGATCTATTAAGTATTGATGATATTAAAAAAAAAGGAATATATTACTCAAATTCAAATATGAATTCCCGTTAAATTTGTTCTTTCATACATTGAACAATTTATATTTGTTTTTAAAAATTCAAATCTTTGTATATGCGGAAAAAAAATTACTTTTTTAATTATGTAGATGATATAATAATTTATTTATTTTATAGAAATAGAATAATATAAAGATAAGAGGTGAAGTATAATGATTAATAACAAATTAATATGATAAGTTAGATATCAAATCTTATATGTTCATTTTGATTGGTCATTCTTTTTTAAAAAAATTAATAATAGATTTTTGTTTTTATAATTAAATTAAATTAATTAAATTACATAAAATAGTATTTGACTTGTTTATCCTTAATGAGTTGAATTAATTTATTCTATAAATTTTTATTTCTAATGGCATTCTCATGTAATTTTTTACAAAAAGAAAGGTTAGTTAAGGGTATCTTATAAAGTGTACTCCCCAAATAATAGTATAGGATAGTTATGTATCCCCGAAATAAAAAGAAAAGAGAAGGACATGTGAATTTTTCGTTTTGTGTACGTTGTCGACAAGTCCATATCTAAATGATATGAGAGATAGAGAAAGCGAGAGAATCCTTTTTTCGCCACTTTTCTTTTTATTAACTTTTCTGTGTTTATATATACTATTATAAAAAAATTCTGTAAGTAGACATATGCTTCAAATTGTTTTCCCAATCGAAAGAACTAATCCAAATATGTAAGTAGGACATCAGGTTTAAATTACGAGAAAAGCTATTTGAAATTCTTAAAGAAGAAAGGTTAAAAGAACTGGTTCGTATTTAGGC